TGATATATTATGCAGCTCTTGTCCATTAGCCTGGATGGACAGAGCTCTGACTCCATTTGAGTGGCAAGAAGATGGATCGCATTTTATTAAAGGAGCTGATGTTACTTTCGCTTTAAAATGTGTGAGATCTGTAGGTTCCTCTGACTCCCTTCAAGTCTTACCTGATCTGTTTAATTTCTCTCCATCTTCAGCTGTTTTCTATCTTACTCATCAGAGCTGACACAAAGAATCATTTCCCTGAGCGTGTGTGTTGATTCATGTTTGCATCCACAAAGGTGTTTCTGATGCTATCACCCTCCGCCTCCTGGCGATCCGTGCATTTCTGTTTACACTCCTCCGTTTCTCTCCTCAACCATCTGAGGGCAAATTACTTACAATGGATCAGTCTGAGCATTTCTAGCAAAGCTTTGGAAGCTTAGGACTCCCACCGTAGCCAAATATAGTAAACATGAATCCAGCTGTGTGTGTGTGTTTAAAAAAAGAAAGAAATTGAGTCGAGGGCACTGGGGGGAGGGACGAACATGCATGCGCACGTTTTCTCCTGAGTAAACAGCTCTGGAGTAAAAACAAATTAAAAAGCGTGTTTGTTGTTGTTCCCAGCACTTTTGCCTTTAGACAACACTGCCAATTAAAGGGGAGGGTTTTCTTTCTGCGAAGCGTTGCCGTTTGTGACGGTGCTTGACTGGCTGCTTGGCTTCTCCCACGTTCCTTCTTCGGGGTAGAGAGCAGCCAGGGTTCTTTACTGCCACGGTCAAATGAAAGGTAAACACAGCACACCTTTGATCGGGGTTTGCGTTTAAGCTCCTTCCTGGAACAGACTGCGTGTGTTTGTGTGTATGTGGGGAGAAAAGGTGAGCAATTTATGAAATGACACACTGAGGTTTAACATGAGGCGTGTGCTTTGCTTAAGGAATGAAACCTATCCAGGATGCTACAGCTGCCACCTCCTCTTGTTGTTGAAGTGCAACTCAAATTCCTCCTGCATCCATCCATCCGTTCACGCACTCATCCATCCATCCCCTCCCTCCTTAATCCTGCCTGCTTGCATGAAAACAAAACAAGGCGTTACATGAATGAAAGTGGGAGGGGCTGAGTGGCCTAGAAAGGCAGGCAGATAGAGCAGCAGATAGTGGTGCAGGGCAGGGTGAGGCGGTGGTGAGGAAGAGGAGGAGGGGATGAATGAACGAGTGAGCTGACTGGAGCGTGTTTGGCACAGCAGCTAGCTTGTGTAGCCTGATGCAAGCGTGAGCAGAATTGGGAATAATGTTGCAGCAGTAGTAGCGTTATTAGGCCTGTGTTGGCATTATAACCTTAAAGCAGAAACACCACCAGCTTCACAATCTTTACAGCTATGGGATCTGCTTATTTAAAATGCAACGGGGTTTTTTTTCCTATGAAATTCAAACAATAGCTGATAAAAAAGCTTGAAACACGTCAGCATTAAAAGAATATGTACTAACACTGTAAATTCTGCTGTCAATCATAAAGTAATGATCAAATTGTGCTAATAAATGGTTCACATCTCTCATAGTGTTAAGTATTAACACCAGCATTCAAAATGAATAAATTATAATATGTGATCTAATGATTTTTATTTATAAAAGACAGAAGCAAATATTACCTTCTGGCAGGTGAAATAATCCCATAATTGCACTGCTTGGATCAAAGTTCAGACAAATGTGACCTATGTCTGACTTTTAATGGCAGTCATAATGAATTTATTATAATTATACTAATATGATTTAAATAATCTTTGTTGCGTTAACAGCTGCACTAATATCACGCCTGTTTGTTTTGTTTAATATAAAACAATATGAGGTAAAGTAAAAATAACAAATGAGAAAACATGCATGATATTGCTTAAACGTTTCTCTACAAATACATGCTGTTGCCTATAAATCGTGGTGCTTCATTCAGTGTTACCAGCCTGTGTGCATTTGATTCTGGCCCGTACCTCAATACCACCAACATTCCCTTGCAGAGTTATTCCCCAGACCTGTACATCACCTTATTCTAATCCCATCCTCTAAAACTAAATCTAGCTCCAAAAAACTGGTGTCTGCTCAGACTTTGTTCCCAGTCATTTAAAAGAAAAAACCTGCCCACATATTTAGAGGTTTTCACTTCGTAAAGAGTGCTGATAGGAAGAGTGTTATTACGCTTTGTAGCACTTTATCTGTTTCAATCATAAAATGGAGTTTTACTTATTAAATTGCGTATTAGAAATAAGGCGAGGAGAGATTATTTGCATAGCACATTTCAGTAACAAGACAATTAAATGATTTAAATCAGAGGTCATGTTAGCTTATTAGCTAGAATTGTGGATTGATTGCATGCAATTTCACAGTTTTATTTAAACGTGTAGCCAAGGGACGCAGCTAGAAGTTGCAGGTCTCTGGAATTCAGTTTGAGACCACTGATTTTACGATAGTAAAAGTCTTAAAATCATCATGTTGCTAGTTGTTATACTTTCCTATCTGTAAGTTAAAAAATATTATATATCATAGTTGAATTTCTATCTGGCTTTATAGCAGCAAATATTTATTTCAGTTCACTTTAACTTTATTCAGTTTATTTATATTCGATCAACAACTATTAATTAGTCACTTTATTATAATAAACAAGCCAGACTCTATGTCTGGATATTATTGATGTTAATCTGTAGATATAGGCATATAGCATTTATTATATCTGAGCAGCGTTGCTCCTGCTGTTGCTCCTCTAAAGTAGCGGCTTTGGATTCATCTTTCTGGACATGTTTGGCTCCTTCGCTGCGTCTACCGTCTCCCGCCCCTCGGCCTCTGCCCCAGCAGGGCCAGGGTTAAACCTGGGCGGCTCTCCACCCCAACATGGAAGAGGCCACAGAACAGTTGCCTCCCCCGGCCAGCAAACACATTGGCTGAAGCCGAGGGTGGATCTGGAGCGGAGCGGATCTCCGGCGCGGATCCTGGATCTGGAGCCGGACCAGGGATGCCCCTCCCCGCTCCGTTACGCGACGACGCCGTGGTCGCAGCACGTACGCATACAAACAGCCAACAGATGAGAGAGAGCGGGGTAGAGCTGTGCATTTCTCTCTGTCGGAGACGGCTGTGTGCTGTGCTGAAGTGGGTTCACAGCTCGTAGTACAGAAATAGCAGAGGAGTGAAGAACTACCCCAAAGGCTGAGCATAGTGTGGTTTTCCCTCTACTCATTGCTGCTCTTTTTTACCCTTATTATCCCACCAACTCCCTGCCCCCCTGCTTGCAGCAACCCTGTTTGCTTCTTTACTCAGGCAGTACAATGGGCAGCCTTCCAAGCAGAAAGAGGGGGTCCTAACCATGTCTTTGGTAATAAATGGATGAGGCTAAGTCCTCACAAACAGTGGCTGCTGCTGCAATTTTCAGCTCTTCGTCGATGGTGTTACAATTTTTGACTAAATTATAAAAGGATTTTATTTAACAGATTAAGATGACTTTTTATTGCTGTTTGACCCGAATCTGTCTTCTCTCTGGCACTCTGGTTCTGTTGTTTCTTGATCTCAAAACTGGCAGCAGGAGAATGGATCAAGTAAATGTATGATAAATTAAAATGAGCTCATTAATATCTAATGATAATTTTTTTTGAAGGGCAGTTTGGCATACGGAGACTTCATAATCCATTTTATTTTAATTATGATTTCATTTATCGTTTTTGGTTGTTGTTTTTATTTTGGGGTATTTAAAATGTCTTCCAACTCCAGTGTTAAGCATTACAAAATTAAAGTTTATTGGTCTTTGACAGTAAAACGTTGAACATGGCCTATGTTGGGATCCAAACAGGATTAATTTTGTCATTATGGTGATGGAGATAACGGCGTTAAATTAGAAATACAAATTTGCACACCCAGGTGAACATTTTCCCTGAAAATAACTTCAGTTAAAGCTGTGAGTATTGCTGGGCAAATGGAAAAATAAAATAAAATTTCCAAGGACATGGAGATAAACCTGTGGCAATCCAGCCACAACTACAATGAATTGATTTAGATCAGTCCATGTACTCATGTTAGAATGACCCAGGCTAAATCAATTAGAAAATCTTGACAACTGAATATTGAACGTTGCTCTTCACATTCACTCGTGTTACAATCTGAAGGATCTTCAGTTATTTTTTCTGTTTATGCAAAGAAGAATAAAAAACACCTACTCTAAAATACCAGCATCTATAACTAATGTGACAGGTGGCTGTGCAGGGAAAGGACAGATGAGGTCTGAGTACAAATTCACACCCCAATTTTCAGATTCTTTGCGGTTTATTTAAAAAAACAAAAACAAAATAAATCTTCCTTTTGAAGCTCAGTTTCCTTCCGGAGGAGATGAACACGCCACACACATCAGGCCTGGTAGATAGGATGACAATCAGGCTCTCTGACCAAATGGTGAAATGAAAGCTGACATTAGCTAGCAGCACACAATCTTCAGGCTTTCAGCCGTTCAGGTTGTTTCCATGGCGCTGCAGACTGCTGCTGTTGACCTGCCGACTGTAAACTGTGGTCACTAAATCTCTCCGCGGATGTCAGAGCAGCAGCGGTGTTTGTGCGGTTAAATCTTTGAAGGTCTTCACAGCTGCAGCAGTTCTGCTTTTGTTTTTGATCTCTGATTAGTGCTGGTACTCAACTTGTGAGCTTCAGTGCAATTTAACTTAAACCCCATTAATCTATCTGTGATGTTTTTTACCCCTGTAAAAAGCATTGCTTTACCACTGAAGTCCCGTTTAGATAGCGAGGTTCTGTTAGTGTGGGTAGACATGTAAATACAGGCTAATGAGAGCTTTTTTTGGAGCTTAATATCAATCACTGCAGGAGTCAGATCTGTGGCATGTCTGAGAGGTGAGCTTTAAACCAAGCTTGTGTATTTGTGCACAGATACAAAAAATGAGTCTGTTTCTCCTGCAGTTTCCTCAAACTTCAATAAAAATGTTGTAGGTCTGTCCTGTCTGTGTGGCTTGATATAAACCAACTTCTTCCTCTTCTGCTTTTCCTCAGCATGCGATAACTGTAAAAATGGCGCATGCATCCGTCAGGGCCAGTGCTGCCACGATCAGTGCCTGGGTGGCTGCTCGGAGCCGGGGAACGCCACCAGGTGTGTGGCCTGCAGGAACCTCCAGCATGGAAACATCTGCGTGGACAAATGCCCTCCTGGATACTACGTCTTCCAAGGCTGGCGCTGTGTCAGCTTCTTTTTCTGCCAGGTTTGTAGCAGCTGTGATTTCTGTCACCAAATCCCAGTACTGAGGTATTCTGATTTGTCTGAAGTAGGGTTCTGTGAAGTAGCTTGAAGCAAGTAGTGTTTTATTGCTTTCACTTTGTAGGACTTCTGATGTACGTTGTCAAAATTACAAATTTTTATAGCGTTTCATACCAGCTTTGTGTTGTTAATTTTCACAAGGTATCACTTTTGTGTCAGACAGCTCTGAAGGCGACATTCTGGAGACAGATGCAAAGTGTTTTATTTGCTCTAATCTGGTTTTAATAATTGTCTAATCAATAAATATCATTATATTAAAAAATATTTGACAAGTAGGGATGAAAGTATATATTAATTTCCTGAATTTCCTAAAACAGAACAGAATAGAATAGAATAGCAATAGGAAAGCCTTTATTGTCTCACTGAGGGAAAATTCTGCCGTAACAGAGGATCTGATGTATACAGGTTCACACAGAAGTTCCAAAAGTTTTAGAAAATGCATAAAAATCAAAATTAAAAATAACACTTATCTTCACATTGTACAAGAGTATAACATAAAAAATACTGTGCAGTTATTAGAATATAAATATTGTACTTACAATCCAAAGGATGTACAACTGAGTGAGATGATGTTTATAAAATGTCCATAACATGGATTTGTTTTGAACTTTAAAAAAAAAACACAGCAGACTTTTTACAGTTGGTATACATAGACAGAAGAAATCTATTAAAAATGTGTAAAAAACAAACAAAAAAAAGCTGTAATAACTGTGCTAATGCCAGCATGGATGTAAACATTGATTTTATTTGACCAAAATATGACCATAGGCATATTATGGGGGAAAACTAAGACTCGCCCCAGGGATCAGAAGCCATTGTAATTAATTCAGTACAATAGAAAATCTTTTAAACCACCAAAATAGATTGGGCTGATGTCTTTTTTTATTTTACTTTTTTTGTCTTGCAGGACCTTCATAACCAGTGTAAGAAATCTAAAAACCTGGATGCCAACTGCCATGAATACGTCATCCACAATGGGGCCTGCATTCAGGAGTGTCCTTCTGGATACAGCAGCAACTCCACTACGTAAGTCTGGCTCACCAAGAGCTCACATGCAAACACGTCTCAAAGGTCACCATCAACACTAGAGAAACAAATGTGTGGTGGTTCGTGAGCACAGTAACATTTGTACACAAATGTACAAGGGCGTTGTTGAGTAGAGAGATCTATTATCTGAGTAAAGAATGAGGCAGGAGCTGATTTTTCTCCTCCTTTGGGGAATTTTAATCATTTATTTCTCCATGTTTGTTATTCATCTGCTCATCGGTGAAATTAATCTTATAGGCTTAAAAATGTGAAGGGCTTCTGCAGTAGGGTTATTGATACAGTGAATGTCAATCTGCAGTTTCTCATTGCATACAACTAACTTGCCATCTTTGTATCAAAGAATATGGCTCAAAGCAAAAAGTTCAGTTTTATGAGTCACAAAATAAGCTGCATGCCATCAGACCTAACAAACTAATATTGAACTGGAAACACCCAATATGGAGTTTCTAGTCATTACTTTATATTAAAGTCCTCAAATAAGCCTATTTTGTTCTCATAGTTTCCAGAATATTTTAATGGTTACAAAATTAAGTCCCAATTGAGTTATTTGCTATTTAAATAACAAGAAGCAAATTTATCCTGGTAAATAGTCTCTGTGCTGTTTATGACTCAAAATGCAAAGTGGATATATTATTAAAATTTGATTTTACAGCTGTCATTTTCTAAAAGTGTTCTTGTAATATTGTATCCTGTTCAGCGAGTTCACTGTGTACGAGGAGATTAACATGACTTATTTTTCCTGGTGAAAGGACACTTGCGTGGTCAAACTGAACCAGCTTCAGTAATCTGTCAAGGTGCTGTTTATTTAGTGTGATTGGATGTTTCACAAGGTTGTTTTATCATAGGGATATGAAAGATCAGTTTAAAGAGTCATAAACGCGTTTTATCCTACCGGAAAAGATTATGTCTGTGCTTAAGGTGACTGGAGTAGAATATGCCAGAGAGGTGGAAAAGTGAAGGAACTGATAAAGAGCCACATAACGAGGCCTTTATCCTACTACTTCATATCACAAATGCAAAATCATCCCAAACATCTTTTATACCTTCTTCATTTGAGCTCATCGTTTGATCTGCATTCCAATAATCAGAGCATTCTTACTTGTTGCAAAGGAAAATCACTGTCATGCTTATTTAGCCTCACTGGCTCTTGCTAAACCAGGGAGATGCGTGTTTGTTTAAAAGCCAAGTATGTGTTTTGGAAACCACTCCTGTTTACACGCTCACTAAACGCATGCATGAGGCTTGAGCAACGAGTGTAACATACTTTCCAGCAGGAGGAATGAAATATTCATGTGACTAAATCATTAATGTGAGCTATTGCAAGAGGCGACAGTCACACCAACTAAAGACGACAACCCGAGATCAATATGAAAAGACGGGGACAAGTTTGTGTTTCACAAAGCCTCTTGGTCTGCAGCAATCTGACATTTATTGATGCTATTTATATATTTCAGAATGGTTTGCGCTATATTCTTCAGATAATAATTCACTGACGTTGTTGATACGGATTAGATGCACCGTATGTGTTTTTTATGTATCACTCACCAAACTGTACACTGAGGAAGCTGACCTCTGCGTCTTAAAGGTCAGAGCCGAAATCCTACATGAGAGGTAGAATAGAGCCTCACGGCCAGGGCTGCAGGGTGAGCTGAGACCACTTGGAAACTAGCACAAGTCAAACCTGGATTGAATTATTTTCACTATTTGCAATTTGTTTTAAAACCCCAGTTTGCCATTTATGAATCCTTTCTGTATGTTTTTGGTTTTCCCCAATAATATTGTGAGCTTGTCATCATAAATCCATAACATGGCTGGGCCAATAGGGTTTACTGATGCCAACTGTTCAGTTACAATCTTGTGATGTCATTGACACTGTTATTGCCATGGAAATCCATGTTTCATGATATAGATGTCGTCAGTGTACATCTGTTACTGCAAAAAAAAAAAAATACAAGTTTGTTTTTTAGGATTCCTTAGAGCTGCATTGTCAGCATTTTTATCTTTCTGTCAGGACATCAGTTGTGAAGAATGAAATCAATAAGAGTTTTTGCTGCTTCAGTGTTTCTCATGGCACACCAACTCTATGATTGGTGTTTTTTGAATGATTTGACTGTTTATACAGAATGTAATTTAAAGTGCTTTAAATTAAAATCAAGCACCTAGAAGAAAAAAACAATTGCTTTGAAAAGGGAAAAAACAGAATAAAAGTGAAATTTAAGTTTTGCATAAAGCAGGAGCAACGTTAAAATGTGAATCTAAAATAAATAGATGAAACATCATTAAAATGAAATAAAAAAATAAATAAAAGCAAGCACCTTTTTCCCAGTTTTCACTTTTATTCTGGAGTTGTATGGATTTAGTAGCAGACATTATGTGAATTGTAAATTTAGTAACAGTATAACAACACCCAGGTTTCTTTATGACTTGTGCTCATTGAGATGAAATAAGTGGAAATCTCTCACTTTGTACAGCTGGGATGAAAAACAAAGATGTTTGTCATCTTCCTAGCATTAAGCTGAAGGAAACTCCTACCAATACCTATTGGTATTTATTGACATATTGATATATATGCAGTGACAGTAAGGAACTATAGTCATGTGGTGACAAAGAAATATGAAACTACGATTCACCAGGATGGTGAGAGATGCCGTAGTGCTCCATCATCTGGGCTGGGAGCAGAATATGGATATTATATGGATGTTGGGAAACCCTGTGTATGATTTCTGCTCATATTTGGAAGATGTACAAGTCTGCCTGGTAAGACTAGACCACAGTATGAGAAAATCCAGTTTTTCCTGTCCATCTTTATATTGTAATAAAGTGTTGAATGCAACACTGAGATCTAGTAGAGCGACAGGAAGTAGAGTTTCAGCACATGATGGCCGTGATAACAAAGCTCTGTGGGAAACGTTCCTCTCTTTTCTACCTCCATCCTGCTGTGGAAAAATGTTTGCCAGTGCTGCTGAGTTGGAACCTTAAGTTTCACCTTTTAGCGCTGGTGGTTGGATCGGAAACTGATCCCATGAAGTGTCTGAAAGTTTTCCACAGCAGAGTTTGCGTTTCCATGTGCGCCCGTAGATATCATGTGATAAACAAGGTTTTTCCATCAGTACCGTTTTGCAGCACAGCGGCCGATGTGTGTTTTGGTTAAAGCAAGAACTAACGTCATTACAGATGCGTAGCTTCTCACAAGTTACAAACGCAGTCACAATGGATACGGGACATTTTATTTACTTACCGTGCATTGTGTTCATGAAAGACTATGGCAGCTTTAACCATAACTGCTGTAATGATCCAGTGAGAGTTGACTGGATGTTTCACAAATGATCAGTTTCCATCTGTCTATAGGTTTCTTTTGTGTCGTCCACCACAGAGTTGGGTAGTAACAAGGACTGAAAAATATACTTTTACAAGTATTATTATTATTTTTACTTGGGTAAGGTTAGTTGGAAGTATCGCTACTTTTACTTGAGTAAAATTTCTGGATACTTCATGTGAGTGACTTCACAAGAACAAGCTTGTTTTAACCAAACATTAAAGTGAAGTTTTATATTGAAAACTGATTGGGAAAAATCTTTCTTTCATCTGATTTTGTTTTTTTATAATTACTGTATTTTCAGGACTATAAGTCACATGTATGTGCTTAGTGTTGGATTTTATCAAATAAATTTCCGCCGAAAATGCGACTTATATATGTATATTTCTTTTTTATTATGCATTTTATGGCTGGTGCGACTTATACTCCGCAACACTTATAGTCCGGAAAGTACGGTATGCCATTTATATTAATTGTTTTCAGTTTGATCTTTAAAAAAACAACATTTCAACATAATGTACTGTTAATTTTTTTCCAACTGATGAAGGGACTTTTAAATGTTTTGTTCAGTTAATGAAAACATAAACATTTAGTTGCCTTTTTACTAAATACTTTTCTGAGAAATTTCACACACTACTTTTTAATTTCACTTGAGTAAAAATGTATCAAAGTAGTTCTATTCTTACTTGAGTACAAGTTTTGGGTTCTCTATCCACCTCTGCTCCACCCGTCCGTCCGTCCGTCCATCCATCCATCCATCCATCCATCCATCCATCCATCCATCCATCCATCCATCCATCCATCCATCCATCCATCCATCCATCCATCCATCCATCCATCCAATCCATCCATCCATCCATCCATCCATCCATCCATCCATCCATCCATCCATCCATCCATCCATCCATGTTTTGTGTATGCATGGATGAATCCTTCTTTCATTGTGAGCTTTTTAATTCATGGAAATAAATCAAAAGTGAACTGAGAACTCTGCCAACTTCAATCTGGAAAACTATACAATTTGGACATTAAAAATGTTCATTGCTGGATATTTCAGTCCAGCTGCCAGTCTTAATGCCTTCATTTCACATATCTGTAACATTCCTCAAGATATCACACATCAAAAGACATTAATTAAGCTTTATTATGTCATTCTGTACACATTTGGAAATTTGCTCCAATCTGTTTTATGATGTTAAATTTATTTCAACTGGTGATTCTCTTCCAAACTGTATTTAGCCACATCTGCTGCTCTCAGAAAGCATCTGCTATGGAAAAGGAGTTTGCTCATCTTTTTTTGGACAACGTGACAGCGAGCACGCCATCCCACATTTGGTGTGGTTCTGTCAGGGTTGGGCTGAAACCAAAACCTGAGCGTCAGCTGCAGGCCTCTGCTCTAGATGGTTCCAACAGAACCCCAGAGTCCGAGTCACAGGGTTCAGATAAACACTGTCCCTTTAAGAGCTGCCCTCGGAGCCCCGGCCTGTCTGCCTGTGTGTCTGTGTTTTTGGTACAACAGCCCAAAACATTCTCCCTTTTCTGCGTTACGCTGGAGAGACAGAGTACATGTCTTTTTTCTCCATGTGTGGGAGACGGAGAAAGACAACTCCTTGAATTTTTCTTATTATTTATTGTTTTGGAGAGCTTGTTACCGTATTTTCACTCGCTCAAAAATCATAAGGCGAGGAAAATGCTGGTAGGACTTCTCAAGCATTTGATAAAAAGTAAACAAACATCTCTGGACTGAAACTGGGAGGTTGCTGTAAGGACACTCAGTGGGGACCCATAAATTCAACCACACACAGGAGTACACAAAGGAAAAAACAAGTTTAATTAAATTTTCAGATTCTGGTTGCTGGTCAGGATGAGGTCGTCAGACACAGCACTGTAGAGCAGCGGACGGGTGGAGCAGAGAAACTAAGGGTTTGACAACAGGGAGGTGCAGGTAACCAGGTTGCACAGGCTTTTGTGCAAGAAGTGAAGATCTCCACAAGGAGGCAACATCCAGGGACTTTGACAACAATCAGACAGAGGACAGAGAGAGAATACTTCACCACTTGATACATGTTCACATTATTTATTGAGTGTATCAAATATATTTAGAATTTAACTGAAGATATGACATAATATAATATACAATAAAATACAATGACTTAAATCTCATTGTATAGACGAGGTCATCAAATCAGTCTGTCAACTACATTGCCTGTAGGGATTTTTAATGTCCAGCAGGTGTCAGTATTCAGCGACACAGCATCGACACAGTTTTGCTTTGAGTCGAAACGTTTCATGATGCCTCATTTACCCATCACTAACTGAAGGCCAGAAGCCAGATTATCAACAGATAATCTGGCAAGGAGGCAGAGGCTGAGAGGTCTTTAAGTAGGGCGGGGCCCAGGTGGAACAGGTAAGCAATCAGGCGTGGCAGGTGAGCTGAATGAGTGTTAAAACACAGCATGGACAGGACAGAACAAGAATCCTGACAGGTTTCCATGTCTTTGTACTAAATTGTGAGGACAGCGCAGCAGGAAGAGGGAGAGAGTCAGGGCACGGCCCTTGAGAGGGGATGATGATAGGAGTTACATAAAGCAGAATTTAAAGCATGAAGAGATTTCAAATGGCAATTCGTGCATAGATTATATGTTTCCCTCAACAAACAATAGCATCCTTTGTAAGCTGATATCCCCATGTACAGGGACTTTAAAAAAGGTGACTGCATCACCTTCTGCCTGATCTAAACGTGTTAAAGCTACCAGCCAGAATTTTATACAAGAACTTTTAATGTGGTTTGTCAACTATAGACCAACATGCTATCTTTTTTTTCTTTTGAAATGCTGTTTTGGTGTAAAAAAACTAAGACGGCATCCCAAAGCAAAATTCCTCCAGCGGCATCACATGAGGCATTTTTCTTTGCAGTTAATATACAACACTTTTATATAGACATACACACTTTATTCTTTAACAATACTGACATTAAGACCACTTGAAAAATAAAAGAAGTCAAACCTGGATTGAATTATTTTGCAAGTTGGATGGACCAGTAGGGTTTATTGATGCCAACTGATCAGTTACAATCTTGTCATATTATTGACGCTGTTGTTGCCATGAAAATCCATGTTTAATTATATAGATGTTGTCAGTGTTACATCTGTAACTGGAACAAAAGATATGAGTTTGATTTTTAGGATTCCTTACAGTTGTATTGTAAGCATTTTTATCTATCTGTCAAAGGATTAATCATTATCTTTCTGAATTATAAATGCAGCCTTTCTCCACACATTTTCAAGTAATTTTCAAGCGAAGCGCTTCGGGCTTGAAAGCTGTAGTCTGTAAAAGGAACAAAAAGACAGATTAAGCTCTTTAGAAATCTCTCGAGGGATTTTCGAAGCTTGTTTGTCAATGAATTTCCTAAAAGGCGCTATCAAGGCCTCTTCGTGCTGTGAAATCCTGCCTGCGTTTGTGATTTCGTGCAGAAGTGCACACGTGCAGGCAGAGGACGTCACCGAGCGAACAGAGAGACAAAGCAACAGGCGAGAGCCCCTTTGGGAGCTGCGGCGGTGTTTGTTTGGGTTTGTCAGTGATTACGCTCTCTTTGATCATTCACATCGGTCGCCTCAGTCCAAATAAACATCAAGGAGGTGCAGAAATGAATGAGAGCGGGTATAATCTGCGTTTACGGGCTCATTATGGGAGTTATCTGATTACTGGAGAGTAACATGCTCTTCTGAATTGTGAGCAGATTTTTGCAACCAGCAGACAGAAGCTGGTTGTCATTTGAGCTCCAAATTAATTTGATTTGCAATCACCACCTAGATTCAACTTTTGACATATTCCAACCTCAGATTTGATGTATTTTCCTTGGTTTTATATGGCACAGTAAGACAAAGTACACAATGATTGTGAAGTAAAAGAAAACTGATGCATGTTTTTTTACATTTAACAATTAGTGTGCTGTGGATTGATATTGAGCACAGTCTTACTCTGATAACCCTTACTGAAAATCTGATATGTTAGAATAAAGTAGAATAGAGTAGAATTAAATTTATTGTCATCATATCTGAAGGCACAACAAAATTGAGAATTCTTTTACCAAGCCACCCTTCATTGCTGAACTATGATTATTCATTAAAAAAAAAAACAAACAAACAAGAATATGACAAAGAAACAATAGATTTGAAAATTATGTACTGTCCCGGTTTGGTTTAATCTCAGTTTTTGTGTTTGTTTAGGCTAACCTGTGAACCTTGTGCGGGCCCCTGTCCTAAAGCATGCCAGGGAAATAAAACGATTGACTCTGTAACTTCGGCCCAGGCGTTAAGAGGATGCACCGTCATTGAGGGCAACATGGTCATCAAGATCCGAGGAGGAAGTAAGTAGTTTACCCACCGCTGTAACAGCTGCATGTTCTGTCATTCTATATTTTGCATAATAGTCTCTGCCTGGCTGAAAACTCCACTGTCTTCCTGCTTACAGCGAACATAGCGGCCGAGCTGGAGGCAAGCCTTGGTCAGATCGAGGTCATCAAAGGTTACCTTAGTATTCGCAGAGCCTACGCATTGGTCTCCCTCTCCTTCCTGCGAAAGCTACATACTATTAAGGGAGAGCAACTTGAAGCAGAGTAAGCGCTCCTTCTTCCACCTCTCATCTCATATTTATTTCGTGCTAGGATGCATCTGTTAACTGCTTATTTCTGCGTTCCTCCATTAGTAGCTACGCCTTCTACGCGCTCGACAACCAGAACCTCCGCCAGCTGTGGGATTGGTCCAAGCATAACTTGACGATCGAACGAGGTCGCACGTTCTTCCACTTCAACTCTAAGCTTTGCATGTCGGAAATCAGAAAGCTAGAGGAGATAACGGGAACCAAGGAGCGCAACCAGAAGAACGACATCGCAGCTCGCACCAACGGAGACCAAGCATCCTGTAAGAGACCTCATGTCTGACTCACTAAACATTTTTGGATAACATATAAGAAAAATATTGAAAACCATTCATCCTTTTCCACCCACTTAAATATACACCACTTTGTGTAGGTTGATAACATCTCAATAATGTATCAAGTTTGTAAATTTAATGTCATAAAATGTTTTTGAAGAATTAACACCTTTGTTGAAGTTTTGGATAAAACTTTATTTTCTCAAACTTTAATTATCTTTGGGTTGGAGATTAAAGGTTTTCTGTGATGTGTATTTCAAGCTGTTCTTACAGATATGCTGACCTCCGACTCTTTTGTTGTGTAGGTGAGATGCAGCTGCTGAACTTCACTTCTGTCAAGGTCAGGTTCAACATGATCATCCTGAAGTGGAATTCGTTTTGGCCGTCGGACTACAGAGACCTGCTGGGCTTTATGGTTCTCTACAAAGAGGCGTAAGTGGGAAGTTTTTATATCCCAAATTACATGTTTTGTTTTTTTTTATTTCCATTACAGCATTGTCATATTTATGATGTTACAGTCATTGTGCATTTTTTTCTGTTTTTTCCCCTGAATTTTCTGACTGACTTTTTTTTTTTATGTCAAACGCAGCCCGTACAAGAATGTGACGGAGTTTGACGGACAAGATGCGTGTGGTTCAAACAGCTGGGTGATTGCTGACGTTGACCCACCGCCCCGCGCCAACCAGGAAGATCCAGGCTACCTCATCCGGTCGTTGAAACCCTGGACCCAGTACGCCATCATGGTGAGAACCCAGCTGTCTGCGTCTGATGAGCATCAGGTCCATGGAGCCAAGAGTGAGATCATCTATGTTCGCACGAACGCCTCAAGTAAGTAGAACTGACACTGATGTTAATTTTAGATTTTTAAACTGCTTAGACGACATATAAATACATTTGTTTTATCAACTGGGTCCAGATCTCATCATTGACGGAACCGCTTAGCTTAACTTACTTTAAAGCAACATCAATAATTATCTGAGCGCTACGTGCCGCTGTAAACTAGACATCAAATGATACAGCTTTTAAAGAAAACTGCTTATTATGAAACAGAATAGCAACCATTTCTGTTCAAGCATAATTAAAAAAACAAAATTACCAACGAGGCATATCAAAACAGAGAGAACATTGGTATCTGTAAAGATCCTCAGCAGAAGACAGATTGCTACAAATTACCAAACAATTTGTAGTGATGTGCAGAGTCTGATAGAAATAAATAATTGTTAGAACCTTAAAAGATAGTTTTCAGTCTGTGGAGTTTTTAATTAGACAAAAAAGAGAGTTTCTTTCCTTGTGAATAAAATAATTTAAAATTTTTCTTTTTTTCTACAGAAGTATTCATAAAACTGATAATTATTAACCTAAAACCAGTAAATTTAGGTTTTTTTATCCAACAACTGAAACCTTTCTGAGTTTTTATTCAGTAAAACATGGAATCAAACAGCTGTTCTGCTGTATCGTCTATCTTTTATCTTCTTTTACTCTGTTTTGCTTCATAAAACAGCTGACCGTACCATGACCACACTTTGCTTCAGAGTTGTGAATGTTCATTAGTTGTCTGCGAACAAATCAACTTTGAGTGTTCTTATTAAATTGAAATTCTAAAGGAAATTGTAATAAAACCATGATTATGATTTTGCTCCTGACTGCATAGTTTCCTCTCCTGAAAATAATTCACAACATATTTTGTGAGTTTAAACATGGAACTGCATGCAGTGTTACTTAATTGCATTCTTATTTCTTCCTTCCCTTCTGTTAAATCAATAACAGTAAAACCTCTCACTGTTTAATGTGTGTCATATGAGAATATTCGAATTAAATAGAGAGAATATTGGTATCCTTAAAGATATCAATGTGTCTTTGGTAGCTGCATAACTTTGTTGTCATTCCTGTTTTTACTGGAACTGTGTGTTTGCATCCATGCAAGTCTATCAAACAGTTCTAGTTCAAGGTTGCACTGTGTCTTATTTTACAGTTTTGACTAAATGTCGTCTTTTGCCTCCTTCAGAGCCCTCTGGACCTCTGGATCCCATCTCATCCTCAAATTCCTCATCTCAGATCATCTTGAAGTGGAAGCCTCCCACCAGTCCCAACGGCAACATCACCCACTACCGGGTCATCTGTCACAAGCAGGAGGAGGGCAGTGACCTTTATAAGTTTGATTACTGCCTGCAAGGTAAGTAAAAACTGTAACCATCGGCTGTCCCCCTTTCTCCTGGCTTCACCTCACACCACTCTGTCCTCCCCAGGAATGAAGCTGCCATCCCGCACCCCCACCCACCCCAACAGCGAAGACGAGCAGAAGTGGAACCGGACAGAAGAGCCCAACTCGGGGGGCGGGTGCTGCACTTGCCCAAAGACGAAAATGGAGATCGAGAAGCAGCAGAAGGAGATAGCGTACCGCAAGACCTTTGAGGATTATCTCCATAATGTAGTTTTTGAGAGCAAGTGAGTTGTCTCAGTCAGTTCAGTTTATTTATGTAGCATTAATTCACAACTTGCGTCATGCTAAGTCTTTTCCAAAGTCACATTTCCAGATGATTTCCCCCATTTTGTGATATATAAACCCTAAAATGCCTGATCAATTTTAAAAATTTCACTGTAAAATTCTGAAAGTCACAGAGAGACAGGAAGGGCACAAGGAAAGAACGAATGACAGTAGAAAGGATAAAGTGAAGAAATATTCAACAAGAGACAGTCCGGAGGCAGAAAGTGATGAAAAAAGAGAAGGAAAGCAACAAAGAAGGAAGGAAAGAAGGAGAAAGAGGAAGAAAAAGGCACGACAGGGAAAATAACAAAAACAAGAGAGTAAATAAAGAAAAAAGAAAAAGACTTTCTGAAGGATGAAAATCTGGAATAAAGAATGGAAATACAAATATTTTTCCAGTTTCTCCTCTTTTTCTGTATTTATCCCAACCTGGAAAACACCTAAATTCCTGAAATTTCAAGCTTGAATTTGAACCCTGAGCAACAAAAAACTAGCAATTAAAAAAATGCAAACAAGAAAACAGTGATTAAAAAACAAGAGCAAAAATAAATACAATAATTATTTTTTTTTAATCCCCTTTGATAACTTACTGTAAAGTAAGCTTAGTAGAGGAGTCATGTCGAAAAAACACAGAACAATTTAAGCCACCATTTCCCATTTTCACAGTAATCAGCTGCTTCACAATTGTTTGTGAAGCAAACGTTTTCTTTTAATCCCAGAAACCGTGACATTCATTTCGGAGCAGCTCACATCTTTCTGTCTGTGGGTTTTCTTAGACGCTTGTTTTTGTGCAAAGCAACAATTTTTGGGGGGCTTAAGGTGGGAGGTGCTGAGTATCTGACCCTTCCTCCCCCTGAAACACACACACAATTCACACAGTTCCCCAAGGGAGTGATTACTGTGCCCATTTTCATTTATGCCAGTCAGGGATGCAATCATGCGAACTGCCATTTGGAAACACACAAACACTCTGCTTCGCACACTCATGGCTGTTGAAGGGTTGAGCTCTTGGTACAAACAACAATCCTCGTGCTCCCTAAGTCCATCAACCAGTGGGAGACATGGGTGTTTTTCTTCCACCTGACTGAGAATCAACTCGGCAGGAGTTAAGCATCAACAGGTCGACCGCTGCTGTGATTAAACATATGAATTCTGCCATTTTTTTAAGTTTGGAAAAGTTTATTTCTGTGCTTTGACAAAAAATAATGTCCTCCACAAGATTTATTGGTTGCTTTGGTAAAAATGGCTTAAACCAAATGTTGTCTCACACTGGGAAAGAAATCTAACTTTTAAGATTTATTCTGTGACAAAAATTGTATTTTAAGAAATTGAATAACCCTAGAAACTTTTCAGGAGACAAAAAAAAACAGCAAAGTAGTTGTTCAGTTCTTCCGTGTAATGGAATATGAATGAAGTTTTTACTTCAATCTGCTCCTTTTTAAAAATGTCAGAAGGAAACGTAATAAGGAAAATGTTGATATGTTGAAAATTTATTAGTATCTGAACATGTTGGTGGAAAGAAATATTTGAGCATCTTAAAAATTATACTGTAGGACATAATTTTCCCTCTCTCTGCTCCTCCGTCGTGTTATTGTGGAAAGTGTTTCTCTGTTGACTAGAGACTGATTTAACAGCAGGTCTGCCAATAAGTGTAACACGACTTATTTTGATTAAAAATCTCAATTTAATTTTCTTTCCCACTAGAGATGTTTTCAGTCCGTTTACTCATTTTTGCAAGAGTTGCCAACATGTGTGGATTTTGCCTGATAATTAGAGGCGCTGTAGGTAAAGGAAGCTTCTCTCAGTGGCGTCTCATGCTGCAAATGGCTGCTGGTGCCATGAACGGGTCCAGAGGGAGTTTATCCTTTTAAAGTCATGACGTCAGACCAATTCCTGTGAAAAACTCGCTCGAGGTCAAGATTGTTAGCTTTTTGTAACGTCTCCTTGCCCTGTTTTCCCAGACAAAGTCGCCCACGACGCTCTGTGGAGAATCTTGAGCCCATTGGGTCCACACACTTTTATTCCACAATGTCCAATCTGCTGAACACCACTGCCTCAAACAAGGAAGAAGAGAAGGATGATAAGGTATCCAAGATCTCAAAAAAATTGTTCTGTTCCACGGGTAAAGTTCTCATTCAGTGTTTTTGTTTGTTTTCGGATGGTTGATGACGCAGTGTGAAACCCGCTTTATTATTTTTACGGTATCTAATGGCACATTCTCTCTCCTTATTTCTGCTCAGGTGGTGGAAAATGTGTTTGGAAGGGAGTCAACAGTCATATCCAACCTGCAGCACTTCACCAGCTATAAGATAGAGATCATAGCCTGCAACCATCTCACTGACTCCAGCCGCTGCAGCATGGCCACCTACGTCAGCGCCCGGACCATGCCAGAGCGTAAGAACCCTTTCACATAGCAAGATCTGTTTGTCAAACCTAAAACTAACACCATAGAAGATATTGATGTTTGAGATGAAATTATCTCCACTGAGATGCTGCTCCTAATGTCCAGTAAAAGCAGACGACATCCCTGGACCGGTGACCCATGAGATTGTGAATGAAGAACCTCCCCATGTGCTTGTGAAATGGAACAAGCCTCCATCGCCTAATGGCCTCATCATCCTTTACGAGGTTTTCTACCGCAAGGTTGGAGACACAGAGGTAAACCTCGGCGGCAGATAAAAATTTGCAAACACACCAAATAAACACTGAGAAATATTTCTATCACTAGGCTTTATCCCATTCTAGCTACCCATCCATCCTTTTGTCAATGGAAAGAAAAAAGAAAGTGACTTTTGTGTGCACTTCATATCAAAACTGGATTCTGGTTTTGATGGATAGGTGCACATCTGTGACGGTGTGCGCGTTTGGCTCTGGCTGTTTCCTTGCTGCAAATGTGTGATTAAAAGCCAGCATTAGCAACAGCTCTGTTGCCAAAGTGACAGAAGCAGGAAGGACGGTTTCAGATGCAGCATCTCAAAACTACATCTGCACTGCAGAGGAAACAGTCGAGTCACACACGCGCAGCCCAAACATGCTAATTTATAATTTATTAAAAATACTTTTCAGAGCATGTTTTCTAAGCGCTCATTAATTAACCAGGTTGTTCCTTTGTGGTTGCTTAAAGCAAAACAAAGATTTTAAGATGTTTTATTGTTTGTGCAGTCATTATTATTTTTTAAAATGAAACAAGCAGTGATTATGGTTAGCCTTTATTTTTTGTAAGCTAATTCATTCATTTTGTAGCATGAATACTTGGAAGGTTTGAGTGCAGGGGCACAATAAATTAATTTAGTCTCTTATCAATGCTTTTAAAGATGAATATCATAAATTAATGCATAATGCACCATTAATATCTGTAATAATAAAATAATGCAAGAAGCCTCTTTTGTCTTTCCTGAAATTCTTAATAAATATGTTTCCTGAGTTTTGGGTCATTTTGGTTGAAAGGCAGCTTTATGCGTCTGCATTCCCTTCTGTATTTAAACATAGATTTATTTTCTTTCTTAAAAAATCTTCCTGAACACAGAATCAGACCAAATTTTTTGTTTGAGTCTTTTACAAAAAAAAAAAAAATTACAACATCAGAGTTTGAAATTTGTAATTTTTATCCAACGTTTCTGTCCAATTACCTTACCTCTCATTATTTGTGAAACAAGCTCGTACCTTTTCCCTCTTTTCTCCAGCCCCACTCAATCTGTGTGTCGCGGCACAGCTACGAGAAGTTCGGTGGCACAAAGCTCACCCTGCTACAGCCCGGGAACTACAGCGTGGTCGTCCGGGCTACGTCCTTGGCTGGAAACGGATCTTTCACAGAAACCACATACTTCTTCATGCCCAGCCGTAAGACAAGATGACGTCTAGCTTCACGAGCTATTTATAGTTCCCTTTTCTTCATAATGCGATTCAGCGTTTGCTAGGTTGACGTTCAGAGTGATACGTTTTCTTACTCACCGTCTTCTGTCTTCCTGCAGCTGATACAGGCATAATTTTGATTGTTTGCGCTCCGATTGTCTCCTCCATCTTGCTGATGTGTGTGGGAGCCATCGCCTTTTATGTCTTCAAGAAAAGGTAAAAAAATTATTAAACTTTGTATTCCATCATCTCTAACAATACAGCCACAAACCTCAACGTATTTTATTAGAATTTTTGCTGGTAGACCTACACAAAGTAGCCGAAATTGTTAAGTGGAAGAAAAGTCATGCATGTTTTTCCAAGTGTGATGTTTACTTTTATTTTTGATGGTGTGCTGTGAAGGCCTGAGAGGTTTTTAAAGCCCTGCACCCCTACTGATATTAAATAAAGCAGAAGGAACTGAACTTTTTACATGTTGATGGTACAATTGTTTTTTAACTGTATCCTTTGCAACAAATGATGAAAATGTTCCTGTTGTCATTTAGGAGGAATTTAATTATTTGCTTATCTGCATCTTTTAATATGTGTTATATCAGAAAGACTGATTGATTAATTGAATAATCTGCAGTATGTGCCAATTTTGTTTCATCAACTGAATCAATTAATTGTCAGAGTAATCAATTACTTAAATAATAATTAGCTGCAGCTCTACTAGCAGCGTCTCTCATGCTTTCTGTGCTTGTGTTACAGGCAAACAGAGGGACCATTAGGAGATCTCATCACCTCACCAAATCCTGAATATTTCAATGCCAATGACTGTAAGTCCAACCTGTACCCTGTTTTGCTTTTTCTTTTTTCCTAAGTATGTTGCCACCGTAAAGAAGTGAAGGGTTCCTGCAGCCATCTGTCTTGTTTTTTGTTTAGTGTATGTTCCCGACGAGTGGGAGGTGCCTCGGGAGAAGATCTTGCTGCTCCGGGAGCTGGGTCAGGGCTCCTTCGGCATGGTGTACGAGGGAAACGCTCAGGACATCGTCAAAGGAGAACCGGAGACGCGTGTCGCCGTCAAAACCGTCAACGAATCGGCCAGCCTGAGGGAGAGGATCGAGTTCCTGAACGAAGCTTCGGTCATGAAGGCCTTCAGCTGTCACCACGTGGTACGGCCGAAAGCCATCAGCATCCGTCCGGCATGCTGAGGCAGCTTGCTGACTCTCAGCTTTTTGTCATGTTGCTGAAAGCAGCATGAGCACATGTGACTCATAGAGTCATGACTCGCTTGTTGTGCCTAAGCTGCCATATTGACACACAGCGAGACTCCAAAGCAAATGTTCACACTCCGTGAGCGATGGTGCCCGCTATTACTATTTCATTACACAACCTGTGGAGCGCCAATTAAGCCGCCGCACTGTCGGCTAAAAGCAAAACCGTGTTGGGATGTAGAGGAGGAGTTTTATTATTTACCTGTGGAGAAGCAGAGATAGTCCACATTGAGCAATAGTTGGTAAATGTTGCAACTTGTCTGCATAGTAAAGACTCACGCAGATCTGGGAAAATATTTATATTCAATGTACTTGTAGGCATTGAATGAGATTCAAGTTAGTTCTCTGTCTATTTTCATAAGTTTTGTGTTTGGACTCTTTAGATATTGAACGTAACAATATTTATACAATTGGATGTGTTAGATAATATCTGGTTAATTTTAAACATTTAAATGCAAATTTCACACTTGTAGTATCTGTAAAATGAGCCGTTTCCTAAATCGGCACTACCTGTCACTTAGCAACCCTAGCAGAGCTCCAGCACGTTTGGTCAGCTGGTTTTACCCCTGTGTGTGGTGTACAATGGCCGCTGGAAAAGACAAGTATTGCTAACTTCCCACCCAGAAACCACTTGCTGCATTCTTGTTGGTTGTGCAGGAGGCTCGACTTCTGCTTTTCAAAGATGTATGGTTGTATAACGTGCGTCTGTTTGCAGCCATTTTCATGTGTGAATGTAGACATTGAGTTGTGGGCCAGCAGCAGCTTATTTGTATATAGAGACAAGAGACCTAAAATGGCTCATTCAAGCTCATCATCTAAAAATGATTTTGCTCGAAAAATGTTCTGTATACATGTTCAGTATCGCCCAAACACCTAAACTAATGTGTTCAAGGATGTCTAATAGTTCACCTTTATTGACATTTCTGTTGAAACCACCCCTAATAAAAATAAGTCCAAATAATAAATGACTGTAGTTATTTGTATGCTTGTTTTTAATATTTTTCATGTGTTTTTAGGTTCGTCTGCTTGGAGTCGTGTCCAAAGGTCAGCCCACGCTGGTGGTGATGGAGCTGATGACTCATGGTGACCTGAAGAGCTACCTGCGGAGTCTGAGGCCAGACTCTGAGGTTTGTTCATCCTCCCACCTCCACATCACCATTTTTATTATCAGTAAAGAGAAAATGTTCTCTCAGCCTGCTGGGATTACTGACAGACTGAGAGAAGGAAATAATTCTGGATAAAACATGAAGACGTTTGTTGTTTTATGTGTGTTTTTCTTTCTAGAACAATCCATCGGGCTCCCCGCCACCCACTCTGAAAGACATGCTCCAGATGGCAGCAGAGATTGCAGATGGCATGGCCTACCTCAACGCCAAGAAGTTTGTGCACAGAGACCTGGCGGCCAGGAACTGCATGGTGGCAGAGGACTTCACCGTCAAGATCGGAGGTCCGTTCTCGTTTTATTTTCCGTGACTTTCCCACTGTAAGCCCAGTGAGCGGGAGAGGATTTGCCTGACTCGTTATTTGCTCCCACACAGACTTCGGAATGACGCGGGACATTTATGAGACAGACTACTATCGCAAAGGAGGAAAGGGCCTGCTTCCTGTCAGGTGGATGGCTCCAGAGTCTCTGAAAGACGGCGTGTTCACTGCCCACTCTGACTGCTGGTACGTCCCGCCCCGGACCCCGCACCGACGCCGTCCTGAAAACAAACGTTTAGTCATGTTTGCGTGGCTTGTTTGCAGGTCGTTTGGGGTCGTGCTGTGGGAAATCAGCACGCTAGCAGAGCAGCCTTACCAGGGCTTGTCCAATGAGCAGGTCCTGAAGTTTGTGATGGACGGAGGGTCCCTGGACCGACCCGACAACTGCCCTGAGAGGATGTAAATGGAGATTGTTTTTATTCACTTCCTTTTCCTTCCCAGTAAAAGTAAACAGTCTTAGCAATAATTCTCTTTTCCACTGTAAGAAGTGGAAAAGTAATTCTGATTTTAATTTCTTTACTATGACTTATAAAGCTTTCGCATCAAACTAGTTGCGTATGTCTTTGTGTCTTACTTATCCCAAATTGGACAAAACTTCAACGTTTATGAATAATTTTGTAAAACTTTTATTTTATCTTTTTTTTTAGGTGTGATTTTTTTTTCTTTTGTTAATCTGGTTTCGTGTCTCACAACCAGGCACAGCCTGATGCAGATGTGCTGGCAGTACAACCCCAAGATGCGGCCGACGTTCCTGGAGATCATCGAGATGCTGCGGGACGACCTTCACCCGACCTTCCAGGAGGTCTCCTTCTTCTACAGCGAGGAGAACAAAGTCCCGGAGACGGAGGACTTCGACCTGGACCTGGACAACATGGAGAGCATCCCCCTGGACCCGTCGTCTTATTCCCAGAGGGAGGAGAGCTTAAGCAGAGACAGCGGGCCCTCGGTGGCCCTCAGGGGGAACTACGAGGAGCACGTCCCCTACACACACATGAACGGTGGCAAGAAAAACGGGAGAATCCTGTCGTTGCCCAGATCGAGTCCTTCCTAACACCTCCTGCCCCGGAAATGACTAGTAACACTTCCCTTGTCCCCAAACCCCCCTATCTTTCTGTACCCTGCAACCATTTTCTAACGATTTTCGTATTCTTAGAGAAACTCTTTAAAAAAAAAACAACAACAAAGAAAAAAAAAAAAGACACGGATCTCAGGACTTTGAATTTTCTTCCTCACGGCTGCCAAACCAAGGCAAGCAAGGGATGCAAAATGCCTCTTTTTAACTTGCTCCACGACACATCAGACTTCAAATTACCCTGGTTTGCGGTAATAGATTAACAGCACGTTTCCAGGACTCCTTGTGACGGAAACAATAAAACAAAAAAAATTTAAAATCAAAACTGTGAACACAACAAACCTTAGACAACCAAGAAGGCTGCTCGACCTTCCCCACCACCCTCCTGCCGAACTGCATTTTCCACACTTCTGTGCTTTTAACTTTTTTCGTCTCTCCAAATGAAATCTTTTTACTCTGATGGTGGCCTTTTTTAAAATATGTGGCCTATAAACTAAAGAATCATGTCTAAGTAAATTCCTTTTTCTTTTTTTTTTGTATGATGACTTAATCAGTGGGATGAATTGATCTTAGAACAAACACCTATTCCTGGAGGAACGTTGTCTTTCGTCTAATTTTCTTTTCTTTTTTTGGTTCTGCAAAATTCCGAACTGCACACAGATTTATCTGGTGTTTGGTGAATAATTTTAATTTATTGGTTTTATTTCCCTCTTTGTTTCAGTGTCCTCACTTTGTGGCTGAAGGATATTTAAATAGTTAGAATTTGGACAAAAAGAGTTCATCAGACTGACCAATAGTTGCTGCTTTGATATATTATAGTGGGTATAGAAATATATAAATATATATATATATTATATATGGTATATATATAAAATAATGGCGTTTCTAAGCCAATGTTTTATATATAATATACTGTATAACATTGATGGGGTTTTGGTTTTGTAAATACTGTAGTTGATATTTGTGTTCATCCGAGGCTTTGCTTGCGTTATAATGTCTTTCTTTTTTTAGTAATTATTTTTGTTTTTTTAGCCCCGGAAGTTACACTAATCTACCGTCAGTGTTCTCTGTGTCTTAGGCATCCAGCCCTTGATTATTTCTTGTTGTTTTATTTTATTTTTTTTTTTTTTTTACAATCTTTGGGGGAAAATTTCCCATTTCTGGAGGCAACTTTACTACTGGAGAAAAAATTGAAAAGATCAATAACCTAAAAGCTTTACAAATGGGGGATTGAGGCCTTTCTAGGGTCAAAGTGCTCCTGATACATGTTCGTCTGCTGTTTTCTCTGGGCGTATCACAGTTTGCCTTTTGATCTCTTTGGCTTTTTTTGTGGAGGAGAAAAAAAAAGAAACGAAATTCGGTTGCAAAAATTTGGTATGGAAGTTACGCAACTTTCTGTGTTTTGGTGCAAGTTTCGTCTCGGTTAGGGCTTGTAAGAAGGCAGGTGAAGTGGAGGATGTTTGGGATTTAAATCAGGGAGAGTTTCTCCATTAAAGTCGAGCATTGATGAATCTCCCACAGTTCATTGCTCCTGCACCGCCGTCGCTTCCTCCACTGCTTCCTGCCGGAGGTCTGGTGGAAATTTCCACGTTTTCCTGGCCGAGGGCTGCAGAGAGATGCAGAAAGTTCCAAATGTATTCACAGCCGGCAGTCCTGCTCTCTGTCCAGCACACCGGGTCATGAGTAGATTGTTAATCCTTTTCTCCTCCCTGCCATCACGTGCAGTCAGAGCACGGCGTGCAGCAGCTTTCTCGCTCAGGACTAACATTCCAGGATATTTGTCAAAACTCCCCGTTCCCTCAAAATCCTGTTACGTTGGACTGTTTTGCTGTGCTCCTCTTTGGCTGCCTGTTTTTTTTTTGTTGTTTTTTTTTAAGAAGATAAACAGTCACTTTTCTCCCCATAAATCTAAAACGTTCCTGTCAGCGGCGCCAACAAATCAGCTAAAAAGATTTCCATTCAGAGCAGATGGTGAGGATTCTCTCAAATGTCATTTTCCTCTCATCCTTTTCTTCGAGGACACAGATACTGTGATCGCCGAGCCAGCTGAGCGGCGATCATCTTTTAAAGGGTGGCCAAAGTCAGAGATAGCAGAGAAGCTGCCTCCATATCTCACCAGTGCCTTTTTTTTTTTTTTTTACTTTTTCCTCTCCAACAAACCAGAGCCTCTTTTACGGCTGATGTAACACGCAGGAAACACTCGCTGTTGTTGTTCTGATATCACAAGAAAAGTGAAAGGTCTCCTCTTCGACACGAGGAGTCGTGTTTGGGTCGGTGTGGACAGACCGGGGTCTGAGTCGTTGCGACCTGGAGACCTGGAGTTGGCAGAAGGGGACAAATTTGTTGGTATAACTGGAAAACATGTGTGACGAGCCTTAAAATCTGCAACACAGACATCAGAGTGAGCCTATTCTCACTCGGAGTGTTTTGGGAAAATCCAGCCTTTAATTTGAGTACAGTTATTTAGTTCTAGAAAAATCAACAGTAGTGCATTTACTGGCTTGATTTTTGTGCAGGGAACCATTTTTATGTTCATTTGGAAGCTTGAAAATTGTTTTTGGGCGTTTATCATCCTGGAAGGCTTAATGTCGTGACTGATTATTGGTGTAGTTCACCAGCTTTTTGCTAAAATCTTTGCTGAAGTCACCAAGAACAGTCACTAATCGGCCCACAGCATCACAGATCCTCCTTTTTAGGAGTAAAAAGGAGGTTCTGTAATTTTTTAAAGATTTTAGTCTGATTTGACCAACGCACATGATTCCCAGAGGAGTTCAACAGATTGCACACAGTCACGTTTGTGGCGGTTCTGCAGAAAGGCTGAATCTTTTAACCAACCACGTGGCGTGTAGCTAGCGTTATGGAGACCGGCGAAACCGGGAGGACACGTATTCCCACATTTCCCAGTGAACTTTTTATCACCTCCATCTCTGTAAGTGATGGCAGTTTAAATCTAAAGCGAGCATAAAATATAGAAATCCTTCAGATAATAAATGAAATGATTATGTCTTATATGTCTGTTGGAATTCTTCAGAGATTCTGCTGCAGCAACGAAAAGCAGGACTTTCTTTTAAGCCTTTTTTGTTTTTGTTTCGCACACATGTACCAACAAATTGGTCTGTCTGAAATGTTGACCAGTAATGCCACGGATGTAAAATCTTGCCTTACCGCTCCGTGATTGAGATATAAGTGGGCAACAAAAGATATAAAACTGCACAACTCTGGCTTATCAAGAGACATTTGGAATATTCTACCAATTATTCTTAAGGTTTCAAACACTATCACACTACAGTATGCACTAGTCTGTTGCATGGTCTCGTCTCCATATGCAAATGTTAAATGATCTTTGGCAGCCTCTTTGGAAAAAGCAACTATTTATTTCAAACTGAACACACGTTCTTGCTTTGGTTGAGCGTCGGTGAGGTTCCGGGTGGAGGAGCTGGCGGTGAGCAGCTCTGTTAATAGTTTGTAAGTAGTCGTCGTCTTTGTCTTTATGTTTGGCCGGAGTCTACCTCAGCGCAGGAGGAGGAAACCGTTCAAAAAGCCTCAATCATCCCCACTGCCTGCTCAGCGTCACTGCAGAGAGTCATCACCTAATTCCACACACACACACACACACACACACACACACACACACATGGTGTTAACGCTCCCCTGCCCTCTTTTATATACCCTTAGTTACTGCTTTGTCTTGTGTCAGGGGGGAAGCCTTGCGTTGTTTTGAGTTAAACACAAACCTTGGAGCTTGGTGAGCGGCTCCTTCTCCCGCTCCGCAGCCACAGGAGGAAGCAGATGACCTCCACGCTCCGTCTCTCTGCTCACATCTGCTGATTTCACAGCAGATCCTGAGTGTCTCTGTGATGATCACCTGTTTGCAGCCAAAGCTAACGAAGCTCAGTCACAGACCTTACGCTCTGTAAAACGACCTTTCCCGCATTCATCCTCCTCCAGTCTTAAGTCTGATTTTTATCATCTGTGTATGTTTTTTTTTTTTCCCCCAACTGTGAATATCAAAAGATTACCTTTTATTTTCTGTTATCGCCATGAATACAGTGGGTCTGTTCACGACACAGAAATGCGGGCCTGGTTAAACAAGACCTCTCACCCTGATTGCAGAGGAAAACAAGCTGACTGGGACAATCCTGTGTGCCATAAACAAAAACTTTTAACAGATTTAAAATCTCGATTGTAAATTTTCCTCTCAGGGAGGCGGCTCAATGCTTTGCCTCAAGAGCATAAAGAGGAGGAGGGGGAAGAAGAGCTACCTACCTTTTTATCTACTCTAAGTCAATTAAAGATAATCAGGAATCCTCCTCTCTGTGGCTCTGATGTGATGTGGTTCAGACTGCCCTCTAGTGGCTCACTGGGGGCATTGCAGTGCCTTCTTAAGACTCGGCACACTTGACTCAAACTGTCCCCCAGACTGACCTGTCTCCAACAAACACACAAGATTATCCATCTCCAAGCATTAAATAAAAACATGTTTTTTTACGTATCCTATTTGTTTTTTCTTTGGGCTTTAAATGGAGGGGGGAAAAAATACATACTGTAATTTGTGACAAAGAAGAAACAGCTGATGAACTCTGCTGAGCTCCAGCCTGCTTTGTTGATTGGATGAGAAATGTGCACCAGCCTGATGGTTTAATGTCTGTCTCTGATCCGTCTGTTACCACTGGGACGCCCAGCCCAAAAGCACACACACACACACACACACACACACACACACACACACACACTAAACAACAAAAGTGCATCATTTGGAAATCTCTACAATTTTAATAAGCTCATCAAACTGTAAATAGCAGCCGATGTTTTCTGTCCAGAAAAATGGAAATAAAGAGAAGCACTTGATTTTAGGGAAGGTTCGCTAAACTCTTGGGTGAGAACAAAGCAGATTATGGTTTATTGTTTTTGTTTTACGCAAATATAAAAGTATTACATTTTAGAGATGTTGAGTTCTATTTTTTTAGCCAAAGTAGGGGAGGATAAATACAATACTTTTTCTGACTGTAAAGATTTCCTACTCTTGTAAATGATGAATTTAACGTTATCGATGTGTGTGTATATATCTTTTTCTAAATTTAAGATGATTGATTTTTCTTCTTTTTATTGTTTTCATGACCCGACCCACCCACACAGAAAAATGTCGTCATCTGTTTGTGTATTTAAATAGGAGGAGCAGCAGCTTTCTAGTCTGAGGACGAGTTAAACAGGATGTGGCCTCAAACTTTTGGCATCTCATAATCCCACACTAGTGTTGTGAATGTCGGCCGCCCAGGCCCCACTCTTTGATGCCGAACCTCGGTGGAAGCAGCATGTCGACCAAGAAGCCTTCTCTCACCAATATGTCTCCCTATTTTTTTTTTTTTTAATCGTCAATATCAAACATTTTCACTTGAAATTTGGAGAAAAGCTGGAGAAGACCACTGCTCGAATTCGTGGAGGAGGAATTCTGGAACGAGATCCAGAATAAACTAAAAAAAAAAAAAAAAAAAGCTATGGTGTGCTTTTGAGAAAGAGTTAAACTCTCTAAACGTCTGGAGATGTTTCTTCTTGCAAAGGTTAAAATGTTTGAGTTTGGTAAAAGTCCATTCAGATTATTTTTATTTAGCAGATCTATTCCTCTCATCATAATTTAGTCAAAAGTTTACAAGTCATAAAAAAATATAGATGACAGTTGATTACTTCCCAAACTTGTGAACAGCCCTGTTTATTCAATTAGGCAAAAGTGAAATGAGTGGAGTGCCATATTTTGTTTTTTCTCCTAATTTTACAAAGTACATTTGTAAAATGTACCTTCCACACATTTGCAAGGATGTTCAGCATGGCTTGTTTTTCTAGAGGCTTTTATTGAAATCTTTATTTCTTAACAGGGCCTCACCTCACTTCAGCTCCATACATTTTCCCGAGATTTATATGTAGCTATATAAATAAAATGGGACGTGTCCGGCTCTGACTAAAACCACCCGTTTTATTTTAATTTGGAAATTCAAATTGATCTCAGATAAATGACTGTACATGGACCCTCTTTGTAGCACTAAATCGAGCTGGTGGTCTGCTCCAGATTAGAAACCTTCTGGGTTTTTTTGTTTTGTTTTCTGGTTGCTTCTCTTCATCCTCTCCGTCTCTAAGAGGACAGAGTGCACATAGGTGGTTTCCCAGATTTCTGTGTGTAGTCCAGCAGGATACCTCTTTATTCATGTACATTTTATTGCGGATGTGTTCGTTTTTGGAACATGTTGTGTATACGTTACGATGAGATGTTGTTGTGACTGCAGACAGCGGGTGTAAATGTGTGTTTGTACAGTCGAAATCCCCAAAGCTTGCAAAAACCCCCTTGCAAAGACGTCGCTTTACCCCCCCGTCCTCCTTCTCACCTCACACTGGATCCAGATGTGCCATGATCTGCGTTTGTGTACCGCAGACAGCAAACATGTTGGAGTTCCTCTCACTCACACACATTAAACGCTGAGATAAATGCTCATTGTACAGGATCAAAAAAAATTGTGCCATGACTAAAAGAACGCTTGACAATTTATTTTTTCTATACGTTTTCAAACGGAGAGCCAAGTAGTGACATGCAAAGAAAATGTTGCAATGATATGAAAATAAGAAAATCTTGCTGTGTGTAAATTATTCAACAATTAACTGTTTATATTAAAATTATGAATAAAATTATTGGAGAATATGCGTCCAATTGCAGTCCTTTGTTCCATAAAAGTTTTCAGAGACAAACTCATGGATCTGGTTTCAATAATGATCAGAATCCAGAGGCATTTTCCTCCAGCAAAAAGTCATAAAATCTTTCTGAGTTTCACAGACATTCTATGTAAACATGTCATTTATATTTTTGAAAGAACTACAACACATTATATTTATTGTTTTAGGTTTTAAACGAAGAAAATACCTCATAGGAAGAAGCTAAAATCGATAACCCGCTATTAAAATGCTCATCGCTGAAGCCAATTGACAAAAAAAAAATCTAAGTTCAATTATCTTTTAATATTTGCATGTGTATTATAATCTACAGCAAACTTTCAGAAGGTTGATGCTTGTTCTTAAAAATGGTAATTTAGCTAATTTTAAACATTTCTTGTGCACAAAAAACATTTTACTCCTTTGGCCAAAATGTTTTTTTTTCCTGAGTTTTAGCTTCCCAAAAGCAATGAGACGTTGAATTGATGTGGTAGATAGATGATGGATGTCAACCAAACAAGACGTTTATTAATAATGCTTTTTGAGAAATTGTAAATATTGTGTGTATGTCATACTAGAAATTTACTAAGCACAACATTCAGTTCTATTAAAAGGTGAATTATATCTGTAATAATAAATGTAAGTTTTGTAAAAAACAATTTTACAAAAATGAGTATAATTAGTTTGGATTGTTACTTCTGGGTAACATCTTGTAACAGTTTGAAATATTTCAGACTAGAGATGATTTAATGACTTCAAATGTTGAGTAACACGTGTTACTATTAATTTATTGATAGATATAAATAGTTGTTTAAATTTTATTAAAATTTTTAAGATTATTTCAGGCTAATGATTATTTATATACATATTACTACATTTTAGCGCCTTTTCAAAGCCTCTGATTCCCATGTTAATATGTTATACCTGACTATTCCTAAGGGGGGCACTACAACCCACTCAGCAGGGTAGAATCACCACAGCAGAATCACCATTTCATCACAGAAACAAATAAATACACACTCCAGAAATACACAAAAGTACTAGTGAAGGTAATTAAAAAAATATTAAAACATTTGTGTACCATTGGAGAGCTATTATTCCCATTTTTGTTGTACTTACGAACTTTCCCCGGCGGAGCTTTTAATGTTAGAGTTGTGTGCATTACTTTCCTCCTTTTCATCTATATTGGGAATGTGATAAAAAAAAGACTTGATGTTCAGACTCCTCTCCCAGTCTGAGCGCTTTTCCTAAAAAGAACAGGCCATTATCAGCACAACAAACCTGGTCTTCAAGCAACACTGGTTTGCAGGTTTTTAGGAAATGTTGATGTTTCGCTGTTTTAACACGCCTGATTTAGATTATAGCTGTTTAAAAAAAGTCTGTTACTCAGCAAACATTGAAGTCAGGTGTGGTGAGGCATTAATCACCCTGAAACAATGGCCTAAAAAAACAACTTGCAGCTGGAATTGTGTCAAAAATGGTCAAACAAAGGAAGTTGATTACTATTCCACAAAGATTTTTGGATGACTTTTTAAATATAGGTGAAAATCATAAATGCTCCTTCTGTTTCATAGTTAAGTATTGGTGTTGACCTTTCACATGAACTTCAAATAACAAATGTTGGAAATAAAACCAAGCAGGATCCAGTGTGAACAGTTCACCACTTGGTTACAGTTCAACTTAAGTAGGTAGAAAAAAATTATTTTTTTAATTATGTTTTTCTTCAAAAGAAGTACATCCTGACACAGCTTCTGAATGACATAGAATAATGCACATCTGTTGATGTTTCCACCCAGGCTTCAGTCTTGCGCAAATATCTTTTGCTTTTTAAACGGTTGGACTTTGTGACTCAAGAGGTTTGTTCTGAGCCACCAGATTCAACAGAAGTAACAAAGCCCTAGATGGGCCCATTGAGCCCATTCAGCCTGAACCTGTTAATAACTCGTTCATTTCGGGGAGGTAAAGTCCAGACTGATGTTTGCTAGACAAATCAAAGAGCTTCTGGAAGAATGTTTGGACAAATACTGTAAGTTCATCCAGGACAGCTGCCATTTTCAAGAAAGCCCTCAAACATCTGAGGACTGAGGAAAAACTTTCCAGCTTCTGCTCCAGCTGGTACTCTACTTCCTGTCGTCCTCAATGGCTGGTGTGTTCTAGAGGCGTCTAACTGAATCACATACCTAATTTATTATTATTATTATGGATTCTGTAGGACTTGACTACATGCAGTAGAACAACTTAAACCATTTGATTTAGATAGATCGGACCCGGGAAGATCTGCCTGAACTAAACAGCACTCCATCATATTAATGAGTTTAATGCAGTTATATAGACTGTGATCTCCAGATATCAGGCTGGAACAAATGTTTAGATTTTATGTTGGGTTGAAAACCTCCTCGGTCTAAACTCGTCTCAACGTAGAGACGCGATATAAACCGCACATATCCAACTCTCCACATTGACGCAAGTGTTGGTCAAACGTTGCAGCAGTGACTCATTAGTAAGATTACTTCATCTCAAAATGTGCTATGCAGACGCCGTGTCTGTGCTGATGATTACTCACTTCGGCATGCTGAATGCGTGAATTGGCTCCTGCTGATGTTAGCCTGACCGACTTTTTGATTTTTTTTCAGATAACAGTAAAATAATAGATTATGTTTGTCCATTTGGTGCACTGATAGACTGTAAACGTTCCTGTCCAGATGGTCAGCCAATAAGTAAGTGCGGGGAAAAATGAAATGAAACGTTGAAGCTTTTCTTTACAACCTTTGCCACAGTTTGCACACATTACAAAAAAAAAAAACAAAAAAAAAAAAACTGAGGCACATGAGAAGCAAAACATATTTCAATTCTGTGATAGGACTCGATGTTCACATTTAGTTTTTCATGTTTAGGACCTTGTAAACCAGTTCTTAGATTAGCAGCTTGACAATAAGCTTTGCTATTCCTTTCAGGGTCCATCTACTCTGAATCCTGTGTCAGAAACAATTCTTCCACTAAGGAACAATAAATTCAGAGGTAGCTCATTTGTTGTGTCATCTAAGTTGAAATGTTAACACATGTAACTCCATACAATTAAGAAGTGTAATTACACTTTCATATGACTCTAGTGACAACAATATTGAGTTTTCCTTCCTTATTCTATGCACTTATTAGTGCTGTGCAGAAGTTTTAAGTCAACCCCAATTTTTAAACTACTTTTAATATTTATTTATTTGTTACTCTTTTGCCTTCAAGGAAGCATAATTTATCCAATCTTTGCAAGAAAACTCTGTCATCAAGTCTCAAATGCTATTTTGGCTCCAAGTTCTTTTAGTCCATTTAACAATGGAATCGAGTTATTCAGGCATAGAGAGACTATTTTTGTCTCCTCAAGTGAAACTTGCACCTGCAGGTTTGCAGAGTCCTTAGACAAAATGTGACACCAAGTGAGAGTACCCTGCAACCCAGAGCATCAAGAATGATGCAGTAAGTTGTTGTGATGGTTGTGAGTGTGACGTTTGGCGATGAAGCAGCTCGAGTTGTTGGGCTCGCTCAGCAGAGAGGTTCACTGGCAACACAGCACCTTGTTTTCTGCATAGTTTTGCCGTCTGACCTGCAGAGCAGCGTTGTGGGCTGCTGTTCAGAGTGTCAGCTGCCATCACTTGTTTCACAGCTGTAGTGATGTGGGAAACTGTGCGTCTGAGCTGCACAGAATGAGAGGGGAAAAGAGGAAGCAGTTGGTTGTCTTTTTACTCTCAGTCTGAGACCCAGAGGAACACTCTCACACTCAAACTCGAAGGACTTTAGTCCTCTTTTCTGGAGCTTTTATTCAATTTTAAGCACAAGAACTGATGAGAAGTCGCGTGCCGCCTGCTGTTTCACCCAATGTGAGTAGAGACTGGTTTGTTTTTGCAGAAACTTCTGCCGGTTCTCAAGTAAAATCCTCCACAGTGACAGCTTGTTTTTTTGTGCTTTTTGTGCTCAGTATGCAACACAGTCTTGTTCTAATCCATCTCGTAGTGGTGTCTACGTCGTTCGTCTTTGTGCCTGTGTTCTATTTTTCAAAAGCAAAACACTTGGGGAAGTCATAAACTATATGCGCTGTGATCTACTTCATAGTGGCTGCAGTTGTGCTAAGATTAAACCAAAAGTGCTGCAAAAATAGACAAACTGTCCTTTTTTGTGTACAGTAAGTCCCTTAAAACTTTTAAAATCATTTCGGAGCAGACGTGTTGGCGTGTTCTTCTGTGAGTCAAAAAGAAACAGTTTCATTGCTCTGTGCTGTCATTGCATCCACTTCCTTCTCTTTTTTTGTATCTGCCCTATTTCCCAAAACCAGGCACATATGTGAGCCGCTGTGGGGGAGTAAGAAGCACCATTTCCATAATTTAACTTTAGTCTAAATAACTGGTAAACTTTTACGCATTTCCCCCTTTTTTTGTTACTTTCTCTGCTGTTGGCTGTCACTATAATTATAATAATCCGCTTTTATTTTGTCTAAATGGCTGATTTAAAAAACTAAAGGAAGGAAAAACATCTAAGAAAAAGAGCAGCAGATGACAGTTTTTAGGAATTTTCACTTGTGTTTTTCGACGCCAGTCCTCCCACTATCGTTTCTATTTGAACATTTTGGCTGTGCAGTTCTTCTGTGTTGCTGCTGGAGGTAATCCCCAGCCTTCTGACTCCCCTCCCTGCACTGAGCTTCCCTCCCTCCTCCTCTCACTGGGTGCCACAGCACCAGTGTGATCAAACTCCAGTTCAAGCTGGCCTCTGCTCTGCTCCCATGGCTGACTCTCCTCTTAACCACTCCTGGCCGTCTTTCTCCAAGCTCTGGATGAAGAGATGGTCCTTCAAGAGAGGTAATCTGCTTCCAGGTTCAGCTTCAGTGTCAAGCCGTCTCTGACCCACCCGAGCTCGTGGAAACCGTCTCGCTTTTCTCCTCTGAGCTCCATTCAGTTCTTTTAACACGACTGCTGTTTGCCATTGTGACCTGAATGTGGTTTGCGGTGAAAGACGGTTGGAGGCTTTCAGATCAAAGTTGGTGAAAGAGTGAAAAGTGCATTTTGTCGAACTGTGAGAGTGCTGAAATGCACTGTTCAATCCAAACAGAAACTGTGATTATTTATCTGTGAAGTGACACCTCCTGTCTGCAGAGCTGTGTTTGACCTTTTGTGGTCAACGTCCAAGTTGCTCTGTAACGCACGCAGCAGCCCCTGTTCTTCTCTAAACCCGATGAGCGCTGCTGCTCCTGCTTCACTTTCGCTTCTGTGCAGCTTGGCACTTTCAAACGGCACCGAATTTTCTGATCAAAAAGATGAGGACAGCTTTTTTTAGATGTGCGCTTTCAAGCTCGGATCTGACAGCTCTGCTTTTTTTTTTTTTTTTAATCTGCAAGCAGCATCCGTCGTGCACCATGAGAAACGAACGGTGCTTCTACTGAACTCGTGCAAGCATGTAAATTGGTCACCACAACCTAAAACTCTTTCATGCTGTCACAGAAAGGGCAGTCTAAAAACATGCTTGATGTGACTGCAGGGGTTTTGTTTTTGTCTTGTCAGAATGACCCGAACTGAAAGCTGTCACCGTTTGCGAGCCATGCATCTGTGGGAAACGGCTCGACATGTGCAGCCTGACTAAATTAAATCACCTGATCACAGCCTGGGTTCCTCTTGTGATTATCATGTAGCGCTCAATAACATTGAACTGTGCGGGTAAACATGCGCTTTTATTTCCTTCCACATGTTTTGTTGAACATCCCCTTTAAGGAAGTAAAGGACATCGAAATGTCGTGGTTTTTAAGTGTAGGAGAAGATTTAGGTATTTGATTCTGCTAAAACATGACGTGTGTTTATTTCTGTGGATTTTGATGATTATGGCTTATGGATTAACAAAACTCAAAATTATGTTTCCCCTAAAAAAAATGTCATTACATAAGACTGAGAAAAATGAAGGATGTTTAACAGATATATGTTTTGTTAAAGTCGTGGTGTGGCCCTCATACTCATGGGGAAGACGTTTTTGCAAAAGCACCAGGCTCTACAGAGAGCTTTGTCCATGAGCTTTATTGGAAAATTGAGTGGAAGGAAAAAAGTGTGAAACAGATTCAAGAGGATTCTAAAAAATAATCAGCTTAGAATTTAGGTAGAGATTCGCAAGGCATGGACTGAGGCTGGAGTTGGTGAAGAGTCACAACAAGAAGACGTATTGGGTCGCGGGTGTTGCAGCTGTCTGTTTTTAGCCACTTCTAAACCAGAGAGAATATCATAAGCAAAAAAAAAAAAAAAAGAGGCAATGGGCTATTGCTCAGTGCTCCAAGTCCCTCTTTTCAGATGAAGGGGAATTTTGCCTTTTAGTTGCAAACTAAAATTTCAGAATCTGGAGGTAAAGTGGAGCGTCTGAGGCACAGAGGTCAGCTGATTTTCTATTAAAATAACATGAATTGAATTTAAAATGAATAATGTCATCTGCTGGTGTTGGGACAGTGTGTTAGGAAGTCAGAAGTCATCAGGTCACTTCATACTTCCCTCTATTGATGAGCTTTATGAAGATTATGAATATAGTTTTTACTTGCCCACGCCACTAAAGAGCCTTTCTGTGCTTTAATTTACTATAAAGAGGAAGATGAGGCACCAGATCCAACAATGCAGAGAAGCTGAGAGGCTGATGGATCATGGCCCGCAATGATGCAGTAATTCATGCAAAACAAACCCCAAATACATATTATCCTCATAAGGTGGATATTTGTTTTTAGTAGTGGAGCCTTTCTGAAATATCTAATTTGCTATTAGCTTAATGTAATATTTAAATTAATGCTGGGATTTAACTGGCTAAAGTCTTAGTCATTAAACTCTTGAAATATCACAGACTGACTGTATTAAATCAAATCAATGAGTTTCAATTGAATTAATGATGTAAATTTACCTTTCAATTATATTCTAATTTCCTGAGATGCATAAGTCCAAATGTAAAAAATTTTGCTGTGTTCAAATTTATAGTGATTGAACATATTTTAGCAGAATTTTTTCAACCAGTGATTGGAGTCATTTATTGCTTACAGATTCCTGTTTAAACAACTTGGATTTAAAGTATTTTAGTTCAACACAATACATGATGAATGCCTTGTTTCCTAACATACAGCTCAGTGCCTATGAATAAAAGCTAAGTTTTATGCTGAGTGTACTTCAATAATGTTAAACTAGTTCTTCATGCACACTTTTGAGCATATAAAGCACCAACTTGCTTGCAGCACATTTCACATGTTGATATTTTTACCTGAGTTTTTAATCGATTTTGCTGCGGAAAGCAGTCTGATAAGAAGCATTTTAAACCTGAGTGTATGTGCACACACAGTGCACACACAGTCATGCACTGATGTTTCATTGTTTTGTCATGTCTGAGAAGAAATGAAAGGCCAACCATAAAAGGCCACAGCGACTCTGCAGCCCGGCATTGAACGGCTGCTGCAGAGTCTCCTCTGAGTTTACACTTAACACAAGAAGGATTTGGACACAGGCTAATTCTCCCTCCGGGGAGGACGCTGCCACCCCTGCTGCCTCGGCCGATGATTTAGTAATATGGAGAACTGTATCTCCAGTGTGTGTGTTTACACAGGAGCATCTCTGGCTGTCAGGAGGAAGACCACAGTGGATTCTGCAGGTCGATAACAAAACAGGGTGCAAGATTGAGCCTGTTGATTTGCTACATGAGTTTAGGAATCAAAATAAATAATTTGGTACATAGAACAAATGATTCTTTGTAGCTTTGGTTTCTTTTCGGTTTGTATGAGGGCAGAGGGGCGCCCAGAAAACCTGGAACCTCTTAGTAAGACTGTGGTTTGATTTGTTACTTTGGAAATCAGTCTTGTCACCCGGTGTCGGTTTTGTATGTTTAGTAAATTCATGTTTTGGTTTGGTGTTCCTATGTCTTGCTTTTCATACTCTGTTTAGTTTCTGTCGGGCCTCTGTTTTTCTTGGGCTGTTTATTTGGTTCAGCCGCTGTTCTCACTCACAGCTGCAGCAAATCCGTTTTGTCCTCTCCACCCTGTTTATGGGATTGCAACCCCAAACTTCAGCGTGTTTTACTGGGATTTTATTTGATAGACCAACTCAATGCAGTGTATCAAGGGCAAATTATTTGTGTTTTTTTCTCCAAATTGTCTACTATGTATAAATTATAATAATAACAAAATTTAAACATTACAAGAATTCAAATATTTAGATGCTGTCTTAAGGCTTCATGGCCTTTTTTTTAACTTGTTAGAATTATTTATAGACATATAATGTGGTTTTTGTTGTTTTTATTGTGTATTAAAAGGGTGGTGGTGTGTATTTTCCAGACACATAGTTCCATTTTATAGCACAATCAAGTAACTATCTGATTCAGGGATTTCTCAGACTGTCCAATTTTTGATGAGGGAATAACATTATAAAATGATATAAAGTTTAAAACAGTGACTTTACATAATGCCTGCCCTTTAAGGTTGTATGCACACGCTTTTAGAGATGTACATGCAATTGTATGATGTGTTCTCAAGTTTAGGTCTCTGCTGGTTTTAACAGGTTTATTAAGATTATTAATAGATGTTGTGAATGAGGAAAGATGTGGTGGTCCTAAAGTTACTTGTGGTTTGCCACCATGTGTGGTGGTGTTTGCTAATTTCACAATGGTCCATTGCTATTACAAGACAAGATTAAGATGCTCGTTTTATCAAGACTATAGTAAAACTGCTGCTGCAGCAAAAAAAAAAAAGAAAAAAAGAGCCAGATAATATGTTTTAGTACAAATGGACTGCAGTCAAAAAGATTCTGTGCGTTTAATTGTGATTTTATGGAACAGAAAAACACAAAATGGCTTGGTAGGTAGAAGATTTAGAAAAACATTTTTTGAAATCCAAATAAAAATCTAAAATTGCTGCATGCATCTATGTAACTATTTTACAGTCCAGCAGGTCAAAAGAGGAAGTTGTTGGTGACCAGTGCTTAAGAGGACTGTGAAGAATACTTGCATACTTTTATAAGAGAAATTGAAAGTTACTGTGTTGAATGACAGTCGTAAAGAAGGGCGACGAATGCCTTTTGGAATATGGATTATGTAATCTGCTGCAATATTGGATCTCCCCTCCTCAGATTGGCTGAAACCCATGATACAATGCAACAGTATTACACATCAATATTAATCAATATTACAAACATGACCTTTTTTGTGCTCTGCATTTGCCACTGATTTTTAGAGGTGACTTTAAGATAAAATAGTTAATGCTTTGCACACCGTGATGCATTATTTACCACAGTCGGACCACTTCTTAAGCTGCCGAGAAAAGGAATAAAATCAAGCTCTACACTACCAATGACATGTAAAATAACACTGACCCTCTGAGAAGCTGCTGTTGGCGGCATCATGTGAATCGAGGAATCTGTTTATGTAATGGAAATGTAAAGGAGCTTTCAGCAAGAGCCTGGAGTGGGGTCTGCAGTGGGGCGTTTTATCCATCATGCACAGAACAGTCCAGACTGATTACACAGGTGCTGCGTGATTGATGCATTCAGCAAGCCGTCTGCCTTTCCTCTGGCTCCTTATCTCTCCAGAGAGCCGTTGAATGAGCTGTACTTTTGGAGAAATGTTTGTTTTCAACAGAAAAAAAATCAATTCTTTTGTTGTCCAGGGTCCGAGTGCAAGCCATGTAGCCACCAGTCCTGTGGGAATCCCAGTACGCAGCTCAGTGTCCAGGCACCCAGTGGGAAAGGATCTTCCTCCTCATTGCCGCCGGCCTCCATCACAGAGGATGTATTCAGTGACAACACCAGTGATGATCAGGTAAAGAGTCTCTCACCTCAACGTTTCTCCGGCTCCTCCACATGAAACATACAAGTTTCTTAAGTTCTGGAAACTGAAGCGGTGATCTGCTAACTATGCAAAATTCTGCTTGCTGCAATTTGCTCAGTGTCCTTTTCACAAAGCAGATGCCACCAATGACATAGTGGCATGTGCTTTGAGTGCAGGAGGGATGAGCAATTTGCCTTCATGTTGGACGGCAGCTGTTGTTTCATTTGCTCTCTAGATATGACTCAACACTGCAGAGACAAACCAACAGCTAAAGCATGGCATCCTTCAAAGAGCTCAATATCACAAGCAGAATCTCTTTACTGCTAGTGCAAGTAAACAAATTCACAGGCTATGTAAGTGCTTTGATAAAAACAAAATAAATAATATCTCTGTCTCAGAGGGCAAATTCAATGAGCTTTAATCAGGGAAGCAGCCAAGAGGTTCACAGCAACTCTACAGGGGCAACCAAGATGGATGAATCATTAGTTTATCATTTTGTCTTCTTTAACGAATGTGAAGAATAAAGCTGATATTAAAAAAAACAGCTATACGTAGTCCTATTTAAAGTTTTCAAAAGGCACAGTAATGCTGTGGAAAGTGACTTCCTAACCAAAATTGAGCTCTTTTTGCTCTCTTCATAGAAAAACCAATGATTAACCTCACTCTGAACACACCATCGACATAGTGAGACATTGCATTGATTTGTTCTCCTCTTTCACATTGTTTTGTCTCCTTTCGCTCTTTGCGATCATCTAGGATGCATCCTCTGTACTCAGTGACTACGACTGTCCCTGTGTGGACGCGGGCAGCAGCCTAGAGGACCTGCAGGGTCTCAGTTCCTCCCTCAGGGACTCAGAGTACTTCAAAGACCTGCAGGGAGAATCACCAGCCTCACAGGCTGCAGCGTCAAAAGACACCTCTGCATTCCCAGAGAGCAACACACAGAAAACTGATAACTTACAGGAGCCTGTAAACACAAACAGTCAGACCAAAGACCAACTCACGGCTCTGACCACAAACTTCCTGCAGGTCAATGCAACATCATTTCCTTCCTTTGAACAATTTCCAGATGAACCTCCCTCTGACTCTGTTGCCCAGCTCAGCCCAAAGCCACTGCTAGGTTGTGTCGCTGACGGCGATGACTTCACTGCCTCTGCATTCAGCCTCAACTGGACAGTTCATCTAAATGGACTGCTGGAATCCTTGGGAACAGTGAAAGCAGTTGAAGAACTGGACGACGTAAAGGAGCAGGGCAAAATGGAGATGGATGGAGAGCCAGACATGGACAGCTTTCCGATTCTGGTCAGATCCATGTCAACGTCTCGGAGGCACAGCTGGGGGGTTCCTCTATCGCCCCTCAACTCTGGCAGGAGGTAAGAGGAGCAACAGTTGGTGGAGAAAGTTCATCTTAATAAATCCATGTTCTGAATATGCCTTGAACTTAGATGTGAGCATTAATGCTGCATGAAGATTTCTCTGACAGTTTAAGCCAGAGATCAGAAAACTTTAAAACCCACAGAACAATTTCCATTCTCATTTGTGTGTATTATTTATCCAGCACTGCAAAAGCTACTCCGCTCCTTCAAAAACAGATGGTTAACTTAAGAAATACCAACTGTAAAAATGTGATTAAATGGTAAAAACAAAACCCTATTTTGTTTATGTTATTGGCTGTGAGGAACAAACAGATATTGAATTTACGTCATCCTGTTGTGAAAACTGTGTTGAAACTGTTTAAAAATAGAAATATTGAGAAATACTGTAAAAAGAAGTGCTATTTGTAATTGTTGGTTTACCAACCACTGCGTCCTAAAGAGCCTCATGTGAGCTGCAGCCTGCAGGCCTCTGTTTTAATCCACTGCAGCAAATGTTGACAGTGTCATTTGAGTGAAAATAAAATAATACATTTTATTTAAAAATATGCAGAGAGCCTCATTAAAATATTTAACCGCTTTATTTGACATCTTGTGTTTGCTTTGCTGTGCTCTCAGACTGAGTCTGGACACCGCAGCCATAGACAGCGATGAAGATGGAGACGACGATGATGAGCAACAGAGCAGTCTTTTCCAGTCCACCCAGCAGCGGTCCGACAGCTTCTCAGCAGGAACCGGAGATGAGCCAGATGGTTTCAGTTTGAGGGTAAACAGCCACTCTGCTACCAACCAAAAGACTTTTATTAACACTTCTCAGGCTTTCTTCGCCGCAATGTTGAGCGAGAATTTCAATAAAATGTCCACACCCTAAAGAACCACTACAAATTGCTTGATTTACTTCACGTTTTGCCTCTTTCATGTTTTAGACATGAATTTAGTAACATCCCGTTTTCACGTTTAGACGTTAAAATAGCAATGTCCCATCATTTGCCATTGCAGCAGCTTCAAATCTTCATAGGAAGATTTGCACGAGGTTTAGGAAAGTGCTAATTAGAGCAACCCTCCAGAAACACATTTGTGAGGTCAGACACTGATGTTGGCTTACGGTTTCTATTACACAGCTTTGCAGAACTGTCATACGGCTGCTACACACTGAATCTGTCTACACAGCAGGTGAATTCCTGATAATCATAAAAATAAGTTTGCTTAATGGAAACACATTTCTCAATAAAAGGTTTTTGTGCTATAATAAGGTGGTTTTTCAACCGTATTGAAGAGCTTTAGTTTTACATCACATGAGTCACATGATCAGCAGCCAGATGTTACTATTGGAAAAAAGGACGAAGAAAAAGGACGACGATGATTGGTTTTTGTTTTTTTCGGACAGCGTGCAGCTGGTTCCACAGAGCTCTCACAAGATCGAACAATTCATAGCAAGTTGTCTGTCTGTTATTCAAACATGCTGAATTCATAGTTCCTCTGTAAAATCACCAAATACAATTTCCCCAAAACAAAAGACACCAACATCTACTCTGATGGTTGATCGATGATGAGAGCTAGTGCTAATTATGACTGCATTATATAACTGTTTATATCCATCACTGCCATCATTTTCAATAATTTATTGTGTGAAAAAGCTCATTCCCGTCTGATTTTAATTTCATTTCCTATTTAATGGAAACAGCACAGTTGTGAAATTGTGTTGTTTTTTTCACATCAGCAGAATACAGACAAAGATTTGCGCACATTTGTAATTGCAACGTTGCTAGTGTCGATATAGGCTCAGAAATTGGCCTAAAAATTGGCTTTGTTTGGAGCAACGCAGCGATTTGATGGAAATGTCATGAGTGAGACGGGAGATGAGTCACAGTAGCAAAGCAAAACACATCCACTTTCAGGAATATACAAAACAAAACATTTCACTCTCAAAAAAGCAACATACTTGGTAGAATCTAAGAAGTACATAAAACAAATAAAAGAATAAAAAAACAATGTGGTTTGAGCAGCTTTCTGTTCACTGTCGGTTTGTCTTGCATTTACTTTGGCGGATCATGTTGGATCCTGTGAGTCCTGTAAAAATCTTGTTGGAGTGTGAAAAGTTGGATGTGTTTTGGGTTTTAATTCAGTCTGATGCCCACAGTGGAGGCCTGCTGCTGTTGACTCTGCAAACATTTAGCAACCCTCTTTACTCACCGCGGTTTTTACATGGGATATCACTTCCTGGCTATGTTGATGACCATCTCAATCAATTCCACTTTGTTTTAGAAAGAAAGAAAATGGGTTCAAAAGATGTCAGTAGTTTACACAACACTGTTAGAAGTGGCCCTTCTTTAGTTTGGTTACACTGGATGGTCTGGAAGACAGAAGCAGATGAGTGGCGTGATTGGATGGGAACCAGGAAGTAAACAGAAAGAATGTAATTTACCAGGAGTGTAGGAGACACCGAGTCTCAGAGTCCAGCTCAGACAGGAGATACAGACTATGAAAAGTTTGGCCTTGAGAGACAGAGATGTTTGCAGAGAGCTGAGAGATTATACATAACATGCACAATCCAATAACCCATCATCTGTAAGTCATGGCAGAAAGCTCAGAGATGACAGAAGTACTCTAAAACAGTGGTGCCAAGCATGTGAGAGACAAGAGGCTGTGATTATTGTCAAAGGCCTTTCAGGAATTATACATTATTACGAGCTATAAAACCCTGGGCTAGTTAGCTAATCACTAAAACAAAATTAAGCACCTTTCTAAACAAGCGGCTATTTCCTAATTACAAAATACGACCACCGATTTTAGAAAAATCTATAAAATGACAGAATGTGGAAAAAGAAATGGAGTGTGAATACTTTGAGATGGCATTGAAACAGCACTTTGAGACAGAAAATCTAGAAATTGATTTTAGTTTGAAAAATAATTATTAGATTATTTCAAAATAAAATCTCAACACTTTCTTTTCGACATAAAGAAACAAAACTGGAATTGCCTGTCATCTTCATCCCTGAAAATACTTTTATTTTTTGTTCATTTTTATGTCTGGAAAAGCCTCCTGAGTGGCTTCAATACACAGTTCTTACTTTTTCTTATGTGATCATAACACATTTGTGGAGTAGTATGACTGAAAGAGACACACTACTTTACAAAAATAAATACAAGCATGGACTTTGCGCTCGTTGTAGTGTTTTTTGTGAGTTTTTGAGTATTTTTTAAAATTATTTGATCAGTTTCCTTAAATCCTAAAAGGTCAATCATTCAAAGATCCATGTGCTATTACAGGATTTTATGCAGCAATTCACTGAATGAGATCATCTAATATCTTGCACATCTTGCAACTTAATAAAAGGTAATAGACCCTCTGCTTTCAGAGCCTCCAGCTTTCTGGCTCGTAATCTGTCTTAAATTACCTTTCAAAGCTCACTTGGCCTTTGTTAATTGCCAAGCATCATTATAAATGAATTCTTGTTTTAGTGGCTTGGTCCTCAATTTAAAGCTTTTCCATAAAACCATCCCTCATAATAAAACATTATATGCACTTTTTAAGAGAAAAGAGAAAAACGAATGACTGGAACACTAGATTTAATACCAAATAAGTCCACAGTTAGAGGGAAATGATTCATTTGGAGTGTTGTGCCAAACTACAGAGAGCTTCCTCACTACAGAGCACAAAAACGACTAAATATTCTGCAGATTAGAAGCCAATAAAGGCCACTGTAAGCACAATTAATCTCAATACAGTACACGCTGTAAACTGGAAAGTGGATGTAAAACAGATAAGATGCGAATTCAACGTCCATTCCTCTTTCAGGTCAGCGGTGGACCAGGCAGGCAGCTGTACTCTCGATCGGACATCCTTGCCACCGATGAATATTCCCGAGCGGCACACATTTCCCGTGTCGTGCAGACCTCCAAACAGGCTGCCAGGGCAGCAGGAGGTGGGGGGCAAACACATGCTTTCATCGTGTGCAGTTGGTTCATGCTTTACCTCTTTTCACTGTAGATATATTTGACTGTTTTGTCTGCAGTGGCAGAGGAGTTTGACCCAGAAGAAAACCTGCACTCATCAGAGGGACAAAGCCATATGTAAGTGCAACAAAGCTGCAGAAAACCTTTCCAAGAATATGATTCCGTCTAAGTAACAGTATAAGTTTAATGAAGCTTGAAGGAGTGGAAGACACTGCAACTCTTGAGTGGTTCATGCAGATTCGGCTCTGTAGTTGTAAATAACCTGTTACGGTTACCTAACTCCCACATAACAAAGGGGCTTTCCCCATTCTGCCCTGACATTTCTGCTCCATATCAGACGTCTGCAGTTTTCCCCTCCCACAGTTCGCTCTCCTTCAGCTGCCAAGATGGCCCCTTTGCTGACTGACTGTGTCTGTTTGTAATAAATGGTTGTACTCTGGTGATTTCATGGATGCGGTAGATGAAGGAGGATTGTCCTTCACTTTACGGTTTCACAGTCAGTTCCCAGCAGACTGGTTCTTCCGTCTCTCCCCCCAACTCAGTGTCAGTGTCTTGTTTGTCTTAGGCTGATGGTACAGAAGGTTCTGCAGGAGCTAAAGCTGTACTATGGGTAAGTAAGCAGGAGAAGGAGGCCTGCACGCTTTAGCTGCTGTTCTAATGATGTCTGCAGCAGCAGAGTTGGGTCTTCACCAGAGAGTGTTTACAAATTACACTATTTGTGTATGCATGATATTTGCACATGGGGTTGCATGTGTCTGTCCTGGTCACTGTCACAAACGGTACGTCACTGTGGCTGGGAAGGATCTGCGGAGCACAGGAACTGAGATGATTGGCTCCTAAAAGTTCACAGCCATATAAATCAGCTCATGCTGTCGGACTGTGCTTGTTTTCCTTGTTCTTATAAACTTTGGCTTTGACGTGCTCATCCTTTACGGTCATTTGAGGTTTATATTTGGACCTGCTTTCTGCTTAAATGGATTCTCTTGGTGCATGAAGTTTTCTAACTGTCCTTCACAGAGCGAAGCACAGAAACAACAGCAGTCCAGACACCAAGAATTCAGGAAGTGTCACTTGGTACGAGTTCCTCTCCAATGCGTAAGTGCAATAGTTTACCATTGCATATTTGACAATGACAGTGTATCTTTCTTTCCAAGTGATGTCTGTTACTGAATATATTTTCTAATATCACATGTTGCAAATTCTTTGGATGCAAAGTTTGTGATGAATATACTTAAACTTTTTGTCAAACATCATATTGATCATTTAAGCTTCTCCTCTGTTTTGCACACTTTCAAGCAAACAGATACAGACATTCAAACATGCAACATATAGTTAAGCCCCAAATGATTCACACCTCCGGCAGATTTAGGTTAGAAAGTATTTTCATTCAACTATGAAATTTGTTCTATCTTTATTGGCTGGGCCACTTCATTTATAATTTTAGTTTCGTTTTGTTTGTAGTTGTTTCCTTAATTACGCCACTTTATGTGTTTTTGTTTTCTCTGTCCTTGACATATCTACCTTTTTATAATTGTTGTGATCCTTCTAATTTTCGGACTGCTGCAACATTAATTTAAGAAAGTAAACTGTGCAACTCTTAGAAAACCCTACATAGTCTAGTAGGGCAATTCTGCCGCTGACATAGTAAGCCAACCAGTCCGATTATACTTATGAGAACAGAATATGTAGAGGAAAGTGTAACACAAATAATCAACAGAAATTTTAACTTTAGCTTGCAAGAACTCTTAAAATAAAAAAACAACAGGGTCAGTAAAGCTGACAAAAAGCCACAAAAGTTTGAGCAAAACTAAGACAAATTTCCAAAAGCACATCAAAGTGTTTTTGTTGTGAAGCACTTTGGTCAGCTGAAGTTATTCTGAAGTTATACGTAAATAAACTTTGACTTGACTTCACTTGCGTGCCAAAGGCATTTTGCAGAAAGCACAGACAGATATCTACAGCATGTGAATTCAGTTAACCACAAAAGGTTTCAGCCATTAGTATATAATATGTAGTTTAACTTATTTTGCAACCTGTAACAGTAAAAGATGGAAACCATAGATTTGTCTCACAATAATAAAAACTATTTATAGCATGTGAATTCAAGTAATTCAGATGATCTTTTGGAAAAGGGTATTAATAAATTCCACCCTCATAAATAATTAACTTAGAAAAAAATAAACTTAAAGTCATATAACATATCAATTTATTGTTTAGTTAATCGAATAAAACACTTTGAAAACTAGTTTTCATGCAGGTTAAGAGGTTTATGGCTTATTTTGTCTTGTACACGGGATGCTTTCTTCTTTCTTCAGGAACGAGGAAGAAGAAGACAGAGCAGAGAAGGTTGAGAAAGGAACAAAGGTGAAAAGGACCCTCAGCTCCCTGAGGAGCAGGGTGACGGGTTCCTTCAATAAAGACAAGGTAAACAACACCACGCATGAGCGATGCATGACCTGCACTTGTCTCAACGTATCAACATATTCCAGAAAGTCAGTTTTATTTGTTCAGCTCAATTTATAAAACCAAATTCTGACATGTAAACACTTTACGTGTATGCTTGTGGCACTCACAAAACTTTAATCTTCTTACACAAACCCTATTATATATCCTGCCTGACATGCGCAGCAATGAAGGAGAACACACAGCATTTGCATTTAAAAACCGCCCCGTGTGTTTGCTTCTCTCTTTTTTTCTCCCCAGGGTAAGAACCGGGAAAAAGAGCTGCAGAGAGCGAAGGAGAGAGACAGGGAGGCCAAAGAGAAAGAGAAAGTGTGCAGGACCAGCAGCAGGAACGGGCATCATTTAGTGCCAGGCTCCTTCTCCAGCTCTGCCACCTGCTCGCTGTGCAGCAAGAGTCTGCTGAAAAAGCATGGAATGCAGTGCATGAGTGAGTAACACCGCAATCACAGATGTACATGTGCCCACGCTTGCTCACCGCCTCACTCATGTGCGCAGGTGCTACGCTCACACACAACCTCACATCCAACTATAGCCCTGCTGCATGCACGCTCATTTACCTATGTAGTGGTATGCTGGGGCACACGGAAAAAAAAGCTACGTGGGCGCACCCACCACAAACTGCCTGAAATGTCTTACACTAAGCCACTCAGCCATAACTTAATGAGCAATGGGAGTTAAAGAAATGCAGGTGTCATTATGACATTTGCACCCTGAAATGGTTTTTGAAACTGCAGCTGGACAGTAGAGGGGCTGATTGCAAACAATCAGCCTAAAACAGAAGAGCTAGTATGTGAGGGCTTCACCTAAATTACACCCTTTTCATAGTGAAATATTACTATTTTAACTTATTTCTATTGTAACAGGTAAATCTGAAATCTAAGAGCGCTGCGAGAGGTTAACATGACTCATTCAGTTCATTTACTGCTTACATGCAAGATTAATGCTCTAAAAGTAGGAAATGAAAGTATGATAGCCTGGAATAAAACAATAGAAAACAAAAACAAACATTCTGTGGTTCTTTAAAATATTTTCAACATTCAGGCAACCAGGACTGCATGAGAAACATTTATGTCATCAACATAGAGATGAAGTTATATGTTCATAATATTCTAACCCAAATTATTAATGTGAAGTGCAAAAAGAACTGGTCCTAATACAGTCCTGAGAGACACCATATGGGACATAATGGCTTTTATAAAAATAAACCCAGTCCCCCAGTCTATATACTACAGAACCAGGAAGGTAAATTAATGGCTTGGCTGTATAAAACACTCTCACATAAACTGTTTTTTTGTCCTGAGGGGGAAAAGTTCATTTAGTGGCAAATTGGTGACCTGCTCATAGTAATGCTTTTTAATTTTGTGTTATTGTTGACTGGTGTGTACTTTATCACACTAACCTTTTCTTCTAACTTTCCACTAAACAGATCTCTTGAATACAATTTTTTCTTCTTAACTTGGAAATGATTTCTTACCTAAAGTTTCTGAGTGTTGCTTACCCTTTCTCCTGGCTTTTAGACTTTGCAGGTGATTTCTTGGTTCGCTTTTGCTGTTATTTTAATATAAGATTTATGAGATATTTACAAATCTGCGACTTGAAGTAATAGTTTCTTAATGAAGGATTTTTCCCCCAGGCCAAACACTGCATGTTAACAGTTTTTCAGTTTTTTCCCCCTTTAAAAAAAAAAAAAGAAAAAAAAGTTTAGCATGATAATACTCCACTGTTACTATTTTAAGATTTTTCACACATCTTCAAATCATCGGAATCTAAATATTTTATATATTCTCTGAAAAAGTAACATTTCTTAAATCCCAAAAGACGCTGTGATCACTTCTGCCGCGTGTCTAAAGCATTTACTGGAAGTGCAACCAGTAAACACGAGGTTCACTGGTTTATAATTTAACATCACTTAACATGAACCGAGAAACACGAGTTTTCTTTTTTTATTTTATTTTTTTTACTTTATTAAGCTGGTGCGTGTGGAGAAGTATCTGTTCTGTCCTCTTGTTACTGCTCTACCTGGAATCAAATGTTTACCTCGCAACTTCTGCTGGTTGCAATATTTCCCAGATATGCATAAGTCCCAGCGCGTGGCGTAATGAACGATTGTTTTTAGCCGAGTGTTTATTAAACAAACGTGTCCTGGCATATTTCACAAGGCACAGGAAAACCGCACAGGCTTTGGAAGCTATCAGTTATTTTGACAGTACAAAAAAGAAAGCAGCGTTGATGCATTAGACCATTAATAAGACATTACTGCTGAGTGTGACGGTGTTAAATAAAAATGAATGCTGGGACACACACGCAGGCGTGAGAAAACAAGTGAGTGTCCCTTTAATTTGAAGCGAGCCCTGTGGGGATTCAGCCTGTGGAATGTGTGGTTCGTGTGCCAGAGATTGTTCCCAGTGGATGCACTAAAACTGGACAAAACCAACAATAACTTGGGACACTTGCTGCGGTCGGGTCCGTTTGGAGGATGTGATTCACTGGGTTTGAACTCTTTTGTCGGATGCTGCTAATTGGGACCATCGCAAGTGTATCTGGAGCGGCGAGGAGCAGCTGCCGCAGCGGGATCAGGTGGATGAAGTCCCGTTGTTTCCTCTTAGCGGATCTTCTCACACATCCTGCCGCTTTGGTGCTAACAGGCTAACGGCTAATCGCACCCAACGTAACACTACATGTTGCTTCTGTTTGTCGCACTGTGTGATGTTTGGGTTGTATAAGTGTCTGGGCAAGAATTGTACACCTTTCATCTTTATCTGCAACTTAATGTGTGAAGAACGCCACTAAATTAGATCCTTAGTTAAGTCTTTCCTGGTTAGCGATTAGCAAAGTAACGCTAGCGTCTTAGCTGCGCCTTTATTTGAAAAACAAGGTTAGTTGGGTGATTCGTTGGTTTTAATTGGGTTATGCTGAACAAATAACTCTGGGAAAACCACGCGTTTGAACTCAAGTGGATGTTCCACAACTTCTTTATGACTTTGAGTTATAAAAACCGTCTCAGGAGGCGACAATTGATGCTGCTTATTGACTTTAGGAGAGGCTCAACAGGTGACTGCTAACTTAGCTAATGTTAGCTTCCTGGTGACTTCTGTTGATTTCCCAGCAGTCAGCTGATGAAATGTGCAACTAGTTCAGATGGAGGCTCTTTTTGGACAGAAAATGTGACCATTATTCATTTATGAAAAGCATTTTCCTTGTGCACGTGTGAGAAATACGCGGAAAAGCCGCAAAACATTTGTTTCTAACTTTAAATCTCCACTTTGTTCGCATTTCTGACAGATGAATCTGTCAGAAATGGATTAACAGGGGAGGAACTAGGATAATGTGCTTCCTGGGCTACAGCCTCCTCATGCAGTGTGTTTGTAGAGACTTTAATACACTTGAAAGATCATTATCAAAAATATAACTGCGTGTGTAGACTACAAATTAGGGAAATTGTGGTTTCTTAACATTTTGATAATTTTGTTGACCCTTATTTAGATTTAAACATGTGATTTATATTTACCCAACAATTTTTTAAAATATTGGTTGACATATTTCAATATTTGTTCTTTTGGGAGATGTTATTTGTTTTTTGGTAAATGTAAAAAAAATGTATTCACTTTGCATTTCTAATAGACCTTCATAGAGCCATAATATCAGGCTACTTACTGTGAAAATTTGTGTGTCTAGCTTTATATTTAATGTTTAAAAATGGAAAACAGTGATTCATTTTTGAAAAGTAGTGCTTCTTAATAATTTTTGAAATCAAAATAAAGAGGTTCAGGTTTATGATGCTGCTACTTTTTCAATTGAGGTTAATTTGAAAATGTGTTTAAGGTCAAACTCTTTCGTGCAACTTTACTTGTTCTACTTCCTTTTACCTCTTTTTTTAAGTGGACAGTTGATTATGTTATATTGCTCATCTGTGAAATAACTTTATTTTTAACATGTAGGTATTAAAAACACTGAGTAACAGGTTACTTTAAAAAGGTGTATGCTCTTCAAATATGTCGAAATTTTGTCAAACCAAAGACTAGGGTTTGTTTTGTGCTTTTAGGTGGCAAAATTAGTAGCAAAATTATAATGGCATTATCTGGGAAGGGAAAAAAAATGCTCACTAATGGTAACATTTCCAAGAGACTTGGGATGTCATAGCAAATTATTTGTTTTGAGAGAGCAACAGCATGATGCTAATTGACATTCTGAGAATCTCCAGCAGATTATTTTCTAGTCCTAATGGAACCTAAGCTTTACACTCACCAATTAAATATGAAGCAACAAAAACTGATTTTATACTTATAACAAGTAACAAAATTGTCAAAGTTTTGTTACTTGTTTCCTGTCATCCACTTCAGTTCATACTGGGAATTTACAAATTTCCATCTCTTAAAAAGCTTTGGTTGGAATATATTTTAGCATTTCATTTGTCTGGCTGTTCAGGATTAATAGGTCTACATCAGACTGAACTTAACTTGCAAATAACATTTGCCAGTGGTTCTTCTGATTAAAAAGACAGCACACATGGCAACTGTGATAGTTGCACCACAGTTTGACCATTGCATTTGTTCAAATTAAGGCTGGTCAACAGTTTTGTTACAAAGTCTATCATGATTATGAAATTTCATTTAAATGTATCTTTGTGTTGTGATTTGTCCAGACAGGTGATGTCTTCTGAGGCTTAATTAGGCAGAGGCAACAGGAATGTCGCTGGCGGAGGGGAGACTGTTTCATCTATCCTATTACATCTCAGCCGTTTTGCTCTCTTGCCATAGACATGGATAGACTTGCCTCTCTCCCTCTCCCCGTTTATGACTGGGTCACATGGTGTTAATTGTGCTTGGCAGGTCTGCCGGGGCCAAACGGCCCGATCCACTGACTCCTTGTCTCACCCACCTCATCCTATTAGCACACGCTTTCTCCGCGTGTTACTTTTTATTTGCATGCCAAGTTTTCTAGATGTGGAAAGTTTAATATTGTGACTATTACTAGGGCTTTCTCACATTAACTGATTAACTATTGAGCTTTTAGCTGGTGCTGTTTAAGTCTTATTTGTTTATCAAAGCCATTATTTTCAAAGGCAGGAGTAGATGGTAAATGGTACTTTTTGCTTGAAAGTAGGACTGAAACTAAGGTAACTTCTTCTTACAGTATGCTCTTCTAAAATGTCTACCATGTTTTCAGTAAAGTATGCAGTCATATTTTCAACTCCTTCCTTTAGTCAGCCCAGGTCTAGTTTGAATTCACCACTTCCCTTTCTGACTTAGCGGCAGCTTGTGGTTAAAGTATATAGTGCGTAGGTAGGCCAGCCATCTTTTTTTAGTCACATATATAACTGTTAGAGAAGTGTAGTTTTGCTCTAAAAGTTAATTTATTTTAAATTGTTCCTGTTTCCCAGGGTTATGTCATTAGTTGGCTTTTCAGGATGGAAAATACCTTCTTTTGCTCTCAAAGGCACACATACCTAAAGTCACTGGCATCTGGTGGCATTGCTTTTTGCTTGGCTACTCTGTTACATTCATATGGTGAATGGATTGTGTTAGAAATATTTGAACTGAACTGTGAAGCTTGAGTGGAGTTGAAGCAATGTCTGAGTCAAGTGAGATTTATTGTCATTTTAATGTAGTACACAGTGGAATTTTTTTTGTAGGATTGTAGGAAGTTTGCCACCTAAATCATGCATTGCTTTTGCACACCGCATAGTCTGGTTTAGAAGGTGGACTTGGATCTTTTCTTCTGATTTTTGAACAAAGTATTTTGAGAAGCTTTGGTCACACAGATGGGAGTCAGTTTGCAAGTCAGATACTGAAAAATATGGTTTTTCATATCTCTACATTGATTTGAGTTCATTAAAAAAACAATTAAATGTAAGAGATGTCTTTTGCATAAAGTAGGAACATTTTTCATTGAAACTAATGCCTGTGTCAAAAAAAATTAAACATATTTTCTTTTGAAGGTCATTTTCTTCTGACCTTCAAACAAATAAAACAAAATTAAGACCAAAAACAAAATCAGAGTTGGATGAAAATGTGCTGGTTAGACCTTTGAGAAAAAAAAAAGGTGTTAAAGCCCGATTTAATACCATTGGTGCAGGTCTAACACAAATACATTTTGAAGTGGGTTTTCTGATGACAATCAGCTGCTAATAGGAACAAACATCTTTTTTCTTGCTTAACGTTATGTAACACTATGTGACCTCCAATGTGATTGAACCTACAGTTTAGCAGTGTTTAAAAGCAGCTTGTGCTTTATTAAATCCCAGTTTCATCTCTTAAGAACCCAGAGCGATAACTATTCTGTGGGGAACGTCGTTGATCTGGGTCATCATTTGCACCTCCAGTGCACTGAGTGACTCACTGAAGTGCGCACTGTCGGCCACAGCTGTACTTCTCGTTTGATTGGTGTTTATTGCATGTTTGAGTGGTGGTGGTTTTGATGGTTGTCATGTGGATCAGCTGCTGACATGAACAAGTGACTGGACCTCATCATGTTGCTCATTAGCAGCACAGCAGCTGGTTGATTATCGTTGACTGTCCAGCTGAGGACAGATCATCTGGTCTTCACACCAAGCTAAGATGGATTCCATGCAGTCTGTGGTGAGGCATTTGTTTGGGTTTTTCCAAACGTTGTGATGATGACATTTTCTGTGGTATCAGTGGACAGAACGTTCAGTGTTCCTGCTGCTGTTTGGTTATCATTTTAGCTCCGACGTAATGCATCTGAACTCAGTTTGAGGAGAACTGCCGCTGCCTTGACGTCAAGAAATCATGTTTGTTGCAGCAGTTCTGTGGCTTTTTGACCTTCTACCTGCTACACCCTCTTCTCCTTTCATACCATTACACCACAGTAAAATCTAGTCATCTTTGGTGTGTTATGTGTCATCATGTCGCTTGTCTGATATATTCAGCCTGCTAGATTATTTTTAATTTTTGCTGCCTTATTTTGTGACTCTTGCTGTTTTTTTTCTTTCTAAAGTAACAAAATAGTTGTTGTGACACCTGTTTATATTGCTTTGCTCACTTAGCTGTTTTTTTTTTTTTTTAGCAAGTTATGATTTCAATGATTATTACCTTGGCTTTCAGATGAGTTAACATGTCTATGATCTTTCTACTGAGTTTTTTTTTGTTGTTGTTGTCTTATTCTGCTAATCTCTAGGGCTTTGTGTTTCAGGTTTTGTCTAAAAGTGATAAAGTAAAGTTTAAGTTATTAGCGACATGTTGGACTTCATACTGACAATTGAAGAGCAAATGATTTTTTTCAACGGTTGTGAAGTTGATCTGTTATTGTCATTGTGCTTTGATTAATACTTTGCGTTCCTCAAAGAGATGCACTGATGATTAGAGTTTTAAGGGTCAGTTTCTGACCTGCCAATACTGATTTTGGCCACTTCTAATTCCTCAGCATATCATTAAAATGCATTTTATTTTTTGACTTTTTGTCGCGATTTATAATTTGGTACATAGTCTTAGCCGAGGCAACATCACACTGTGTGAGTGAGAAAGCTGTCGATGTAAAACAGAATTTTACTAATCTAATAAAAAGAGTAATAATGATTGGGCCTGCTTTTGGTTTTGTATTATGTTGTAATATTTAAAATGTCTTCCAATTCTATTGTTAAGATTTCTTTGCAAAATTAAAGCTTATTAATTTGAGAGCATAAACTTTATGCTCTAAGAGCATAAATTCAATTGTTGATACATTACTTGAATAGTCTCAAAACAATATTACAAGGACAATTTAATCAATTGTCACAGGCCCAGTAATATTCCTATTTCTTGTCGTGGGCATGTATCATATTTTTTATCATGATCAATTTCTTATGATAGTACGATTTTGATTTATTGTCGTCATGACAAAATTCCAATTAGTGATGTTTATAAACTAAAGTTCCTTATTGACGGGATTTTTTTTTCTCCACTGTTCAATGAATATCAATAAGTTTGAAAGTATGATTAAATGTAGTTACTGAATGCATTTTAGTGTCGCAAATCACAAATTGTATTTTCATCAAAAGAAAATTTACTTTTTTTTGACATCCTCAAGAAGCATATTACAAGTGGGTACAGTAAAAAAAATCACTTCTTCTTATTGACACTTTTCTCGTTATTTCAATAGTACTACAAAATATTGCGATGAAACTTCAAGTCCATCTCTCCCACTCCCACCAATTTGAGATGTTAAGCTTTTTGTAGCATTCTGTATTGGCAATTAGCATATGAAGAGTTGATGGTGTCTCCTTTTCGGACATAACAAAAGATACACAATAGCCACAAAAATATTATAATCAGCTATTATCTAGCACTCTGTTTAAACAAACCAAAGTCGTAAATGCAGTTTCTCTTTAAATAGCTTCCTACAATGTCATGTTGAAACACTTCATTGACGCGTTGAGAAGCTTCTACTCACTGTAATAAGTTCCACACCAAAGAGTCGTGGGATTGCCCTGACTTGCTCCTAGTAGCGTTTAGTTCTGGTCGGTCCACTGACCGTAAAATCTGATCGCTGTCTGAAATTTCTTGGCCATTGACTCAGACAGAAATGATCATTGGTCGCTTCATATTTCTACTGAAAAAGCAGCAGTCTTTATGGTTGTTTTTTTTTTTAGTCCTAACGTACAGACGGGAACCCGGCTGTGGAAACGGTCACAGCTGGTTGTGCTGCTGTTGCTGGTATAACTGATCGTCAAGAAGCTACGATTCAAGCTTTCCCTTGTCTCTATCATGCTGCGTGTGAAATGGAAAATGTCTGAAGCAGAGTTGAGATCTGATGAAACATAAATACCGTTTTCACCTTTGAACCGTTTTGACTTGGCATTCTTCTATAATGATTGTTGAAATGGATAACTATTTAATATCATAGCTGTTAATTTGGAAACTGAAAATCATTTTCAAACCATTGTCTAAAAGAGCAATAACAACAATTTGACCTGTTTTGTTCTCTGATTCAGTGTGACAGACAGGCTTTTTATTTTTTAAACTGGTTTCCCAATGGAGCAGCTTTGTGTCTGTTTCTGGGACTTGAGTCTTTGGTTGGCATTTGCCAGGTTTTAACTGGTCGGACTGGATCCTTGCTTTGCATGTTGATAGCCTATTTTGCTTAGCAGGCCTCAGCCTGGGCTTGTTTTGTGTACCTCATCTCCAGGCCCCGCCACTGAAAATGTTTCGTTTCCAAGATGTTTTGTCTCTGATTAGGAAAAAGCAACACACTAACTGTCCTCTGCGTTTGCTCAGCAACATCTCAGATTTGTGTCTCTGCTAATCACATGCAGTCACTTGTTTTGGCTAAACCTGACAGGGCCCGGTTTGCTCTCCATGCAAGAACAGAAGGGGACAAAAAGAGAAAGCTGTTTCCAGGAAAACGGTGTGTTTCTGCTCTGCTCTCTCACATGCCTCTGATGATGAAGAAGCAAACTGTTGCTTTGTAGCTGCAGAAACCCTCCTTCACTTACTGCAAAGGGATTTATTGATTCTTTTTGCCGCCTCCTGTATTTTGGAGCATTCATTTCAGGAAAACTTGGCTTGTAATGTCATGTTTTCTGTCTGCATTCATGCTATCACCCTTGACAAGTCCCCTTTTTTAGTACTGTATACATGTTCAGTTATACTAATGAAACACTGACTCCAAGTTCTTGTCCTGTTTTTCAGATTGTGCTGTGAACGTTCACAAGAGCTGCAAGTCTCTGCTGGGTGAGTGCACCAGCAGCAAGAATAAGGTAAACATTACACTTCAGAGCAGATAAGAGCATCAAAGCCAAGGTTTTAGCCACATTAGTACCTTAATATACACATATGGATAAACACTTTGGGGTTTTGAAATGTGTAGATGGTTCAAAGATAAGAGGTTTTATTTTTAATTTTTATTCTTTTGCCATAGTATGTTGATAGCATTGTCAAGCATACAGTACACTTTTTTAACTTACTGTTGCTTAGTTGATATCCTTGATTTGAACCTTAGACTCATTACAGGTTATCGCAAACGCATTTGATTGCAGTTGTTGCTGCTAAGGTCAGCCCAACCAGTTACTAGGTTTAGACGCCTACAGCCATGTAGGTTTGGATTTATTCTCTCTTAATAATAAACATCTTCATTTAAAAACTGAAATTTGTGTTTACTTGTGTTGTCTTTGACTAATATTTAAATTGGTTTGATGTTCTGAAACGTTGAAGTATGACAACTATACAAAAAACAAAACAAAAAAGGAAATCAGGAAGCGGGCAACTCTTATCACACCTCTGTAGATTATAAAAACAAACCTTTGAATGGGGCAGATTCATGTTTACGTGTTAATAAAGTCCATTGTCCTATTCCAGTGTGGCTGCCTCCACAAAGGATTATTAACACTTATCTACTGTTCACTGTTGAGTATTGAGTGCAGTTCATAGTTTTGGTATCAAGTTTAAAATCTTGGCAACCTAACTCTTTTTTTTTTTTATAGTTCTAAAGCTTTACGGAGATGCATCTCACCTGTAACCCAGATGATTTTGCCGTGTTTGTTTTATCTGCAGCAGATACATTTTTGGTTACAGTGTTCTGTTTTACTGTGCATTTAGTGGTGCCAGTTTATGGAAATGTTACAAATGTATATTTTGAAGTTTAGCAAAGAGGAAATAAAATCATCTGGCGTAGAGCTGAAAAATTGTGATTTGAATTTGCTCAAAAAAAAAAAAAACTGATTTGTTTATTTACTGTTAATGATGTTTTATATTTTGATATTTAAAATGTCTTCCAGTTGCAGTGTGGAGCGTTTTGTATAAAATCAAAGTTTATTTGTCAAACTTGTGTTATTATGCCTTTATTAGAATGTTATGTGAAAATTGTCTCCAAACATCAATATTATCATATCATAATTTTATGACAACTTCATCGTCCAGCAAAATCTGTTATGATGACAGTGTAGGGAAATGTATGTAATAAATATTGAATATTGATATCAGCCCAAATATTCATATTGCTGCATCCTTACAAAGATTAGATTCTGGTGTCAAATCATGTGACTGTTCTAACTTTCTTCACACAGAGAGATTTTCACTCGAGGGGCAGCGGGTCAGCATCTCCTAGCCTTGGTAAGCAGAATATTTAATTACTGATGAGCTGCTCATATTGCTGTGGATCACATTACTTCTTTCACTGTGACAGAAGCTTTAATGAATGATGGGGAGTTGAGTTCTAAGATTGGCCAATTAAGGATCCAGTTTTGTGGTGTGTGTTTTCTGTGGACCCACTGAGTGTGAGTGGGCAGCTCAATCTCCCACGGCTGGGAGATAAAAGTGATGATTAACAATTAAAAAGAGACGTGTGGTGCAACTGTTTCTCTTTTCATCTTTATTTAGAGATATTTAGCCATAAACACCGACGAACGCTAATAGGAATAAAAACTGCTGCTTCTGTTTGTCATTTTTAATTTATGATCACCCATTAATTCATCCTGCACTGCTTGGCAATTAAAAAAACAAAACAGTTCGTCTTACATCAGCTTATCTGTTTTTAGAGATCTCAGTAGGTGCTGCTTATTGCACGGTCAGCAGGTGTGAATGCATGTGATTGAACCCGCAGGAGACATGAGTGGCTGCAGCAGCGACAAGCTTTAGTTAATCTCCTGTAGCAGTTGTTATTCCCCTCTGAACAGCTGGAGTCCTGTCAGCCACACCTGATTTCTCCACATGTCCTGCTCGGGCCAATCACTGGCTTGTGCAGGGGGTCGGGAACACGATGGGCAGAGAATTGATGAGAACCACAGAAACAGAACTTGCTGGAAACGTGGAAAGGACGCACATCTTTCCAGAAGTTTCTGCAGGAACCGGGACACTGGGGAGTCGGGGCTGGTTTATATAAGACTGGCTTTTGATCCAAACTCCTGATGGTCTTTATGTCCCTCACTAAGACCTCATTCTGGAATTGAAATTTAGAGACATTTGAAATGGATCTTACAGTTGCCAAAGAAGCAGGAAAATCAGTGAGGGCCTCCAAAGGTGCCTCCAAGACTGCCAGGGCATCTTCCTCGTCTTTCTCTGCCTCATCGTGGGGTCTTTCTGGGCGTGTCGGGGTGCGGGTTCTGATGCACCGCGACATGATCACCTGCCGGTTCTACCGATCCCTGCCTCGATCCTGGCTGAAAAAATACTGGGGCCCACTCGGGAAGGATTCGAACAAGTCGCCATCTTTTCCATTTCGCTGGTCATCTTCTCCTTTCTCACTGTCCTCTCCTCGTTTGTCCCCATGTACCTCCTCCAACCGGTCTCATTTTCTCCGATCACCTGTGTCTCGTCTCTCTTTCCCAGTGCTGAAGTACCAGGACAGGGAGAAAGATCAGGGAGGCAGAGATTCGACTCAGGCTGCGGATGGCCACCGAGGGTTTCCCGGCGTCCCAGGCATGACCGTTAGCTTGATTGGAGCCAGCACTCAGCCTTCAGCCAGCCTCAGCAGCAGCTTCGCCTCAGCCCCTGCCTGCAGCATCGGCCCCAGCCTCCGTCACCACAGCAGCTCTGGGTGGGTACCACAACAACAATAGTTTCTCTAGGTACTGTAAAGAATTTTTCATAAAATGAAAAGTTTGTGTGTGAAAGAATATTCTTTCAGTAAATGCAGAAATTGCAAACAAAATTTTCTGTAAAATTATTGCAATTTCAAATGTTTTGAAGATCTGAAGATTCTTGTGATTTCAGTGTGAATCATGAGATAAAAAAATAAATAAAAAATCTTAAGTCCACACAAGCATTCAGCTTAAAAAACAACTTTGTTCAACAGTAAGTTTGTAGCAATGTGTGTTGCATTATGTCAGAAATTTCTCTGCATTGGCTTCCCACACACATACAGACTTTTCAATGGTTTCAATGTCTTTTTAAATGAGAAACAACCCTGAACATTTAGAAAGATCTGCTATTATGAAATAATTCACTGTTATCAAAGATCTCTTAAAAAAATGTTTGTTTGATAATACTTCAAGAAAAAAAAAACTATGCTGAGGCATTGCAGAAAAACCGTTCTATGATATGACAACAGAACAGTTTAGGGCTGCAGCTAATAATTATCTCAGTAATTAAATATTCTTTAAAAATGTTGTAGCTTTATGTTATTAAAGCTAAAGTTTAATCAGTAATACTTTAATTACATTCATGTCAGATCATGAGTTTTTGGTTAATGACAAGTTGTCATGACAAAGACATTCTGAATAATGTCTTTGTTTTATATATATATATATATGTGCACTTTATATAGTTTTGGTTTAATTATTGCTCTGTGTGTTCTTTCAACAGAAGGCCTTTTTTGGTCTATACTTGAGCTAACAGTAAATTGACTACTAAAATAGATAATTATTTTAATAATCAGTTAATCTGATTAATAATTTCCGCCCTGGTATAATGTATTGTTTTGAAAATCAAACACAAGGTTTATTCTTTTGAATTGTTCTGTAGCTGATTTTTTGTAGAGTAGGTTAATTATTCCTTCTTAAAATAATCATACATGTTGTTTAATACTCTTGTAGATTGACTTGACATTGATTTATAAACTTCTAACTTTTGGACACATTACATAAATGGTAGGAGACATTTTGTTGCATCACCGCTGTATAATTTGGCTGTTTTCGCTCAGATCCCTCCCCGGAGACATGGATGAGATAGATGCTCTGCGCTCTAAACGTTGCAACGACGACGCCGTTTCTCTCGCACCTTCCATCGCCGAGTCCATCATCGTAGAAGGTGGGCAGATATTTTCAAAGCGGAGCTGAAGTTTAAATTCATCCGCTCCTCACTTTAGCATCACTTACTTTATACAAAATCATCAGGGCTGTGTTGCAGCTTTTACTGACCAGACTGCCCTTTTCAGACTGTGAAATCCTTGCAACTGTTTGTCTTCAGGGAGTTTTCATAAGACCAGAGAAGAGAGAGTGTGGAGGATGTTTGGCTGAGTCATGACTTTAGCCTCATTAAACTGAACTGTGTGGGAGACATCAGACTAACTGGAGACTAGAGCTCCATGTTTGTTCCAGTGTTCAGTTTTATTGGATTTACCCTTACCTTTGGATTTGCTCATCAACCTTCCTTTTTCTCCCAAATTGAATCTGTTATCAGTTTGTAAAGCAGATTCAGCGTCTGGTTCCTATCTTGGTCATGCAAAAATCTTGGAAAGTTAGTAAAAATCCATGTTCTGTGAGGAATACCTGGGACACAGTAGTCGTTTGAAATGATACAAATAAATTCTTCCATCTGTCCTTAACTTTACCTTGTTGAAGAACACAATCCATAACATGTTGCATAATTTCTCTTCAGACGCTCACTATGCAGCAGTGCGGGCCAACCTGGAGTCTGATGCTCAGGACTTGGAGGCCGACTCCTGGAGCCTCGCGGTTGATCAGCATTATCTGAAGAAACATTCAAAAGACGTGGTGAAAAGGCAGGATGTTATTTATGGTAGGTGTGAGTTCCCTTTGCACTTTGACACTTGTAAATACTTTTAATAAAAGCATAAATTTAATACATGGCCGGCTGAGTAGTTTTTCCTATAAAAACAGATATTTGCTCTTTTTTTTGTTACTCTTGTCAAAATCTGGCTCCTATAATCCACAATTATCTTCATGTGAATGATACTCAAATGTAATAATTGATTAAATTTGACTTAATTAAACTGGTACTGAGAGTCTGAAGTAATTATAAATGAATTTTTGTTTATTGTTTTATTATAAAGCTAAAATCACAATTTTGTTAATTGGTTCCATTGTATTTAATTTAACTGATCTTATACTAAAGAGGTGTTATTATTGTAATCACACGTTTTTGAGCTTCAGTTCATGCTATAATGTTATTCCCTCATCAAAAACACAGCAGATTATTTTCCCATGTATTCCTTCCTAAAACTCCACTTTGTTTATGAAGTTTTGGTTTCTACTCGGCGCCAACTTCAGATAAATTCATCGGTAAGGCAACACAGCGCTTTGCAGATCATGTCATACTTAACAGAACCAATGCGACGTTGTTCCGTAGAGCTAATGCAGACGGAGATGCACCATGTGAGGACACTAAAGATAATGCTGCGTGTGTACGTCCGAGAGATGAAGGAGAACCTGCAGATGGACTCGGGCAGACTGGACTGCCTTTTCCCCCGCCTGGAAAACCTTCTCGACCTTCACACACATTTCCTGTCATGTCTCAGAGAGCGACGGCGAGAAAACCTCGACTCACCCAGCGACAGGAACTACACTATCAATAGAGTGGCAGACATCTTAATCGCTCAGGTATGGACCAGATGCACAGTGGTTATACAGATAAAGGGACCCATCAGTCATCTGCGAAGATGTTTCTCCACTCCAGTCATCCTGTACTTACTGTAGCATTTTCCCTTTACTGCAGCAGATTTCCTCAGATATATTTAATCTCATAAGTGAAACAGGTTCAGCATGTGGCACAGTTTGATCAGTTTTCCTTAGAACTGAGACAATTAATCATGATGAATCGATCATTAAAATAGTCATCAACTAATTTAATAATAAAATAATTGTGAAGACAATCCTTAATTGTAAGGATTGTAAATAGCCAAAAAAGGCAATTTACTGAAAAAAGTGTATAAATATGACATTTTAGATTAAAAATCTTGTTTGTCTTTTAAATATGTTCTTTAAGTATCATAGTTTTAAGTTATGACAATTTTAGCTTAACAGATTTAATACAACTATTTTAAGTACCTCTTTCTCTCTAATTATTAAATGGTTAATTTAAAAAATGACCAGTGTATCAGCCCTACACCACTGAAGCAGAAATAGATTATTTCAGTACTAATTTTGTATTTCAGTATTTATTTTGTATTGTTATAGCAGCAGATGTATCATTGCTATGTAATTACATTTCAGACAGTAAAATGTTTTATTTTCCTATTTGGAAGAAGGAATGAAATTCATTTTACGCTGCTTCTGACAATGAGATTGTTTGTTCTCCAGTTCTCAGGTGAAATAGGAGAGAGGATGAAGAACTGCTATGGAGATTTCTGCAGTCATCACACTGAAGCGGTCAGCTTGTACAAAGAGATGCTGCAAAACAACAGAAGGTTTCAGAACCTCATAAGGGTAAGTTATGATATTGTAGCATTTGTGTCATCGTATGTTTAGAGTCATTTCACTTTAGATTACTTGTGTAGGCTGGTGAAAGTTTAATGTTTCTGTGTCTTTTTTTTTTTTTTTCAGAAAATCAGCAACTTATCCATTGTACGGAGGTTAGGAGTGACGGAGTGTATTTTGCTAGTAACGCAGAGGATTACCAAGTACCCGGTCCTGGTGGAGCGCATCCTTCACAACACTGAAGGTTCAGCTGCAACATGAATACCAATTACCATCCCAGTGTGCCTTAAATAAAAAATAGTGGTTGTTTACATTTTAAAATCTCTGTCTTTCTGCCTCTAGTGAACACAGAGGAGCACCAAGATCTGACTCGAGCTCTGAGTCTGATCAAAGACACCATCAAAGAGGTGGACACCCTGGTTAACCTGCACGAGAAAGAATCTCGACTCCGAGATATTCACAGCAAGATGGAGCCGAAGACGCAGGGAAAGATAAAAGATGGCCGGGTGTTTCGTAGGGAGGACCTGGCTCAGGGCAGGAGGTGGCTGCTGCATGAGGGAACCGTCAGCTGGAAAGCTGCCTCTGGCAGGCTCAAAGGTAACATTCACCTCCATAAAATGATCATTGCAGATGTATTCAGAAAATGAGTAATGCATTACTTGCTCATGATGTTCTTGCTTTCTTTACTTTCAGATATCCTGGCTGTTCTGCTGTCAGATGTGCTGCTTTTACTTCAAGAGAAAGATCAGAGATACATTTTTGCTACAGTGGTGAGTGATTTTTTTAAAATCATTTCTCAGTTATAGTCCCAGAGAAAGTTTTAATAAACCCAGTAGGAGCATAAATGTGATGCTCTTCTGAGCCTTTAATCATTTCAGACCTATTTTATGTGGATTTTGACTCATGATCAAAATGTTGCTTAAAGAATGTATTTTTCTGTTTTCTTCATGTTCTTTTTTTGCTCTCTTTGTCATAAATTCTTTCAGGATAACAAGCCTTCAGTGATTTCTCTCCAAAAGCTGATAGTCCGGGAGGTGGCCCATGAGGAGAAGGCCATGTTTCTCATTTGCGCCTCCTCAAATGAGCCAGAGATGTACGAGATCCACACCGCCTCCAAAGAGGAGCGAAACTCTTGGATGACGTACATACGGCAAGCAGTCGAGAGGTAACTGGAGTTATACAGGGAACGTACAAACACAATTATGGTAAAAAATTATCTGAAAGCCGATTTTGAAAAAAAATTACTAAATAGTTTGACAATGTAACAAGTGTTGAATAAAATTAATTGCATGTCGGTGTCCTATTGACCCTTCAATGCATTTTATTGACCGGTCTTTGTGTCTCTCCCTCGCCCGGTTAGCTGCCCTCACTCAGAGGAGAGGCTGTTCAGTGAGGAAGAGGAGGCTCGAGCTGCAAGGCTTCGAGAATTTCAAGGTAACTCCTGATCACAAATTGCATTTATGTCCACAAGGAGGTGCTGTGGGAGTAAGTTCCAATAACAACCACAATATTAGACAAAACATTTTAAAATGTAAATCTTCTCATATGAAAGTATATATCTCCACTTATTAGCTTATATATCTGTATATAGAAGCTAATTATCTCAATTCACCCCCAACATTAATATTTCTACAAGCAGCTCTATGAATGCTCATATTTTTCTCTTTGAATAAGTTGCAGATCATTTTTTGTCTCTAATTCTGTCTCATGTTTCGGCCTGTAGAGCGTCTGAGCCAGAGGGATGCAGTGATCGCTCAGGCTCTCACAGAGAAACTGCAGCTGTTCGCAGAGATGGCAGAGTCCGTGGCGGGTCTGGAGGACGCGGCTTCTCGCTCAAAGCTGCTGCTCCGGGGCGACGCCTCGGACCTCCAGCAGGGGGAGGTGCTGCTCAAAGGAGCCATCACTGAAGGTAGGATGATGCTGCACATCGTGGATGAAATCAGAAAAACTTTCTCTTGCACTGTGCAAAAGTAAAGCACTATTTTGCTCACACTTACTTTTATATTTATGCATCGCATACCTAAGGTTCTTTGTTTTCTTTTGCTGAACTTTAGTGGAGAATCTGCAGAACTTGTTGCAGGCTGGCGTGAATGAAGAGGCTCCGGCAGCACAGGCGGAGGACGAGAGTGGATCTGGGGTTCTGCCCAGGAGAGCAGGGACTTTCGGAGGCTATGACAGCAGTCCTGTCATCCTCTCCAAGAGTGAGTCCAGGATTTCCTTCACTTTAATCAATCTTTATTGCTAATAAAAATCACATAATGTATACATAACACACGCAGAATTTGTTTCCATTGCCGCGAATCGACATGCGTTTGTGTCTCTGCCAGATGGCAGCGTGAAGAAGAGCTTCTGTGGCGAGTCCAGGAACAGAGACAGGAGCCAAAGAGCCAGCTCTGACCCTCAGCTCAAAGGTCTCTGTGGAAGCCACACCCTGGAACAGACGGTAGGGGCTGAACAAGTTCACACACTCAAGGTGTTTTGAAATGCATCAGTCTCGTTATTTCCTCTCGATAATGAGAAATGCAAACCAAATCATCTGGAAAGTTTTCTTTTCTATTTTCTAGAATATTGTATATTGTGGATCTTTCTGCGTTTTTTATGAATAGATAAAATCTTGATCAAGATCATCCTGGGAACATTCAGTTAATCCTGGTCCTTGAGAACAATCGGCCAGTCTAAATATAGCCACGTGTTGGTGACTGGAGCTTTGTTTGTGGAACTAAAGCCAAGCCAGCCGAGATGGAAATAATCCAGACAAATATTTGATCCGAACGCCACTCCACTAAATAATGTTGCCTTTTTAATTACTATTTAAGGTGAACATCAATACTGCTACAGTCATCAATAGAAGCACTAAAAGGGATCATCTTTTCTACACAACTTAAAGCTCAAATCTAAGATTTGTATCATAAAAAAAGTATCGCAGGTGGTGTTCTGCCTTCCATAATTCAGCAGGAGTTCAGGTCATTGCCCGTCTAACTCGTACGAACCTGAATGAATGATTTAAACCACAGAATGTAAACACTACTTCTGCTTTCATATTTAATTCCACTGCATTCGAGTGCTGACACAACAGATGGTTATGGCTGGAACTCATGAACCCATTATTATGACCAAATTAAGCGGTTTAAATAATAACATGAAGAACGCCTTATTAGATTTTTCTACTTTGGCGCATCTGCATCTTTAAAGGCTACGTAATAATGAGTCTCTTGGTCTTTTAGAAAATAAAAAATACTTTTCAGAGCATCCGGTCTTTTTTGATTTCCTGTTATTCCATCATTGACTTGTGATTGCTTTGGGTTTCGCTTCCTGTGTCAGGTGGATCAGAGCTGCTCCTCTCCTCCGAGATGGAACCGGATCTGGTCCAACTCTTTCCCCGAAGCTGAGGTGATCTTTTTCTAGATCTGAACTGCTGGATTTTTATGTCTCATTTCTTATTTGAACAATGCCTTTATATGACAAAATACTTTATAAAACCAAAAAAGTTGTGAGAACATTCTGTTGAAATTAGTTCTGTTTTATAACTTTGTTTTTTTTTGTGTGTGTGTGTGTTTGTTTGTTTTTATCTATTTTAGTTCTTTGACAAAGTGTTGATGCTCTCCCAGAGACTTTATAGCCTGCAGGTAATATTCTCTCTACACACTTAAATGTGTCCAAGTCTAAATAAAAAATGTAGTTCAGTTGAAATCAGATACTCATGTACCCTGTAAAAAGACACAGCCTTTGTTTTTTCTAGCGTTTCAGGCTAATATTTTCTGTATACTGTATCTGTTATGATTACCAAATTGATTTCCATTGACTAAATGCTAGAATAGTTTCTCTACTTTAAATTTAGACGTATAACTTTGTATCTTTTTAAGCAATTTTGGAAATGATGATCTATCTCTTTAAGCGTCAGTTTGGTTACTTAGAAGCAAATCTATGGATGCATGTTAGAGCAATACTTAAAACATTTAAAAGAGGAACAAACCATTTCTCTAGTAGTAACATAAAAAGACGAATCTTAAAGCCATTACTCCAAAATCTGAAGAAAATATTTCATATTGTATACTTTTGTAAACTTTTAGAAATATACAATTTATCTTGCATTTAGCAAATACAAATAATTTTGTATTAATGCATTTTAGACAATCATTCATGTCTGCATTTTCTTATGGATTTCTAATATTTAATATAAGCTTAAGATATTAAATGAAAAATCAAATGGAAATAATCTATTGCATTACCGTCATCACTGCATTGCGATGACTGTGGTAGCTGTGCACTGCTAGTGATGTTTTTAAATTAATATTTAATTCCTATAAACATGAAGTTGCCGTCCTAATTGTGAAGTAACAACTTATGAACAGCCCTGGATTTGGATGTAATGTTATTGCTCCTAACTAATATACAGGCATAAAACCTTTAGTTAATTGCATCTTTGGCTTTGAAATACTGCAGATATTATACAACATTTAGTTTTAAGTTTTTATGAAGTTTTGGAGCATCTACTGAATAAATGTAGGAACTTAACATTTCAACTGACTTTTTAAAACAGATCACAACTATATTCTGCATTCTTGGAGGAAAATGTTCTCCTTTTCTGTTAAACGTGCACCTCCCTGTCATCCTCAGGCCATTGTATCTCACCAGGACAGTCAGATTGAGCTGCAGAAGGCCTCGCTGACGGAGCGGGTGTCTCTGCCTGGGCGCAACAAAGGAAACGGGCTCTTGGAGCAGGAGAAACAGCGGACTTTAGCCTTGCAGAGAGAGGAGCTGGCCTACCTGAACAAGCTTCAGTCTCAGCACAGGCAGGAGCAGCAGCGCTGGGAGAAGGAACGGGAACGCCACCGGCAGCAAGTGGAGGCAACTGAGGCCCGGCTACGACAAAGAGAGGAGGAGTGCAGAAAACTAGAGGTACAGGTTCAACATGCTGCCTTAAAGATACTGAGCAGATTTAAATGGGATTGAATGCATGATGAGGGTTGGCTGTAAAGAGCATTATACAGTGTGTGTTTTTGTTAAATACAGGAGCAACTGGCTAAGGAGAAGGAGGAATTGGACAGGCAGAGAGAGACGTATCAGAAGGACTTGGAGAGACTGCGGGAGTCCACTAGAGCTGTGGAAAAGGAAAAGGAGCGACTGGAGTCCCAGAAGAAGATGAAAAGGAAAACAATTGAGGTGAGAAGCCTGTAATGGTAACTTTCATGTCATGTGGACAATATCAACATTTACTGATGACATGTCTGAACGGATGTAAATACTTATATTGAACTATATTAAAAATAGGCAATTTAACAAGCACTCAAATTCTTAGAGTGCTTCGTGGATTGGGTTTTAAAGAATGCAGAAAGAAAGTTATTAGAAGACATTTAGTCTCTTTACTTTGAAGGAGTTTGCTTTTCATATATCAAACTCCAGCTGGGCGTGGTCATTAATTATTCGGAGCAGATTCAGCTTCTCGCTATGAAAGAGAAAGAATTATTGATATTTGACTTCTAGAGTTTCAAGACAGACAGTCATAGTAAATTTCAGTCCAATATTGAGTTCACTTGGATTTAGAAAGCTGCCATAACAAACTTCCAGCACTTCACCTAAATCATTCAAAGCATTATTATTTCTAAAGTACTGTTGGTACTAAATGTTTTTGGTAAACAGTTCTTTCTTCTGAGGTTCTTTGCTGAACTGGTGGGCTAACGCAGGCTTTCCCTCCTCTGTTCTGAGATAATTTGTTGATAGTTCTGCTTATAATATGTTTTCTTTTTAACTCCTGTTATTTATATGCAAACAAAACCTACAGGAACAATTGTTGTTCTGTTTCATAAAATTAGCACTTTGCTTTGGACGTCACAGTTGTTTGTGTGGTGTTGTAGCAGCGTAAATGTCTGGGCTCAGGTCTCTGCTGGTGGTCTGAAGCAGAGCTGAATCCCTCCTGAGTGAGTTACATCAGAGACAGATAGCAGCATCTCTGGGATGTTTCTGCCCCCTGCAGATCAGTCACAGAAATAAATTGCTGTTCTCGCATTCAAATTGTAAAATCTTCCATCGTTTGAAGGTTGATGAAATTCATCTCCCTCTTCTGTTATCAGCAGGAAATGTGAGGATGTTGATTTATTTTTTCTAAAACATGACACTGGAAGAGTCAGGAAGTGTTTTTCAACACTTGAACCAGCATTGCAGTCCAGAGTGGGGACATTTTTCCATCTCCTCTCGAACAGTTTTGGACAAAATGGTATTTGCTCACATCAGCATCAATTTCATTTTCCTTAAGGTGAGGTTTTGATGTGAAAATGTAGAGAGTAGTCTTTCTTTACATTCTTCTACCTTCTTTTCCCTGATGGTTTCTTCCAAGCATCTGCTCTTATTACAGAACAATGTGGGCTGTTGTTTGTCTGTTTCATGGGAGAGCAGTTTTCAGGATGATCCACTGTAATTTTATGCCTGGTGCTCACAGCTCTGTCAAGAAGTCATAGTAAATTTGAGTGTTCAGATTCTTGTATCACTTAGTCATCGCTCAGTTCATTTGTTCTCAGTTTCTAGTTGTTTTATCGTTTCATCAAATGAGAAACAGCCCAGACCCAAACAAAGAGAGCAGTGACATCAGTGCCGGCGTCACATCTCATTCCGTCATCGAGAGTCATTTGATAATCTGTTTACTCAAAATAATTCCTGCACCCAAAGGACAAAACAGCAAAGTGAGTTGGCAGTGACCAGTCATAACCAAGTTGTGTACTAAGAAGGCTTGGTACCATAAATTCTACCCAAAAGACGAGACGGCACAAAATTCTGGGTTAATGAGAAAGAAAAATAAGAATAAACTGTTTCTTTTCTAGAAATATCAGTTTCATAAATTAAAAAATTGTATCTCAAATTGTTCTATGATCTCAAATCAAAATAGAACAGTTTGGATCAGGACTTGTATTGACCCTCCTATTTGCCACACTTTTTTATAGTTAAAAGTTACATGTACGCATAGGACGCTCAGCCCAAATGGGTCCCCATGAGCCACCTCAGGGTTAAAAACTAATTTAGTTTTTTAATCGATTGCTTATTTAGCCACTAGTTAGCAGCAGAGCTTGGAGTCTAGATGAAGCTGCTGTTGTATTTTTATTTATTTATTTTTCAGTATTGCATAGAAATAAAGGGGCTGTTATCATGATGTAAATGTAAATGCATTTTATTTCTAATTTTAAGCTTTAAAAATAAAAAAAATTAAGTTAAGAAACTAAGGTGAGTTAATTAAACTTTGTGTAATTAATTCACTAAGTGTGAGTTTTTCCTAGGGTCAGTGGCCTGGCACGTTATTTTCACATCATTAGCTTGCCACTCTGTGGAAATTTTCTCACAGTGCTAATAAATCGACTTGTCTTTTGCTTTTCCACTGCTAAGGTTTCCTCTGGAAAATGACTAAATGCTGCCACATAAACAAGTTTAACAGGGAGGAGCTCTTCAACTTAGTTTGTTTTTTGGCCAGACTAACTCAAGTAAGAGGGTCAAAGAAATATGGTCAGATTTTATTTGTATAACTTTTATCAGCAATTCTAATACAAGCCTTTTTTGATGTTGACTGCAGTTTTAGGCTCATTTTAGCAGTTAGCATTGTTTTTTTTGTTTTTTTTATCTGCCACATTGTATCATGATTGGTTGTGTTTTTTCAATTCTTTTTAATTCAGTACTATTTATTTATGCAGTCCTAATTCACAAGTGTAATCTGAAGGCATGTATCAATGAGATGTATGAACCTTCATTAGAGTTGCATCTGTTTTTACGTTTATTTCTCCAAAAATGTCTTAAAAGTTCAGGTGGCAACTTTGATGTAAATAAAACTTTTTTTCTGAAATTTGCTAAACGACATATTAAACCAGATTTTTATGCTTTTATCTGGTGTTTGTTAAAGAAGCAGCCCTAAATTGGCTTTTTAAAATGCATCTTGCCAGATTAATAAACTGCAATATGCCTAACGCCTAACTGTAACCCTTCAACGTCCTGCACAAAACATTTACTTTCGTACCGTTGTGTGTTTTGTTGCACATGTCTCGGATGTGGTTCTGTACTTTTTTGCTGTGCTCTGGGACATTTCTTGGCTGTGCTTCTGGGAGATTTGGATGTGGTTTTTCCTCCTCTTGCTTCAAACGGCATCAAACCAGCTTTTCATTAGCTGGAACCACAGGATCTCTTCCAGGCTCTTTGCCAACCTGATATCATCTGACATTTAATATCCCCCACCCAAAATTAAGTCTCATCAGCAAACCTAGAAAGCTATAATTAGACCTTGTTTAAAAAAAAAACTGAAAGGGAGAAGGATTTTTTTTTCCACACGTGTTACTCAACAGAAATAACTCTGCGAGTCGTTGCTCGTCAGTTTTTCTAAAGAATTTCACCTTCAGCCTATATTTCGTTTGATCTTTATTAGGTTCTTTACACATCTAATTATAGAGGAATTGTGTAAATATAAAGTAATAAAAGTATACATTATTAAGATTTATTGAACTTTTCAGTGTCTAGAAAAATAATATTAATGTAAACTTACTAAAAGAAGAAACAAGGCTGATTACTAATAGTCCAAATATAGCACACACACTTAAGATGCCTTTCGACAAAACTGCTGAAGTTGTGGGAGCACAAAACCATAAAAAATCTGCTAAAGTGACTCATAAGACGCTGACTCACATTTGTGCCCTGAACAAAGGTATCCCCCTCCATCTATAACCTCCGCCTGCAGACGTAGTTACAATTCAGTGACCCGAGTCTGTGCTTATGGTCACCCTCACCTTGTAAACAAACACAGATGCCTGTGAGTCAGTTCCTCTTGATGAACAAGGAGAAAGCGCAAGGCTTTATGAAGCTGTCTGTGTGCATATCCCATCTGTTAGCTGTACTTTTTGTTTATAGTATAATTAATTCTTTCAACAAATAAGAGCCATGCATCAGGACTCGTATTACTCTTTTATATAGTGCTTTGGTACAGAAATTAACTTTATGTTGAGAAGTTAGATTAGACAAAAATAGAATATTCGCAGATGTTTTATTTTATTCATCCTTTATTTAAGCAGACAGAATAGATTTTCATCTGGAATCCGGCAAAAGGCAGAAACTTATGAGGAAAAGGGTAATATGAGCCACCATTTAAACAGCAACAGATAAAACGGTATAAAGCTCCACTAACTATTATAGTCATTAAAGAAAAGTGCATAATTGTGAAGGAGACGGAAAATGAGACATGCTGTTCAATCTTTTTTATTTTAATTTTTTACCAAATCAAAAAAAGTGTGGTTTACATTTGTTTTCAACCCTAACTGAGTTATTACTTGCAGATGCGTCTTTCACTGCTATTACAGCTGCAAGTATTTGAGGTTTTACCATCTTTGCACATCTACAGACTGAATTATTTGCTTATTTTTGTTTGCAAAATTGGTCAACCTCAGTCAGTGTAGATCTGTTGCAGGGTTCTCATGTTTGGTATTTTTGTTTTTGTTTGATCAGGAAAAAAATAGATGTTTTAGCCAGAGTTTTAAGTTATTTGAGGTTATGTTGTTAGTTATGATGTTTGAACAGAATCACAACAGTTTTTTTAAATTAATACTTGTATTTAGAAACTTTAGGATTAAATGATTTGATTAAATTCAGATCTGAGCTGCAGATCCCTGGCTGAAAAATGAATAAAAATTCTAACTTTTATGTGCACACACACGTCACATCTTAAAATCAAGTTTAGGTAAGATTTCAGTCTGGAGCTTGTGTTGCAGTACATCCAAGATCGTTTAAGGTGTTAATTTTCCACAAGAAAATGTATTGTGCATTGTCAGTGAAGATGTGCTTGATTTATGAGAATCCATGAAACCTTCAGGCCGAGATGCTGTATAATTAGCCAGTCCAAACCTGCCATCATCAAATCCCTCTGGAAGGCGTTCAGTCCCGTTTACGACCTGTCAGTCAGAACTCCTTGTGCCGTGCAGCCTCTTCACGTTTCGTTACCGGGATATCCGTTTATGTCATTAAAGCTGTTTGCCTTGTTCTAGGAACAAACATCTTTGTGTCATGATGAGTGAGTGCTGAAAGAAGGGAAAATGATGGAGGGAAAAGAGGAGGGCAGGGTCAGGGAAGGATACTTTTCCCACACTAAGGCTTCTGTTTTACTTAGTTATTCCAGTTGCAGCTGGAGGAAACATAGCGTTTAAGATCATCAGTTATGTTTCCGAGGGAGGCCATACCGAATAGAGCAGATGGAGAAATTACCCATTTAAACCTAAACTAGTTTTTCCCCAACCATTTAGTCATGGTGACGACCCCCCTGCCCCGCCTGATCCATCCCGAGAACGTTAAATCAACTCTATATAGAGCCAGATTACAATCAGAAGACCTTTTTATAACAATAACTTTATAATACTTGCTGCACTCCAGTGTTGGTTGTGCGGGAGGCTCCACTTCTGCTTTTCAAAGATGCACAGTTGTACAATTGCTCATCTGTTTTGCAGCCATTTTCAGTTGAGTTGGGGGAAGTGGCAAGCAGCAGCTTGTTTACATTTAAAGTGAAAAGAGACCCTGACACAACTTATTCAGAAAAACCTCAGAATAGGCCAAACTGAGCAGCCTAAAATCTCGTTATCTAATTTAAAGATTTATGGAAAAGAGGTCACCTTTAAAGGAATCCTTAAGTTTTGGATGAGCAGTTGCCATGTTATAAGGCTAGAGCAACCTGTCGTTTGCACAGCAGACTGCAGGGTAGCTTTACACCTGTGACCGTCCTCAAACTGTCATCAGTGGGTAATTTAAATTTATAGTGTATTTTATTGAGTTTGTTGATATTTTCTTGAATATTGTTTTAAAGTGGTGCTTAAAATTATTCACTTCAGTTTTTAGAAATCATTATAAAATTATTGTTTGCCTGCCTTCAATCAGTACGTTGTTCAAGTAAATTTCTAAAATACACAGAAATGTCTTTAATTGAACTTAGATTGTGTAACACAATAAGATTTTAACCCCTGAGTTGTCATGATGACAGAAATCAGGGAGGTTGGATAGCTGTGTGCTACAGAACAGCGATGCTGGTGAGAACAGTCTTGCCACAGAAAGCTTTAAAACCCTTGGATGCGTGCTGGTTTGCTGGGTCTTCAAGCTACTTTACTTAGACCACATTCCCCCTGACACATCAGAAGGCACTATCATAAGAAATGTAAATTCTTTTTTTTTAGCTTTTGATGCCTTTGCCTCAAGTAAAATAAACATCCTGGGGCAGAGTTGGAAAACCACAGTGTTTTTGCAAGGAATGAGCTGTTTGATTGCTCTCTTAATTCTCTCTAATGGCACCTATTGGAGGCTTTTTATGGTTCTTGTAACTTAAGATGCTGGATTAGTAACACAAACACTGGCGGAGTCTCTCTGATGCTGAAGTCTTCCTGTTTGACTTGATCTTCACATCGTCTTTAGTTCATTCTTGTAATTTTGCAAACAATGCAGCCTGTGTGTTTCGTCCTCTGATGTCATGAGAGCTGTTTCTGTTGCTCTACTTGTCCTGAAGTCCTGTCTGTTTTGTTGGACACGCCTTTATGTGCACAGGGACCATTAGTGGTTTTATGATTCTCATTTCATGTGCTTGTGTGTGTGTTTTTGCGGGGGCACACGTCCATGGTCATTGTGCGTTTTTTATTTTAGAGCCTTTGTTAAACTGACTCCTCTGCAGAACGCAGGCCTGCGTTCAATGTGTTTCTCATTTCCTCCCTGGCTTATAAATACGGAGAAGTAAACAGATCTCTGCGATGGCGCTGCTTCACACTGCTGATTTATAGCCTGTGTCTTCTGCAGACTGAAGAGGTTGTTTTCTTGTGTTTCAGATTGTTTACAAAACACGCACACACGCAAACTAGCTGCAGGATGTTTCCCATCAGCTGAATCAGACCACAAATATAAATAATTTCAGTGCAGAGATCAGTAACCCATCCTTTGAACAGGCATGTGGATTTTTAACCCCATTCAAGTAGTTTCTTAGCGATTGACCTACTGCCTCCTCTTTCGCTCTAAGGTGGCTCCGATGTCTGGCAGTCTGAATGGGGATCTTATCTCGTCCTCCGGTCTCAGCAGCTCCACCTGTGTCCCCGAGTTGCCCCACTCCCAGAAGCCCGTGGCGCGGGGAAGCCTCTCGGTGGCACAGGCCGACTACCCCGAGCGGCCTGAGCTCATGCTCCGGCGGGACACGGGCTCCTCAACGCTTCCTCTCCCGCTGAAGACGGAGGTGCCGCTGCACCTCTTCAGCACCACCAACCAGCAGCACAAACCGGTCGGGGTGCAGCAGCAGATCCCCACCAAACTGGCAGCGATCAACAGTGGCAAAGGGAAAGGGAGCAAAAGTGGAAAAGCGTCACATCGCACAGACAGCTCTGGTAAACAACCAATGATTCCCATTTAAACTTACATTTCTAATGAACATCTGGAACTGGAAGACATTTTAAATATTAAAAATAAATCAACAAGACACTTGAAACAACAAATAAAAATGAATACTGAAAATCATCCTTTAAAAAAGGGCTAGTTGAGATTAATGCACCAGACTAAAGACTCTGTGTTTTAAATTTGCAGTTTATTTGGAAACAAGTGTTAAAAGGGGCAGTATGTGACAGTCTGGCACAATATATATTTATATAAATCTGAAAGGCATGCATTTGTTTTCAGCCCTCTTTACTCTGATATCCCCCGAGTAAAATCCAGTTTAACCCATCTACTTTCAGAAGGCTCCTAATTTGTAAGTGGGAGTCAGCATGTGAAATTGGAGCAGCAGGTAACATGTCCTCCTGACAGCCTTGTTGAGTGTTCAGAAGTCGACACCAGCAATGACTCCGTTGCAGCTGTCAGCCTGTGGGAGATGTAGATGTTTATCTCAGAAGAAAACAAGTTTTGAGTGGCTCTTTTTGAAATAATTCCAAATTATGTGACAAAGAATGTTTTGAGATTCCTCTCTGCTTGTCTGCACTTGTACTGAGACATATTTAAAGCCTTTAAGACGTTTCCTCCTCCTTTTTCCTTTAAGTGGTTATGATTCCCACAATAATTATAGAACTACAACTTTTGTAAAATGAATTTTTAGATTGTTTTATTAACTTTTACACATTCTTTAAACTTGTTAGGACACCGTATATTTGTTTTTACTTTCAAAATTATTCAAAAATTCCCCGTGGGAAGCTTCACTACTACACACACCTAACACTGCAACTCTTGTCTCTTTTTGTCTCTCCGTTTTGGACATCCTCCTCTCAGCCTCGGTGGACATGAAGCAGATGCTCCCCCTGAAACTGTCTGCGAGAGACGACAACGTCCTGAAGGCCAAACGCTCCATCAGCCCCCATCAGCCGCCCCTCCAGTCTCACTCCCTGCATCACCACTCAGGTATCTGTCCAGATAAACACATCTTCACTGAACCTCAATTAACAAAAACTGGCAAAGAAATTATCATCTGACATGATCCACGTGTGATTTATGAAACTGTGTGTGGTAGATAATCGTTTGTTGAATTCTAAGGTGAAAGAAATCGCATTTTCCATCCCACACCTTTAGATATTTATAGTTTTATTTTGTGACCGCTTCTGTACAATCTGACTTTCTTTATTTTCTTGTTCATCTTTTTACAAGCTTCTTAGAGGAGTTTGAAGTCCTTGAAAAATGCTTGATTTTCTATTAGGCGTTCTGAAGGTTTGGAAAGTGCTTGATTTCTGTATCGAGTCCTTAAAAGGACTTGACCTTAACTGCACACTTGGGTAATAAAGTGCAATCCAACGCTTGTAAAAGCCTAATTTTGCCAAGCACTATTTTTAATCGAAACCAGATATTTAAAGATGATAAAAACATTTTTTTCTCTCTGTCACAAAACTTGGTGAGAATATCTTTTTTTAGATTTTTTTGTAACATTCTCTGACCAGTCAGATGAATAAACATAACAGTTTGTTATATTTTTAGTTTAACTCATCCCTGCTGTAGAATACAAAATACTAAGTATTTGAAAATGCTTGAAAAATGCTTGGGTTTTTTTTTTTTGTTGTTTTTTTGGGAGTTTTTTTGGGTGTGAAAAGTATACAAACCATTTTCAATTATTTATTACGTTTTATTATCATTCTATTTTTCTTTTAATTAAAGGAAGCATCACAACAAAATGAAGATGCCGTCAAAAGACACAATAGAGAAGTGAAACTTACATTCTGTCAATTTTGTGTAATATTATCTTTATGGTTGACTCACCAATAATGAACATTTAATCGTGTCGTGTTAAAAGCACAGAATGACGAACAGATCTGCAAACATTCTCAAGCATGAGCCAAAACTGAGCTGACTGCTGAGCCGCATTTTTCTGCTGCACACGTTTGAACTCTGAAGTTGGTTCTCAGGGACACAAACCTGATTGTTCACCTGGACGAGTGGGACCCCGCCCTGTGGCATTCCTCCGAAAAGCTCGCCCTCATGCCGGCCTCGCCCTGTGTAAACACCCATCCGTTTCTCATCCTTTCTTTTGATAAATGGCCAGCTCTTCTGTTCACACACACGTTTTAATCCTACTGTGTCATAATCACTTAAAATAAAAATCATTGGGAGGATCTCATGTGATTCAGTTCAGTTAGGGCTAAGTAGGCCAGGCGAGGTTTTCTGCAGGGTTTAGAATGACATCAGCAATTACAAATGGTATTTCATTAATCTTGCTATTGAACATAAAACGAACACTTGGGCACTTTGTCAGAAATGTAAACATCACAGCAGCTTCTGTAGTTTCAGCGACATTGAGGATGGACATAAAATAATGTGGATTTAATTATTTTTTTATTTGACCCGCACCAGATTGTTTTTGCATACACAGCATATAAACCTTTGACTTAAATAAGGTTACAAACTTTTGGAAAGATAATAAATGTAGTTCCACCTGTACGCCGGTAGATCTACGGTGGATCTTAGCGACGCGCAAAGAGTGACGTAGCTAAGCTAAACCAAAGCAAATATAAAGGAAGTTTTAGTGAAAAAAAATACCTTGATGTTTGGCCTTCGGACCATTTACAAAACTGAGTTCCTGTGTTTCTATTTATTTGACTTACTAAACTTATTTTTACCTTTTTTGATACATTTGTTTTTTTATTCAAATATTGTAAAACGACAACAAATTTATATTTGAAGTGTGTCTTTTTAGAATCAACTTTTTTTTAAAAATGCATCACTACAAATTTATACACATTTTACTGAATAAAATGGATAAACCACCAAAATATCTATTTTTTTGGCGCTACCAGAAGTCCATACATGACTGTTTGAGTGGATCAGGAAGCCTTTGAGTTTATCAGTAAGAGCTGCAGGATAAACATCAAACGGTTTTTATCAGCTTGCAGCCAAGACTCTCACGTTTCCCTGGATACCACATATGTCTGTTTAACTGAGGGGAAAATGGTCCAAATCTGCCCCTGGTTCCGGTTCTTACCAGGTCGAAATATTGCAGACATACTGCTGTTCATGATTTCTGGATTAACACTTTGTTTTCTGCTGGCGTTTTCAGATCAGCTGAGTCCAGAGCAGACTGGATTAGACACACAGCCCACCTCCTCCACCAGCTCCACCCAGAAGCCCCCCATGCAGGGCCTGCAGCCCCATCCTCCTCCTCCTCCCGTTCATCACCTCCACTCCCAGAGCGCAGACTCCCTCCCGTTCCAGCCCCACCTGCAGCCGCACGGCCTCGGCCAAATCGCACAGGCCAACGCCTCGCTGAGCGTCCACGGCCTCGGCGTGACGCCGCCCTACAGCCTCCCTGCTGAGGACCTCAACAAGGAGGACGTCATATTTTTTTAAAGCCCCAGCTGCCCCAGGAGCGAGCACTGACCCCCCAGTCTGACCACAACTTATTGCCGAGGCTTGCGTGGAGAAATTTCCCTAACTTTTTATTTGATAGCATTTGCAAATCCGCATTTTTATCCAAGCTGCCTCTAATATTTTATTTAACTTTTAGGTCTATTTACTTACAAGTAAGGTATCTTCAAACAAAGGAGTCCAGCGTTGATTTATTATTTTAATTTTTATTAATCCAAAGACGCAAAACACATTTCTGGACAGGATCTGACTGAAAGGAGAATAGTGAAGCATCGTTTTTGTTTTTATTTTTATTTAGAAGAAGTTCAGTTTGTGAGAAGCAAAACGTTCAGTGAAGGATATTTATCGCTCTCTCCTGCTGGTCCCAGACCATCATGAAGCTTTTCGTCAGAAGTGATTAAAAAAAAACTGCTTGAAGTTTCATCTGCACACTGTAAAAAAAACAAAGCAAAACAAAACAAAAACAAAAACTCCTTTCCAAAATAATGAAGGGACATTTTATGGCGAAGACGTTGTAAAAAGTTGATTGTACAGCTTCTATGATTGTAAAGCTTAATTGCATTTTTCGGTACTTGTCTTAAATGTAATTCTTTAAAAAAAAAAAAAAAGTAACACCAGTCTTGTCGCTGGTTTCGAAAGTTAACTAACATTTTATTTCAGCAAAAGGAGGGCTTGTTGTTTTTGTAATATGTGTAAAAATATGAAGTGAGACTCAAAGAACACACTTTCCTTAGAGTTGGAGAGTTTTTTTTCTTTGTTTTCCTAACGCTAACCTGCCAATCTTGTTCTGCTTTGGTCGAAATGATTTCCAGAATTGTGCTTATATAAGCGGCAAAATTGCAAAACATGGTCAAATTTGAAATTTCCCTTTAGTTTGCTTGAGAGGGTGAAGAAAGTAAAACGGTTCGGTTAAAAGACATTCAGTTATTTTTGACGTGTTGCAGGTAAAGACTGAATCTGTTTGTCCTGCTGCTCGTGTTGAGTTTGCGCTGAGCTGTGTCTGAAAAACAAACAGTTCATCAGAATCGGAGGATGAGCCGTCAGACGGTGCCCTTCATAGTACAGCTGCTGTGATCATGGGTTAGAGGCTGATTTCCAATCTGATTTAAAAAAAAAAAAAAGCTTGATGTGCTCATATTGTTTCTCTACTCAGATTTCAAAAGAAATATAAGAAAATATTGGGTGAAAATATATTTTTCTGGCTTTTGACATAAAGGAAGCAGATTAAACATTGGTGTAAAACAAGATTTTTCTGTTTCAGACAAAATGATCATGGGGTTTACATTTTAAGCAATCTTACTTTATATTATAGGTTATTATCCATTCTAGATATTTAGATCCTTCCATTAGTTAAAATTTCTGAAAGACATTGATACAACCTTTAACAGCCAGCCTGGTTAAAAGCTCAAAAGTATAAAATCTACTTCCTTGAGTCTGTGATTCTTCTACCACAGGCATGTCTGAACATGTTTTCTCTCCCTCTGATTCATTTTTAATCACCTAAGTGGAACCAAAACTCAGTCGCCTTCACTTGTTGGCTGCGTTCACACTGAAGTGTAGTTGTCGCGACATCCTGGTCGCTTTCAAGCATGAAGTTTTCTGCTGGCTGGAAACTCAAACGTCAAACTGATCACCATTTCTGTTCTGGAGGGCGCTTTGAGAACTCATTTTGAAAGAAGAAATGGCAATGGCTGCCTAAGTTTCAGGAGTTTCTCCTCTCTCATTACTCGTGTGAATGAGTGAGGAGAGCATTAAAAGAACCAGAGCATTAAAGGACGACCTAAAGTTTGTATTTTGCAGCTGACTATCAATTTCAAAGTTAACGCACGAAACTGTTTTGAGTTTGTTTCACTGGACTCTGCTTCACATTTGAAGGATTGAATGTTAAAAGATGTGCAGATGATGCCTATTTGTCTCGAGGAGAAAATGTGGAGCTTTCCATTTTTTATTTTTTAACTCTTTGCAGACAGACTAAGCTCAGTAGGGCGACCCGGAGCGGCTTATTTTATGTCCTGTATATTTTTATACATAATTTACGTGACCTACGGCATTAGCTGCCCTCCTGTTGCTTAATTTGTTCATTTGTCACAGATCAGGTTGTAAAAATCCAGCAGAAGTCTGTTTCTGTGTACACTTCACACACACCCACGCATCTGTGTATGCTGAGTACGGTACACCTGTGGACGCTCTCGTCTGTCGATAAAACCATAATTACATGTTGCTGTAATTTAACTGAAATTGAAGGCATTTTTTTTTCTCTCTCTTTTCTCCTCACTTGTTTTTGTTGTCCGTACTAAACTCGATGTCCGCTGCCTGTTGGCCCTCTGGTACAACTCATGATTGAGGTTTCACAAAGATTATGGATCAGTTAAAAATATAATTGTCTGCTCTCTTTTTTGTTTTTTAGTGGTTTGAACCAAAGACACATTCGGCTGACTCTGTTCCTCTCTGTGCACACGCACGCAGGATTGAAGACACCGTGCTCGTTCTGTGGTGATCCACAAGGTTTATTTACTTGCCTATAAAAGAAAATTCTTCAGGGAGTGTCCGTAGCAATTGTTTACAACATCTTGTAGTCCAGCTCACATCCTGCTTTGGCTCTGGGTTTTTGGAAAACGTACGCTTTGCTTCCTCTACAGATCACTCCTCATCTTCACTGTAGACATGATGATAAAGAACCGGTTGAATGTTGGTGGGATCAGTAGGCATGGGCTGGCATGCTTCATGTTTTAAGGTTTAATTTCTGGTATTAAAACAGAAGTGCAACCACTGTTTCTGCTGCTGCTGCAATGATCAGGAACATTTACTGGCTTTATAAGCAACATGTTGGAACAGAAGTTGCAACTTGCAACTCCACAGCCAACAGTGGCTCTTTGGTCTTTCCATAATGGCTGAAATAGTGCAGAACCACGTTTTTAATATATTTAAAAAATACAGATTTTAACAAGTTTTAGTTTTGTTTTTTTTAATAAATCCTTCATTGAATTTCCACAACAGAAGTATCTAATATTTATTATTGACTCATCATTCTGGTTGAAACTGTTTTTGTTTTATTTGCCTAATTTTTTATTAACATCAACATGCCACCTAAGAAATGTATCAATCCAACTTTTGTAAATGTTGTATAGTTTTTCTATACCTAAAGCCAGAAACAAGATGGTGGTTCCTTAAAAAAAAAGACCTCCAATTTTTCTATAATTCAAAAATGAAGGTTCTGTGACATCTGTGACCCTAAAGTTTGTTTTGCTGGATGAAGGACAAAAATGACTCCTTAGTATGTAACGGTTGGAGACTCCTGATATAGAACAACCACCATGTTTGTTTCCAAATGCAAATTGCCTTCAAATACTACAAATTTCTGCTCTTTATAGAGTATAACAAACATTATCAGCCGAAATTGGCTGCTTAGTCGGGCTATCTGCTCATGTAGCCAGTCTGCTTGTAGCTTCACAACTGTAGTTTAAAACAGCATTACCTTAATAAGAGATAAGTGGCGCTCAGTTTCCATCCAAGCCCGTTAGTGACTTTAAATACTTTCAAGAACTGAGTTAGTTTAAAAAAAAATAAATAAAAAATGCTTTCTTTCAGCCAGCCAATTAGGAGTGAACAACAAGTGGGGGAGGGGCTGCTCTTTACAGCTTGAGAAAACACCATCACTCCAGCACTTTTTCTGGAATCTTACTGAAAGGATTTTAAGGTACGACGTCAAATTGCACCTTTTTTTTTTTTCTTTAAGCCTAACTTTATTTATCAGTGCTAGCAGAAACCTGCCCATGTCTATTGTCCAGCATTCTGGCTTTAACCTTTAATGGTTTCCTGTCAGAAAATGTCTGTAGACGTTTCATGTGGTCGCTCACTCCAGGGTACGTTCATAACTCTGCAGCAGATGGAGGAACTTGTGCAGGAGCAATTTAGCTTTGCTCCAGAGTTTCGCGTCACTCCTCAGCAGGTGCCACTGTTCTGGTCAAACAAAGTCTTAAACGTTGCATCGCTGCACTCGGACGCTTGGTGTACTTGACTGTTGTATATTTCAGCATGTGGTCAGTCGTGCCACTGTGTGTACATGTATGTTTTTGTCCGTCTGTGTGTGTATGCGCGCTACAAAGAAGAAGAGGAAGCATTTTATGCACACTGGTTGGACCTGTAATATGTAAATAAACACGCAATATATTTTATTTCCTCTGCCAATTTTACACTAGTCACTTTGGATAGTGACTAGTGTACTAGTCACTATCCAAGTAGCATACTTGAAGAGGAAAATAAATGATTGTTTGTTTCATGTAAACTTGTTTGTACCGACACTTATGACCTCTGTAGCACACGGCTAAAAAACAGATTTTTGTACTTTTCTTTTTCTTTCTTATTCACTGCACCACATTAGAGCACAAACTGCTGCCTTAGAGAGACCTAGTAATAAAAATCTCAAAATGATCATTTTTGTCTGAATTATTTTTATTAATTAGAGCTCACGGAGGGTTGGAGCACCCCCTTGTGGTTACTGAAGGTTATAAACTGCCTACCTCAACTTTTACTTTCACACAACCAGCACTAAGAAATGTTTTCTTATAATCAGAGATGCTAACAAAATGTTGCCTGCTTTGTTATATAGGACAAAATTAAACAGCTGAAGCCAGATTTTGACTTGTTCCTGCTAGAAGCCGCAGAAAGATGGGAAAGTTCATTCTATACCACCATTGGCCATTTTCTGGTTCAGACAATTTCGTCATGTACCAACATCTAAATCTCATCCTAACAAAGTCGAGTCATTGTCACAGTTGAGCTAGATGTTTGCTGCTTAAAAAGACAGTCTTACTTCAGTCTGTTTTTTCTATTTTAGCTCAGTTAGTTATTCAAATTATTTCTATTTATTCATACAACCTAAATCTCAAGCAACGCCGGTAAAAATGTTGCTAGAGAGTTAAAGTGGAGTGTTGTAAAGAGCTGTACTTAAAGACCCCGTTTTGAGGTGAGTAATTTGACTTCGTAATGTCAGTCCTATTTGATATATTGCATTTTTATACCAACTGAAGGTTGCATAGTGACTTGATTGGGGTATAAAGTTATATTATGTGGCTGGAAAACGTATAATACTGGCCCATGAAAGCCCTGACATCTGGTACTGCCACAAATGAATCCAGATCCACAAAACTCTAGTGAACAGACATCTGATCCACAGCGAGGGCAAAACCTGAACTTCCCCTTCTCAATCCAGGGTTTAATGATCATGTCTCATCTCGAGTGTGAACAAACTGCAAAGCTCAAGAAACATTTCACGGGATAAACGACTTACAAAAACTCAATATATGCCTTCAGATATGTGTTTTGCCTTGCAAGCAGGTTTGAAACAATTACTTGTTGGACTGTTTTGTGGCTTCACACAGACTATTTCTATTCAACGTGCAGTGGAGCCTTTCCGCTGAGCTAAGGTTGCTGGAACATATAATTCTCCCTGATTATTGAGGTTTTTATTAACTGCTCATCAAAATAATCCTGACCACCCAATCAGCTGGCTTACTAACCCTTTTGCAGCGTCTAGGAGGTGCGACGGGGTGTTAAGGACCCCGTGTTTAGCCGACCTAATAACAGCTTACCCCCAGACAAAGCTCTATTTCGAGGCCCTGTGGTTGTGGCCTTTCAATCCCTCTCGAACACTAAAGGCTGCTAGTTCCTGCCTTATTGTCATCCTGCCGTGGCAGACGCTACTCTTTTTTTTTTCTGTTTTATTGTCAGCTGTCATTAGTGGCTTTTCTCTGTCTCCTCTCAACAATTATTTTCCCTCCTCTGTCTTTGCTCCTGTCTCATTCTTTCCAACCTCTCTGCCCATCGCGTCCGGTCATGTGTCGGACCTACCTCGCAGCTCCCGAGGCTGTTTATGCAAAAACAGGACGTCCGGAGTCTTGGCCGCCATTGTTGTGTCTGTGTGCAAGTCGGAGACAAATAGTCTCTCCACAGAGTGAGACGACCAGGCAAACACCATAAAACACTGGGACAAATTTGAGTTTGATAGACTCTGTGTCAGCAGTTGTTTTGTTACTTTGGTTTTGGCCCTGTAAATCTATTCCGGGGCTTCAGGCTTCCACTGCTGTCTTCAGAATGAGGGATTATCGTTTTTATTCACATGACAGGCCAAACACATTATTCTCAAGACTTTGTTTTAGAAGTTTCTGGAGTAATAATGTAAAAAAAGCCTTGGAAGAGCGTTGAATGACTCATATAATTAATACAAGTATCCAGATTTATTGAGCTTCCTAAGGGATCCGTACATCTAAGCAGTCAATATTTACAGTGTACATCGTAAGAAGTTCTTCAAACGTACCTCAAAGCCTTTGAGCACGTCAGAAAAGATAACTTGTATAAATATCAGTGGAAATGTGCAAAAAGTGGCCAGATTGAGACTTGTATAAATTATTTTCAAGAGATGCAAATAAAAATGTTATGTTAATTGCTTAGATGCAAGCCGACCTGTGACCTATCATATTTATCATTCATCCGTCAATACCTATACTCACTCATTCTTGCACTCACTCACAGGAGCCGGCATCTATCTCCAGCTGTCGCTGGGCGAGGCGGAGGTTCAGCCTGGACAATTTACCTGGCTTTCAACGAATCACAAGGAAATGCAGGACAAAATGCCACAAACACCTAAAGGTAGTCTACTGTAGCCAATCAGCCTAGCCAAGTGTTTGGACTGTGGAGGATCCATGTCCACATGGGGAGAACATGCAAACTCAATGCAGAAAGTCAGCTTATGAGTATATGAACTGTTACTACTATTTTCACTGAACAATACTTAAAACAGAACAATTTCTATTGCCTTACGCAATAAATGAACTGAAAAAGTTAATGTTAATAAAGAAATATGTTCTGCTTGACCCTCTGTTGGTTTTCAAACACTGAGCCCATATCCAGAGCTTGTTGTTTCTCCAAGTTTTGCTGCTATGAGAAGAATGTGAAACATGGAGAGCTTCCTGGCTGAAGCTTCATTGCTCCTGGGTGTCAGAGGAGGAACTCCGTGTGTCTGTTTTTTAAAAAAAGACCGAATGTGATAACAGCAAGATAGTCAGCGGTGTAACATGCCCCTGCTTTACACCCTGCTTGCATAACCTCTCAGACTGCCTGTGGGATAAGTATGGTTTGTGCAAGCTAAAGTATTCGAATTATTTGAGTTTGTCCATGGCTGTTTTTAGGGATGGAGGAAGAACCAAATAGTTGAGGCTTGTATTGACACAGCACTCCATCAGTGTTACAACAAACATTTCTAATGGATTGTACAATATGTAAACTATCTTAGCTCTGGTTTGGATGAATGAGAGTCTTTGTTCCTCCACCCTGCGAGGCTGATCTCATATCTTACATCAACAAAGGAAGTTCCTGTTGAGAAGGCCTCCACAGGGAGCCATTATGCCAGGTGGAAATCAGATCTGACGGCGAACCGTTGTTGGGTCACAGGAGACGCCTCAGGTGAACTGAAAGGACAGATTATAAAGGAAGCGTGCTCAGTGTTGACTCTGCCTTTGTCTTTTTCATGGGATCTGCATTTTGGAGTCAGCTGGAGCTCAGTGGCTCTGTCCTGTCGGACCAGTTTTACTCCCTTGTGCTTTTGTGTTGATCACATTTTATCCAGAAGGGAGGAAAGGCTGTAATTGTGACAGATGAGCCTTTCATAGCAATTCTCTATTCTTCCAGTGTAAGAACAGAGTTGTGTCTAAGATACAGACAGTTTTTTTCCTTAGAGAGTCACACAGCAAAAACAATACTAAAATATTTAAAGGCAGATATTTACACACACTATCTTTTTTTCTCTCACTGTCTGACAATGAATCCTGATCATTTCACCTTGTTTTAGATCAGTCAGGATCACTTGACATCCATTTAAAGCCTTTGGGAAATATGATTATTATGTTTGTGTGAGCTTCCAGTAGCTCATAATAATCATATTTGACATAAATTGATTCAGATTTGAGGACGTGTTGTAAACGTAACCCCTCAACCTCCTTGCTTCCTCAAGTCCAATAAAATAGAAATCTGAAAATCAGGATTTCTAGATTATCTATTGCTACAATTTCCAAGTCTTCGAAGATGTTAAATCCATCTCCTCAAAAATGATATACAAGTATAGAGACCTTGTTCCATCCATCCTACTGCTCAGGAAGAGGATTGGTTCTGTGTCCCCAAAATCAATAAGTTTGGTTTAAAACACTAAAGATTTAGTGAAGACGCTTAAAGCAACACAAAAAGATAACATGTTGCAGATAAACTCCTGCACTTGTATTTGCTCATATTGAGCATTCAAAGGAAGGACACTTACATCGACTTTGTTGCCCTTAAGTAACTTTGTAGCTCATTCGGTGGTATGCTTTTCCATTTGTGCTCAAGGTGTGACTTGCGGACTCATGTCTTAAGGTGCAACTTTCATGTTTTCACAACGTTCTCTCCTCCTGATAGCATCAGCTCTAAGAAGTACACCACTTCCTGATGCCACAAAGACACACTCCGCTCCAGAACATGTGTTCTGAAAATTTGTGCACTTTTTACAGCAAAACATTTTAATCAACCCATCTTACTCCCTCCGAGAGCACATGGGTAATGATTTTCATCCATAAAAACCCAGGACTCCTTCTCCAGTTCTTCAGTTTTCATTCATTTTTAATAGGGGCTGATTAATAGGGACAAACAGCTGGATCAGAGGCCTTTTGTCTTGAGCTTGGATTTTTCTCTAACAAATATACAACATTAAATATTCACCAGCGACTTTATTTGTAGCTGTTTTTATTGCAGTGTTATTGTGTTTTATTTAGTCCCTAAAAAGGAAACTCTTTAAAATTTCATAAGGAAACAAAAACCAGCTGTCCTCGGTTTTAAGTATTTTCCATTTGTTGATCAGCATTTTTGCAGTGTGGGAGGTCTGTGTTCCTATTCAAAGGATTACTATTTCCTTCATGTAACACACGCACGCAAACACACCGACACGCGCACACACTGCAACACATTTAGTTAGTTCAAGACAAATAGTTGCAGTGCCAAGGTAAATACATTCCCGGCAGCTTTGGATGAAAAAGTTCAGGAGATGTGAGCAGTTTAAACTCTCTGAGTTTCTTCCTCCTCACAAAAAGCTGGGAGCCTTTAGTAAAAGAAAAAAAAAAAAAAAGAAGTTTTCCATCATTAAAAATCAGCTCTCAAAAAGTCAGTGTGGATGTGTGCCATAGAGTAAGCACAGGAAAAACATCGCAAGCACACAGAGAGAGTAAAACGGCAGCTGGAGGGAGACCTGAAATGCACTGAAAGTGGATCTAAAGTAAAAGGAGCTGGGAGCATCTCTAAACCCTGATGCCCTCTTGTTTATGAGGCACTTTGACTTCCTTCGCGTATCTTCTGAAGCTCTCTACGAGGGTCCATTTGAAAGAACAAAGCCCAAAGTGGTGTTTCACTCTAACATGACCCCTTTCACTTTCACATAAAGCATCAGGAAGCAACTCTTCCCTCTCAAAACAAGATGGCTCCATGTCACATTTTAACCGCTATAGGTTTCATTCGCAACGTTTCTGGCAGGATGCAAGTTTTAATTTTAGGAGAATAAGTACACAGAGCCTCCTGGTTGCATCCTCCTTTCGTTTTGGATGAGCAGAGGGCAGCAGTGCTTGTTTTGCCACTGAGTCCGTGCTTTGAGAGCGGGATCTAAACACTGCTTCTCTGATTTAAAAGCTGAGTCCTGGCAGAGCTGGATAGCTTGCCTGCTGGCTGCTGTTGAAGAAGGAGTGGAGAGTAGGTGGCGAGGGGGTGGAGACAGGAAGACGCTGCCAAGGGACTAAAAGGGCACTAACTGCTGCAGCGCCAAGCACCAGAATAAGACAGGGCTGAGTGGATTTGTGCAGCTGCTTTTAAGAGTTTCAGCTCAAATCCCAAAGTATTAAGAAAATGAAGCTTGCACCTGTTGTGTGCTTTTAACTGCAAAATCACATTGGACTGCTTTTTTTTAATTGCATTAAACACTTTCAGCAGACTTTGCAGAAAATGTTGTTTTGCTTGCACCACTCTGGGATATTGTTTTCTTAATTTTCCTACGTGGCTGGACACAAAGTCTGCCAAATCAAAAACCTAAAAACCCTGCGCCAGACAAATGCTACTGGACTGTGTCCCATGTTCAGTTGTCCTGTATTTCCTTTAGTTTTTCTGCAACACTTGTCTCCATAACTCTGCATGCATTTGCATAGTAATATGCCCCAGTCGTGGCAGATTAATTATGAATTTAACCTTTTTGTCATGTGAAGTGGCTTGACTTAAATTAAATTACTATCTTAAAACTGAAATGTAAAAAACAAACAAAAATTGAGAGGCAGATACAGAAGCCAGAACTTGTTCACCTCTACCTATGGTTTATAGCCTTTGGTCATGAGCTGAATTTCCTTATTGCCCTCGGTCTTAACTTACGCAACAGAGCAGAAACTGTGAACCAGCTAAAAGAAGCTTCTTCTCCAAGGCGTGCACACACTTGCAAACGGTATTCTGTTTTTTCATTTCATCTTAATTGTTTTATTTTATGCCAGTGACATCTCAGATCTTTTTGGCAAAGTGTTAAAGTGCATCAAGTGGGATGATGAGATAAGGTGACATTAGCACGCATCTCTGTCATCTACTGGAACCTGCTCCAGAACTGGTTCAAAAACAAAAAGGAAGACTATTGTTTGCGTGCAGAAAATCTCTTCCTCAGTTCCTCCTCTTCCTCAGTCTCTGTTTTTTATTCTGTGTTTTCTTGTCGTTCTTCTGTGGCTCTTGACCAAATGGAGCATTTAACAAACTCCTCCTCAGGTCGCTTACCGCCTTGAACAACACACCCACCAACAACTGGCTTTTCCCTCCAGTCTCATCATAAATCATTCAGTATTTTTGCTCTATTTTAACGTAGCTGATCTGAGTCCGTCATCAAGAACCAAATGACACTCTGGAGGCAGACATAGGAACCTGAAGTGTTCACAAAGAGGCCACATGGCAGCTTCTCTCCTCATTCAGTCTGACCTCTGCTGCACAGTTTGACTGCCTCTGTATGCGAGTACGATCAAAGGCAGTGTGTGTGTGTGTGTGTGTGTGTGTGTGCGTGCGTGCGTGTGTGTTAACGTCCTTGCTTCATTAGTTTTTTTGCAAGCTGCACTCTGAATTTGGAGGGAGGATGACACACGTCAGCCCCAGACAGAGACAGATGCTGCTGACACGTCTGAGCGGCATCTCTCTATTGTATTATTCATCCTCGGTGTCACATCCCATCCATGGCGGTCAACCGAAAACTGGTTCGACAGACGGGGGTCCCCCGCACCCACCACAAACACACACACACACACACTTTCTTTCCTGCGTTTGGCTTATTTTCATAGTTCAGTTTGTTTGATTTTCTGCAGAGTGTGTATAGGCCAGAGGGCAGGCTTACATCTGTCACACTCCAGCTTCAAACAAGGCTGTGGATGGTGTGTTTGAAGCCAAGTGCTGTTCATTGGGAATGTGAAGAGTTTTTCAGTGCCGTGTGGGTGTGTGTGTATGCGTGCAGTGTGTGTGTGTGTGTGTGTGTGTGTGTGGGTGTGTGTGCTTGTACTTATCATTGCATATTTGCAACATTTTCTCCAATATTGTGAACCTTCTGAAGCCTGATGGGGCTCATGGGAAATAAATCCTGGTCCTAAAGTGACAGATCCCACTTTGGTTATGAAGAATTACCTGACAATTACCTAAGAATTACAATTACTGAAATAAATGGAGGAAATATAACCTCATTTTTTCAATAAATACTACGATGCTCCTTATGGGGTTCAAACCCGGCCCCATAAGAGCAAGTTGGGTCATATGGTTAGACTATAAAAATTACAGAAAAATGAATGGAAGTCAATGCAAAGTCCTTGTGAAGACAGACAGATAGACAGACAGACACAGAGAGACAGAAGGAAAATGTTGCTGTGTTTTGCCCTCAGGCAGCTTCCATACCATTTCAGTCTCCACCATCACTCCCTCCTCATACCCCTCTTCAACTCAATTGGGATTTCATTTCTGTTTTATTAATGAATGCCAGAGGAAGCAGCAATTATACATCTATAAAAAGATATCCATTCTCCCAAAGAACAAAGCAGTTTATGGGGGTTTTTAGCGACAAAGAGGAAGAGAAATGTGTCTCTCTGTGCCACAGGATTTCAAGTATGCCAGGCTCGCCTGGAATGTCCGCTGGCTCGGCTCTGCTCGGCCTGCAGTCTTTGCTCATCGCACTCAGTCGACGGCCGAAGCCTTTGTGTGCCTGAATGAATCCATCCTGGTGTTGACTTTGTGATGTGACTGAGTATCACCACGGCTCCTCGTCCAAAGAAAGCACAGATTGCAGATGGTTCCTTCTCCCTTTGTTTGATAAGGAAAAGAAAAAGGATTTCAGAAAATGTTTTTCAGTCAGAGACCGACAGAATCACAATCATTCTTTCAGTCAAAAATGGGCAACACAGGTTTCAAGCGCCTTGCAAAGGAATCATACGATTTCAGCAACTCTTCTGTGTAAAAAACGATCAAACTCAGTCAAATTGGAAGAACATCTTCCTTTCAAGACAATTTTTTAATCATTGATTCCCTATATTCAGGTCTGGACTTTGACTGGGCTGATCTTAACACATTAATATGGTTTGGTCCAAACCTCCAGAGTTACTTGTGGAGTGCCGCAGGGCTTAGTGCTCGGATCAGTTCTCTCTACTGAATGATGCATAATGTCATTTGGAGAAATTATCAGACAGAATAGGGTGCTTTTCCACTATTATGTTAAGCATAACTGAATTGAATACTTAATTTGTTTAAACTGTGTTGAGAAGACATGTCCTGAATTTTCTTCAGGCGTTTTTTTGGTTTATAAAACTTTCTTTTTTGAATTTCATCAGGTCTTTGCAGGTTTCTTCAGACATCAAGACTTTGCTGAAGATAGCATTTTAGGCATGAGACTCCTTCTTTCACTTGTCCAAGTTGCTCCAAATTTCAAACAGTAAAAGAAAATGAGACTTTTGCTGATTAAAACTAACCGCTAAGAAAGTCTGCCTCATTTGATTTAAGGACGAAAATGTAAGCCAATTGAATGGCGTTGTGTAAAGAGCAGCTCTATTATTTTTCACAATCTCTGCTTCTGACTAGATCTGCAGTGAGAACCTCTGAGTCAAAGAGATGTGGAGAGCTGGGATCCCTGTGATAAGAAAGAGAGGGAGCTTTGAGGCTTGCCAAGACTCAGACCCTGAAATAGCTGTTTACACAATGCAATAATTACCCTGCAAACTAGAGAGGGTAGCAGAGGACAAGAGTGCTTTGGCTCTGGAAAATGCACAATGGATTTGACAATCTGGGAGCTGATGCTTCAGAGTTCATCTTTGTTTTTGATGCCTTGCAGTTGAACTCAGCTTCTCAAAAGCAAACAAACAGTTTCTGTGCCTGTTTGAATAATGGTTCAAACTGGAACTTGCTACAGTAACATTGAAAAACAAAACAAAAAAATTGTTTACTTAAAAGCGGAGATTATCAAATGCAAATCTGACAAATTATATTAGGATCAGATAGTTAAACTTTAGAAATAAATTAAGTAGGAGGAACATAAAACCAGTTCTGAAATGGATGAAATCAACTTCAACTCTACCCAAAAAATGTATTAAAAGGAGAAAATCTATGATAAATTCGAGCCTGCACACAATTCTAATTTTTCCAAATCACTAAGGTGGTATGAGGTGTAATTATTTCACCCTGAAAAAAAATCCCATCAATTAACTCTTTCTAAAAAGTTCTGAATCAATATGACAAACCATATATGAGTGATGAAAGCTTCACATTTGAGCCAATAACACACAGCAGCATCTTCCAGTAGCTGTCAAGAGTGAAAGAAAATACATTTCAAACACAACACGCCCACCCATTCCCCCCCCCTCCTCCCTCAGACGTGCACGTCTATTCCTCGGACAGTAGCGATGAGCCGGCCTCTTCGTTGGCTCCGATGGTTACAGACTGTCTGTTTGTCTCTCACCGTGTTTACTCCTCGTCTGCTTCACCAGTCACCTCTGAAACCTCAGAGCCGCTGCCAAGCAAGACATCCACAGACGAGGGAGACGACGGGTGAGCGAGTGGGCAAGAAGATGTGAAGACACATCTGACACTGCTTGGGGAAGAGAAAAGGAACCGAAAGACAGTACTGCTGGGGTATAGGTGGATGTGTTTCAAAGACTAATCGAACCTGTTGGTTTCTGTTGGAGGTTGAAACGTAGAATAAAGAGAGGAGATGTTTGAACGTGAGAAATAAAGCAGTAACTTTATGGGGGGAGAAGGTTTGATGTTTGCTGAGCTTTGCAGCAAGAGATGTTTATGTAAGAGTCAGATTGAAGGCTTCCCTCAGATCCTCTGCAATTTTTATGAAGAGGCTCCTGCTGGTGTTTTCAGTCAAACACTTGCATGCAGCTGCCATTTGTCAAGTTTCTCTCTGTCAAATCATAAGAACAAAGGCCATACAACTTTGAAAATAAATTAGGTTATGATTGTAAATTCTACATTAAAATGTGAACATGTCAAATATTTTGTCAGTGTGAGGGATAAATTAGTTAAAGGTGACCCGATTTGCAAAGCTCTTACCATTAAAAATTAATAATAGGAAATAGGAAAGAATATTTGAATACCATTTTTCAGATTGAATTGGGCTTAAATCAGCCATTTCAAATGTCTAGTGTTGCTAATGTCCATGCTAACACACTAGCTGACATTTCAGTCTTTCAGTCAGTATCTGTGAGGGTTTTATGGGTGCATAAAAAACTGAATAGAAAAATTATAGAAGAGAAGTGAAAACTTTCAATGCATAAATCCCACCCAAAGAGTATTAGAAATTTGTGCAGAACACTGTTTATAAAACTAAACTATTTGTTCACCACAGTTAAAATGAGCCAAAAAGCTAAAGCTAGCTGAAATACTAATACTAGAAGGAAGGAGGGATGGAATTAAGGTTTGTCAGCTGAATTAGAATCAGGATGGGAAGGAGGATTGCAATTATGGTTGGGATTACAGTTGGAATCCAACCATTATTCATACCAAGTCTAATCCCAACCCTGATTCCAATATTAGTCTAAACACTCCTTGTAACACATATTGCAACCCCTTTCCATTCCCTACTTGCAATCCCAATTTCAACCATAATTCCAACACTGATTACATCTCTCCTTCTAACCCTAATTTAATTTAAAATCTACCTGCAACCCTCCTTCCAATCTCAATTTCAACCCTTGTTCTAACCCTAACTCCAACCCTTGTTCTAACCCTAACTCCAACCCTCCTTACTTCAATATCTACAGTCGAGTAAATATATGCAGCGACAGATGTTCTTGACTATACTGTGACAGAGATTGTGTGATTCAGATCAGGTCTGAAGAGCCCAGACGGTTCGTATATATCGATCCGTACACAGCAGGGAATCTTAAGCCGGTCGTCAGAACCAACCTCAGGGACCCCCTGGGGGTTAGGTGAGAGGAGGTCGATTCTCGCCTCATCACTGCGCCTTTGTTCCAGTCAGCACTAGCCAGAGAGCCCAGCTGGGAGTCTCAGGCCAGGAGACACACGCCGATGTTTGGCTGTGAAGGTCCAGAGCGGCGTCCTTGTCTGTTCCAGCTCACTGCCTCCTTTCTTGTAGGTTTACGAGAAGCCAAGCAGGCCCCTCCTTCCCCTGCCGTCATCCACAGACTACCTCAAAACCACATAAAGGAAAAATACAAATGCCCTCAAAACTCCATACACACACACACACGCCATCCACGCATGCACACACCAACACACCCAGACACCTTGCAAATCCTCTGATCCAAAATCCAGATTGTTATGGCAGTTTGGTCACCTCCCCATCCCGTCCCTCAACTTTCTGCTGCTGTTTTGGCCGTCTGTTCCTTTGTCTCTGTCCCACTTTGTAATGTCTATTTATGCGCTGAGCTTTAATTGTGTTGTGTTCAAGGGACGTTTCAAATAGCCTGGTTTGCACATTTTGCATCACAATAGGAGTCGCTGGGAGGCCACTCGTCCGGCTGTACTGTGCCAGGTCTCCTTTTTAGAGATACGGGCGTTTCATCTTTTATGTCTGCCTGTATTGTGTTTAAAAAATGCATAAATTAACCTTCTGATGAATCCCTGGTACTCCAACTGGCCCAGATTCACCCACATGCTTGACTGGACAGAGCCTGTTACTGACATGATGTCATGGCTGCCAAGCGAAACTTTTCAGAGCCGCCTTTTGTTGATATCCAATTAAGAACCCTCTTTGAGGATTTTCGGCAGCCTTTGAACTGACTCTTTATGAGTTAGGCCACTCGTTGCAAGTTAAAAACTTTAAGTAATTTGCACTGATGTTTTTGTTTTTGAGATTTGATTTGGGATGTATGATGGTGCAGTTACAAGCATCAGTCTTACAAGTCCTGAGTTTGAATTCCAGGCTGGGGTCTAACTTTGAAATTGTGATCTATTGTAATCAAACATTTATCTCAGGTTTGTCCGCCTGATCTTTATATTTTTTCTGGCATTGGACAGAAAAAATTAGGATGAATTCAAAGCCTCAGACGCACTTCAACCAGGCAGTGTTCACCAGCAGACTTGGTGCTGAAGATTACTGGGGGTCTTGCTGTCATTTTAACATGAGTGGACTTCTCCACCTTTAGAGGCTCAAACTACTGACTCTTGCTTGGCTATTGGAGAAAACATCACTAAAATCACCTGTTGCTTCAATTTGAAGCTCATTCTCACTGGAAGGAAGTTTGCTCTGGTTTTGACCATTGGATGGCTTGGTGGTTCATCACTTAGGTTTATGATCTTTGCAAAGACCATAAACCAGCTTAGATATGAAGAAAGAGAGCTTAAGGAAAGCTGCTCAGCAATGCATTACATCGGCCAAAGGCATGAAGAAAAAAAAAAAAAAAACTTCTCGGGCTGAACGTTTCATAACCAGCATGGACTTCGATTCCGGGCCTCAAGGTTGGGCAGCCTGCAACTTTCAGATGAGACATCCTCATCTGGACCTTCCCAGATTATTTGAAGGTATTAATAATTATAGTCAATGTAAATTGCCATAAAAAGTACCTTAAAAATAGATTTCATGCCAACTTGTTTAAATGTATGTATGAGTGTCAGGTGCATGAAGGAAAAACAGCGTATCGTTTTCAGCAAAATCGGGTTTATTGACAGGTTGTATCAGTATACGTATTGGTAGAGCAGACAGATACATTGGCGACTTGCAGTGTGTGAATGTGGAAGAAGAAGAACGACGTGAAAATGTGCTACAAAAAGGCTTCAATTACTCACACTGCCCAAGCTGGGTTAAGACCAAGATACAAAATTAAGACCACTGGGGGGTTTCTTTGTGCAAATCAAAGATATCTACATATTAATAATTACAAAACTAATGTACAAACTATACACACGAAAGACTTCTGAAAAATGTACATAGAAATGTTTTTTTTAAAAAGACCTACAGAGCTAACTACAGAGGAGACGCTTAGCTTTTATTCAAATGCAAAATATGACTAAAGTTAAAGATTTTGCTATATTTCTTTTTCATTTTTGACCTCTGTAAGAGTCAAAAATAATGCAACTCAATATTACATTCACAAAAACGAAATAACAGGACAATAGAAGAAGATGTAACCCTTCTTTGAACAAGTAAAAAAAAACAAAAAAAAACAACCCTGAGACAAAAACAAAAAAGAACTGAAACAGACAAGTATCTCCTTCAACATTCTCTCCTGCGAGCTTGTTACTTTTTTCAGTTGCAGAGCAGAATACAAATTTAGCTCACCAAAATTGAGGGAAGCCCGAGTCCAAAGGCTAAAAATACAGAGAGGAAGAATATTTCTGTGCACAAAATAATACACTTTCACAAACTACTTGCTTCCTTCACCGCACGGTTGGTTGAGGAGGTCCAATTCAGCCCCGCGAGCGGGGAAATAACACACACCTGAGTAAACGTGTCAGGCGAAAGGGAGAGAGAGCTTCACTGTAAAACATCATGTCCATAAAACTGGAAAAGGCCCAGAGCAGGTCTGGTCCGGTCACAGTAGCTTATTTGTCCCAGCAGGAGGAAAGAGAAGGAGCAGAGATGACTGCGAGGTCCGCTGGAGTAATCATGGCAACTGCTCCCGCTCAGACTGCTTCCATGAGAAAGTTACACAAGAAGTCAGAGTAAACAGATCAGGTGGGGGGAGGAGGCCGCAGACTCTCAGTCTCTGGGCTGGTTTCCAGGCCTCTGCTCCTCTGCAGACTCATCAGAAGCCCCAACAAGAAGACACAAACCCCTTCTTCTTCTTCATCTTCCTCCTCTTTGGAGCCAGCAGAGAGACATATGCCTGCATACCAGACACCGCAGCTCATCTGGGGGAACAGAAAAGAGGGAGATTAATGTTTAGGTCCTATGCACTCTGCTGTGGTTGAACGCTGGGCAAGGCGAAGTCTTCATCAGCTTATCACCATGCTATTTTATTGGGTTTACCCACAGTGTTATTAATTCCCCCCATTTAACCGGAGTTGTCTTATTATGTGGGATTACGGCGCTCGGCCCGGTAAAGTTCTCGAGGAATAAATACTTCAGGGTTTGAACAAAGAGAACCCGACTTTGAAAATAAGCTTCGCTGCATTCAAATAAGAATCTAATTCCAAAACCCCCCATCTGCTTTCTTCAGATAAAAGTTCAAACGGCAAATCGCCTTCTCAAAGTACCGCTCTCCAAATTCCTGCACATGGAAGTAGCATTTTGCACGACAAATGCCATAATGAGTTCTTTTGAAACCCTCATCGCAGGCTTTCTGTGCAACCCCAGATAACTCTGCGTCTAATTTACCACGCCTGCTAACATGAAGGAATGTTTCCCCGAATATCTCGGGGGATAGGAGGGGTTGCAGAGAAACTTCATCATGCCATTTGCTTCTGATTTGCATGTTTCTGATGATAGCTTTGCTCTTTGCACTGCAACATCAGTGCTCTGCAGCAGGCAGAGGGTTATTTTGGTAAGCTCTCATTATCACAGCTGGCATTACAGAAAGCATCCATGTACTGTTGGAAATGTGAATAATCAGCCTGTGGCACAACAGTTGGATCCAGGTAAAAGCTCCTGGAACAGCAACAGGGTGCAAACAAGTCTGAGGCATGCTTTCAGAGATCGAAGAAAAATGATCTGAACATTAGAATGCCTCAAAGCAGAAAGCTGTTTGATTCTTCACAAAGGATGTGAACATTGAGGACAAAAAGACATAGCAATATTTTTGTTTTTAAATAATAAAGTGCGCTATTATGCAGAAGATGGAGCACGAATCTTGAAAGATTCAACTGAAGGAAACTAATCCACTGGGATATTTTAAGGCAGCAAACACACAAAAAAAGGCCAGTGCTATCAGCATGCACCAGAGCCGATATTGGTCAGGGAGCGTCGGTGGTGCAATACAGGGTCTGACTCACTGTGACACAGCTCCCACTCAGACTGTACTCCTGTGCCATTCCAGGGTAAACATACAATCTCAGTTTGCTGCTTTGGATTTTACCCTAAACACGGAGTAAAAAGGGTGCTAATTTTATGGATTAAAATCAAAATGACTGCAAAACGTTGCAGACACTGCGTTTGTGGTGATGGTTGTGCATTCTCCCCTTAATCTGTGTGCAAACATAAATTTAGTGAAAGAATTGTTCACGAGGCTGAAACTCCACGTTTCCAATTTTATATTTCCTTCTGACAGCCGATACCTCTGCTCAGAGTGTAGATAAGTATGGACCACCCACAGGAGGAAGGCTATAAACCAACACTCTGAATACTGTTCTTACATAACAGTGTGCTAAAAAAAAATTCTAAAGTCAGCCAAGATTAGTGTCAGCAGAACAAAGCTTTGTAAAAACCGACTTCTGAAATCTTTCACAAAATTTTAATTCATGCATCTCCAGTTCCCGGATGATATCCATCCATCAATCTGCCTTCCTGAGATTTAACTGGAGGTGGTGCTGAAACAATTCTTGCCAAGACGCAATCTGAAGCTTCTGGGGAAACAAGGAGGTACTGCTAAAGTAAATCAAAAAGCTACTCCTTTTTCATGTCGATGAGCTTGAATACACACTTTAAAAGCTGCTGCTGATGCAGCTGAATGAGGAGTGGAGTTATCAGCCATTGGACACAAAAGAACTTTGGTCTATATTGAGCTCTTCACAGAGAAACTGAAATATCATTTATGCATTTCAGTTCAAAAAGTAAAACTTTGATGCCCATCTAAAAACTTAATATGACCAATTTCTAAACAAAACAAAAAACAATACATTTTATTGCTATTATTTGTCAACCATACTTGTTCACCCCGCTCAATTGTTCAGAAACATATCTGGCCCTCTGAAGAGTCAACATCTTTGGCAAAGACCTTTTGTGTGTCGTCCTACTTTTGGATGCAAGCTGAAATTGACAAACTTACCAAATGCTTCACGTGAACCTCACCGTTCTCATGTCAAGCCTCGGCTGCCTCAGCAACAACAGATCCTGCCCCCCACCAGCGATAAGCTCCACTCTGTCTCACACACACACTTCCTCTAATGTTACATGTCAAGGTCGATAACATGCAGCCCTGAGCTGGGTCGTTTACACACATCCCCTTTCACCCACATCTCAAGCTATTATTAATATTAAAATGATCACCAGCTGCTCGAGTTTCTTTAGAGCCTCGTGTTTGCAGCTAAAACACGTTTTAAAGAAATGTTGAATTTGACTTAAACTGGCAGCAAAACTCATGAACTTGCTAAAACTGAATCGAGATTTCAATTTTTGTCCACCCCCCCTTTCATTGTGGTTTCATGCCGCAGACCACACCTGCACCCACCAGCCCCGTTAGCCGTAAAGTCCCAAAGCAAAGTCCAGTCTTCCTTCTTTAGCGGCCTATTCTGGGTTTAATAACGACCACCAAGAAGTCCGTCCTGCAGTGACCCACACGTGACTAGACCTTGCTTCATCTCCATGAGTCTGATATAGGATTCTGCAGCGAACAGGAATGTTAAAACTGGGACAAAGATGATCTGTGGGACAGAGCGTGCTCCTCTGATTAATTTCCAGACGGCCAGCCTCAGCTGGTTCTCTGAAGCGGCCGCTGGAACTGTATGACAGCTCGTCTCTTTTTAAGGCTGTAATCTAATTAGTCTGGGTGATTATTCAGCCATTTCAAACGTCGCCTTTCCTTTACCTTTTTGTTACCCTCAGCATGGAGAAGAGGCCAATAAAACCTCCATTAGGTTTATGCTAATGTGGCCGGCCGTGCCTAGGGGCTGTAATGTGGCGAACTGATTACTCCAGGGACCGCAGGAGAAGTGTGCATCCGAGCTGAGGTGGTAGAGGGAGTCATTGTCGTACACAGATGCCGCAATAAAAGCTCCTTTCAGCTCGTGCTCCTGGTGGCCCTCACAGCGAGGCATTAATAAAACATTAGTATTGAGTGACTGGGGGCCCCTGCGCTCCTCCTCCCCGATCCTGATGCGACCTTTCCATTTTACAGCAGCTGTCCGAGCCCGCCGACGAGTCCCACCGTGGCCCCCCCGACCTCTGCAGGTGTAACCTGCCACAGAGAGCTGCCAACTTCAGGAGGGATCCGGCTAAAAGAGGCGGGTGTCTATGTGTGTGCGTCTTTGGGGCTGGGAAAGAAACCTTTAAAATAGATAACAGGCATTTTGTAGATGTTTTGATTTAGTGGGAAAAGAAGGAGATCTGGAAGTAGATGACTGAGTAGATCTCCAGTTACACCCTGTCTGTGACCAACAGCTAACTAATAACCCTGAAACTGAAACTGGTTTAATTACTGGTAAGCCCAAGAGACTAACCCAGCTTCACTTGCTGGCAGGATAAAAATAAAACAAAAGCCTTTACCAAGCTCTTTTGAGGGAGTTTCTTGCTTCTGCAGTCCAACTCATCCCAAAGATTTCAGAGGTCAGAGAAAATTATTTTAACTCTCCACATGCATAGCGTCCATTTGCTTCACCTGAAAGATTATCTAAACATTTTCCTTGATTCTTGTATTTCTTTTCTATAAATTCCATGCTTAGTAACTTGATCACGTTTTGAACAAGGCCTCTGATTGGCTAAGCTACTGCCATTTGAGTGCTGTAAACCTTATTCTTGTATTGATTGTAATGAATGAATTTGTGGTTAACGTAATACTTTGCTGGTCCGATGAAAGAAATTCTGGCAGAAATTCTGGCCAGCTGCATTCCCACTACAAATGTGCAAAAACCTTTTTCAATATTCGGCATGTCGATAAAACAGAATCTTGTGGTTGCTGTGTTTCCATTAAGTAAGAAATGCAATCACAACCACACGTGAATAAGTCTGTACATTTAAGACTTTACAAATTGTGGAGGCGATGGATGTAAACACTTACATGAGCTATATTTATAATTCAGCCACGGTAGCACTCATCATCCATCTGCCATCAGAGGAGACACTGATGTCTCATTCAGGTGGAGTTACAGCAGCTAAGTATGCGGCCATTTTGGGAAAAGGTGGCGTGTGATTTTACAGAACCGCCATTGATTCAACACTTGAATGACAAACTCGGGTTTTGATAAAACCGTGCGACCTCTTGTGGCTACAAGTAAACTTGTTGCTGCTGTAAACAAACTGGCGTTGCTCATGTGATGCCAAAAAAAAAAAAAAAAAAAAAAAAAAAAAAAAAAAAGAAAAGAAAGAAAAGTTTCCAAATACAAACATCTCGATACGGCTGGAAAACCACCACACTGTAGCATAACATTTACTGAAAACTGGTGAGCTTTTCCATTAAGCAAATTCATTTTCGGAATTACAATTTGCACAATTTTATGATCAATTGAAACAAGACTGGTGTGTTCACTTTCTACGCATCAAACTACACAACATGATAGTCACTGTGACTATTAAATACTTTCAATGGAGAATGAAGGTTAAGGGTGAACAAGAGGTTGAGTTTTTTACTGATGGGGGATCGGAGCTGTTTACTCCTGTCTTGACCATAAAGACAAACCTCACTGTTTAAATGGTTACAAATACTTTTCCATCAGCAGCCGCTTCTGGCTCGCTGCTCTGAGTCTGCGGCCTGCCGCATCTACTGGAAGAGCATGAGGCAAAGAAATACAGTAGGTGGCGACCAAAAGGAGCAGCGGATAACAATCCAACACGCATCACGCGGCCACATTAACAAACGCGTACTAACGGGAACGCAGACCACACCTACATTCCTGCTGAATTAGGAACGGGTCGGCTGGCTCTTTAAGCAACCAGCGATGTCAGCAATGTGCCGGCCCGTGTGAGCGAGTCTGAGGGTAGTGAGAGTGGAAAACAAGTGGTTTTTACTACTGCATAAAAACCAACAATACTACCAGTGAATACTTGAACAGCTGACTGGTGGTTTTCAGCTGCAACAAACCTAAAAGGGAAGGAAACGCACACACATACACTTACACACTTTGTTTTCTCTCTAACCCCAGCTGAACGTTGACAGCCTCTGGAGAAATTTATTTTTAGGCAGGCGATAGACTCCGTTGCCAATCTCTGCAGGATATGCTTTATGATCCTGCTGGTCACACTTCACCTTTTCTCCTACTTTGAGATGATTTTATGTTTTCCTGATATTCTATTGAGGTTCCTCCAACTCGGACAACTTTCTGAAGGTTATGACTTCTGGTTGGGTCACATATGAAACTACTTGAGGTGGGTAGGACACACAGAAATTGTATGTAGCACTACTTCCACATATTCAAGTAGGAGTAGCTGTCCAAGAACATACTCGAGTAAAAAAAAAAGTATTTGATGAAAAGACTACTCAAGTGCTAACGGATCAGAATGTTAATTTAATATTTGAAAATTACACCATACAGACCAAAATATAAGTTTATATGGAACTTTTGGTATTGTAAAGATCAAATTGAAAATAATTTATATATAAGAACTTCAAACTAACAAAATTATGCAAAATATTTTTTTTTTCCAAAATCAGTTACTTTCACTCACAAAAACTGAAGAATTTGTTTTTGGCAAACCTTTGGCTAAATAAAGTTTCTTCTTCATTTGGTAAAGTTCCTCATAGTGGGTAGAATAACAAGAAATTTTGCTCTAGTGAGAGTAATGATACTTCATAATAAAATCATTCAAGTAAATGTAAAATGTGCAGCATAGTAAAAATACTCCTGAAAGAACATTTCTCCAAAAACGTGCCAAAGTAAATGTAACTGAACACATATAACTAGTTACGACTCAACTCTGAAAACTCCAAACTGAGGTCTGAAAAGGCATTAACCCTTCATAGCAACACTCATATCACCTTTTCTCCTTCAGGCTCCAAGGTCTCAGGTAGAGAAAGACAGGACACGTGAGGAAATAAGTCTGACTTGATGGGCCAGAAACTGGAGCTCTTTTTTTTTTTTAACCCCCTCCTCCAGGCTCTGCTTTAATAAGGCATACATGTCGTCAGCAGCAGTGGGCTGGTTGGTGTAACTGAGAATTCACAAGGATGTGCTGCTTTGATCTTTTACAGTCAGGCTGTCTGTCTCCATCGTGGCTCTACAAAAAGGAAAAAAAAAAAATAAAAAATCCCTCCACTACCATGGCTACATCAGCCCATACAGCAGCAGCTGCATAATGCTAAGCCCCCAGCTCCACCATCTCCAGCTGTTTACTGTACACACCAGCCACGCCTAAGCCCTTTGCTCATTACTTGCTTCCTCCTAAAACTCCTCCAAAACTGGAGCCTGTTTGGAGTCTGTCAGATGAAAAAAAAAGGACTTATAAATATGAAGTAAACTTTTACTGAATTCATTTCAGAATTACATCCGTTGACTTTTAAAAATAAACGTTTTCAATCTGTGAGCTGATTTTCCAGCAGTGTTTAGGAAAGATATGCATAAAATATGTTACATTTTCACAATTCACTGTTCTACAACACCACTTGAACTTTGTCCCATTTTAACTATTCAGCTTTTACAACACTCAGTATTTGTGTGCCGTACTTTCTACATTTAAAACCATTTTACCTCTTAACTCCTTTTCCAATAGAAAATGTCTGATCTTGAAATCATTCAAACACCTTGTGCTTTTTGAGGGACAATTACTCTCTCCCACCTGGTAACAAACACAAGGAAAGTTAATTCTCAAATCAGGAATCTTTGATGCATCATTAAGTTTGAATAAGCTGGAATGTTTTTGATGACATTCAATTATGTTTTCTAAACATCTGATAAAGCAGTTTGAATTTTTACTTAATTTTAAAAATGTAAACTTCTTTAGGAAGTCTCCTTTTCATTTTATACTATTTTAATGTTTTAGTGATTTTAAAACACAGCATATCTTTTTCAGCTAATTTCTAATACAGAAACTAATCACTACAGATTATTGAACTCTGAAAAAGTCACTTTTGAGTTCACTGCCGTGATTCGATTTGTCCTCTCTCTCTGGTGTTTGGTGAAATTTCTCTAAAAACTTTTCACTACTTGGGTATGTGGCCATGGCAACATATTATATAAAGCTACTTCAAAAAGTTGGACAACAAAGCAATGAACTGAAGTGCAGGAGCCCCTTCTGTTGCACAACTAACTGGCTGAACTGTTTTTGTTTTGATTATTGATTGAATAAATGCTAAATTCAGCTCGCAAACCAGGTCACATGACATATAGCCCAAAACTTACTCTACTACCTCCGGGCGTGTTAAAATGGCCCAACTCCCACATCATTCTGCCTTTCCTCTTCTCATTTCAGCAATTAGGCCCCTCCTAAAGCTCTCTCTGCAAATACCGAAAGACATGTCAGGGGAAAACCTTTTATTCAGCACAAAAGTGTGAAATTTGCCACCTGTCCTTTCATGAGGCAGATTGAGCTGCTCAAATCCTAAAGCAGTCTGGTATGATATGAGTAAATTACATTTCCATTTCCTGGAGACGGGGCACTGCCTCCTCCCTTGCCGTGTCCCTGAAGCTATAAAAAGACCCTTGAACTGCTGTTTATCCTTCAAAGAGAACAGATTGCCCTGTCAACACATTCTAATCCTATAATTCAATGTATAAATAAGCAGACATTGCAATATTTTTATGTGGATGAAGTGACAGCGACATATGATCTTACAAAAAAAGCTGTTTCTGAATGCATCCAGAGGGCATTTCAAACGACACATCACCTCTTCCACCTGCTTTCAGTGACTGTCCAACAGCAGCTTGTCCGTCAGGCAACCCTGACTGACCCCTGCGGATCAAGGTGCCTCACTTAACTTTCCCATCCACACAAGCACAGACCTGATCGGCCGACTACACCTCACTCCACTCTGTGACTGAGGCTTCATCTTACAGTCCTGGCTTTGTAATTAGCAGCGCTGCTGACATTCTTTCTGCCCCATAAACTCCAACATGTTTGTCCAACACCCGGCACTTAGATAATCTTTAACAGCCGTAACCCCTGGCAACCTGCAAAACAGTTTGCGGCTTTAAAGTGACCGCCTCAGGTTCAAAGTGGAACTCACCCAGGCACAGAATCCAACAATGTGGCAGAAGCTGATTTATGCACTTCACACTAAAGCTTGAAAGCAACACCAATGTTTAATTTGCTTCCAAGGAGCCAACCCTTCTGTAGAAGACTGTAAGATAATATGACTCCTTAGAAGTTGAGGTATAAAGAAATTCAGTATGACTAAAGACTTTTACATGTTAATGGAAGCTACAATTGCTCACCTAGAAAAGTTGCAGACACTGTGTGTCTAAGACGGCAGGTACTTCCATGTGCTGACGAAGGCGGTAGGAATGAGTGAGTATGGCACACTGGTCACGCTGTCCCAGGAGTCTGATGATGGATCGTAACAGTCTAGCGTCTTACACCTCTGAGCCCCAAAGTACCCTCCAACCACATACAGCCTGTTCCCTGATGCCACCGCGTGACAGCTGATCCGTTTGGCCGTGACGTCACCGAACTTCGACCACTGATACGTCTCGCTGTTGAAGCGGTACGCAGAGCTGGCTGAGAACTCCGTGTCACCTCCGATTACGACGACGTGGTTGCCGACGACGGCCGCTGCCGTGTACCGCCACAGCTGAGGGCAGGCGGCGGGTACAGACCAGCGGTTCTGGCAGGGGTCGAAGCACTGCACCTTGGGGTATTTGTCTCTGTTCACACTGGTGCCTCCGAAAGCAAAGAGTTTGTTTTTGGCACCGACAACCGCGGCATTGCTCACGCCTTCCCTCAGCGGGGCGACCAGGGTCCACTTGTTGCTCTGCGGGTCGTACTGTTCGACTTGTTTCAGAGACACCGACGGAGACGCAGGGAAGGATCCCGCCAGCGATGTGTGTCCTCCCACAACGTACAGCACGTGGTCAAGCTCTGCAGAGCCATGTCCAAATCTGGCCACAAGCATTGGAGCTGCTTTTGACCACTCATCGTGCAACGTGTCGTAGACCCAGACATCCTTGGAGGCTCCGTTCTCAGAGCCGCGGCCTCCAGTAACATAAACCTGGAGAACAAAGAGATATGACATGAATTCAAGTCGAAGATATGCTACAAAACGGATTTACTGCAGTTTAGATTACACACATACCTTACAACCAATGGCACAAGCACTGCACTCCTTCCTAGGGCTTGGGATGTCTGTTTTGGGTGTGATCTCCTTGGTTTTGTTGTCAATCATGTAGACTTTGTCACACATGAATGTCTGTCCCCCAAGAAGCAGCAAGGCTTGGCTCACTTTTCTGGGCCGCGCACAGAACCCCGTCACAATGCCGTCGTTCTGGAGGATCCTCATCTTGCACCGCACTGCGTCTTCTACAATCTCCCGGCCCACCTTGTGGCACATCACCAACTCCTCCGAAGCGACGTTCTTCAGCAGATAGGACTCTGGCAACAGGGCCAGGCGCACGCATCGCAGCAGATCCGGCAACTCGCTGTGCCGCCGCTCCATGTCCGCCTTCACCCAGTCGATGACCGCCTCGTACACCAGGCTCTCGTCCTCCACCTCCAGCTCCTCACTGAGAATCAGCTCCTGGACTTTATCTTTGGGCAGGCTGAGGAAGTCCTCTGTTCTGAAGAGAGTTGCAAAGTTTGCCAGACACATTCTCCATGACAGCTCATACAGCCTCTGACACTGGTGGGCGTCTGACAGAAGCATCATCCCAAGACAATTAGACGGATGGAGGTTCTTCTCTAGGAACTCTGCCGCTGCGTCCCGGATGTCGTGGAACTGAAGCATGTCCCCAGCTTCCAGCAGTGACTCCGCGTTCTCCTCATTGATGATGACCCGGGCCGAGTAGGCATAGTCAAGCAACAGTTCCAGGACTTCGGGGTGGAGGGAGTCGTGAAAGTTGACGTCAGCATCCCGACTCTCCCTGAGCCCCCCGCTGAACATGGCCTCAAAGTAGCGGCTACAGGAGGCCAGGACCGCCCGGTGGCATGGGAAGGAGCGGTTGCCAGCTTTCAGGACGACGTCGGTGAAGACTCTTCGCTTGCGCAGCAGGTTGAGCTGAGTCAACAGGCTGTCGGCGTGCGACGTCTTGTGAAAAAGCTGGATGTTCATGGAGCCAGAGCTGGAGCGCGACTTCCGGTTTTCGTGGTTGCTTACAGACATCTTGACTTTGACCTGGCAACAAAAGACAGTACAAAAAATATCAACAAACTGCATCAAGGCAGCCAATTTATTTGAATTTTTATAGCATTTTTTGTTTGGCTTATACAGAGGATGACATAAAATCCAAAGGAAGAAAATACAGAAAAGTTTACAAATTGGTTGATAAACAAAAAAATCTAATAATGGATGGAATGACAAATGGAAAGAAAGAAATATTTGGATAATAAGTAAATAGAGCTGGACGGAAAGGCAAACTTGATGGATGGAAAAAGGTATTGACAAATGAAGGCTGTGTAAACAAATGGACAGATGCATAATAAATATGTAATTAGATAATCTCATCCTTCCCTACACCAGAACCCTGCGACAATTGCTTCCTTGCTATATGTACGAAAAACCCCAGTAGATGATGAATGATTGTCCAAAAATAAAGCGGAACGGAAATGAACTTCAGACTGTACAGAGAGATGAAAGGAGATGAGATAAGAAACACTCCCACTGCAAAAACCAGTGTGCACACAGCATGCCAGAGATTTACAATGTAAAACCAAAGAACATGCATCGCAGTCAGATCTCAAAGACAAAAACAAAACAAAAAAACATTGTCAAATGACCTACATTGGCTTGTCTTTTCGGTGCAATTACACTGAAGCTAAAGAAGAAACACCTGGGCGTGCTGTCCTGATTCACATCTCACTGCCCCTATAAACAATTGAGGACTGAGTCACCAGATGAATTCCTGCATGCTTGTTCAGTTCCTCAGCTGGATCACATGCAAGATGGTGCCAAAGGCGAAGCTTTCAAGCCCACATTTGAAGTGACACCTCAAACCAGCTCCTTCTGGACCAAATTATATAACCAGGCTAGAACACTTTAAAACAGAAAAACCTCTTCCAGACCACTCGAGGAGCCAGAATCACAGCTCACGCACAGAAATATTTCTGAATATAATAAGCTACAGTTGAATCGTCGCACCTTTATTATGGTAATTACCTCCTGGAGAGAAAACAAAACAAAAAAGTCCAGTGCTTCATGAAGGCTGCACTCCGCTTGAAAGCGACCAAATAAATATCTTCCGCTTCAAAGCTCCTTTTGTTTCAGAGGAGATAAATTTAAGTCGACTATTCACTCCGGCTGAAAAGGCCGGACTTCCGTGGAGGGACTCTGCGAGAAACCCAACTGGGTTTTGTGCAGTAAATGGGGGGAATCAGCAGATCGCCATGCGCTCAACTTTCCTCCTAAGTTAGCAAGCAGTCCAGAAAACCATCCGGGCTGCTGCCGCGTTACAGCCGACATCAAAGCATCCCGAATCACAGCCTCCAGCCAACCCCCTTCAAAACACACACTTTTATGGGCACAGACGAGCGACAAACGAGCACAATTATGTATTTAAGGTCAAGATTCAGCGTCTTGGAGCTTACCGTTGACGCGAGCAGAAGGGCCGATCCAGATTCCTTTATCTCGGCTACAACTTCGGTCTTCGGTCTCTCTGAAGTTGCGCCGCAGTTTAGACAAATCTGCTTTCTAAATTCACAACTAAATCCCACACTAAATGGCTAGAAGACGGTGAGGACGGACGGGCCATTTGTTTTGTCCTAAAACTCGGGAGTGTGTCCGCGTAGGAACAGCGTGAAAAGTTCAGCGGCTCCGAGGACGACGGTTGAAGACCGACGGGCAGCGAGTCTGAGCCGAGAGAAAGAGCAGCCGCAGCAGTGAAACTGCGCTGACTCCGCCCACCTCGCTGCAGCTGACCAATCAGCGGCCGTCTCCACCGAAAAGCCTTCCTTTGTATTCATTCCTTATTATCACAAAGAAGCTGCAATAAATCAGCCAGAAACACCTGTCATTGGGTGCTTAAACTGACTTCAACAGTAACTTTATTAAACTTGGAGCGGAATTGAAAGTCCGATGGCTATTCCTCCCAAAGCGCTGCCTTTGTTACTTAGACTCATTTGTGTTCAACCTTTAACATTCTGCATCAAGTTTTAAGATTTTTTTTCCATTTCTATTACATTTCACAAATGCTCTGCATCAAAAAAGACACACATGATGCTCCCACCCCATTTTGGTTTAATCAAGATTATTTTTGACATTTTAATAGGTTATGTGTATTTTTATGTAGTGTAAGTAAATACATAGTTTCAACTATATGCAATGACCGAGTGGTTTCAGAGTTCAAGTTTGTGAATCCTATTACTTTAAGTTCAAAGGCATTTTAGCTATCCTTGCATCCTGATTCCTGACGTACATTTCTTAGTAGGGCCACTCTTCAAATACATACTGCCTATATTTGGGCGACTTTATTTCCCGTACAGTAAACAGCCACAGCGTGTCAATGTTAGAAGGAGAAAGGTTTGACGGCCTTACTTGTGTCAGAAACACGAGTTGCTGAGACCTTCTTCAAAATTTCACAAAAATTAAGTCAATTGCTTTGAAAAGAAGTTTAAAGTCTTCTTTTAAGACATTCATGTTGTGTCTATAGTGACCAAAATTTTTAAATTTTATGATTTGCTTCTTGTAAATTCATGCATGCTTCGTTTGCCAAAGCTGCAACATTTTTACCCAGTAAGGCTATAAAGCAAATAGAACACAAAGTGCTCAGAAAGAAAACAAGCACAATATTGTCTTTGAAAGGCACTGAAATTATGGCTTGCATTTCAAAGTAATGAGTCTCTCCATCATATATGTGACACTTCAAAGACATCTAACGCACTGAAACACTGACTAAATTATTCAGGTTTTTCCAGTAAAAGCTAGATTGTTCTTTATTTACATTGTTAAACCAAGTTTCAACAACTGAATGATACATCAGATGTCAGGAATGCTCATTCCCAAGAAAAAACAACAACTAGTGATTGCTTAAAAGTTGTGTAAATCTTGTGATTTAGCAAAAAAAGAATCTCGGATTACTTTTCCGCATTTTAACTCAAGCGCTAAAATGGACATTAGGCTTTCTTGCACTCATCGGCTCAACGAACTCCACACAGGCCAAACCAACAGTCTCAATGATCATATGATTGCAGGTTAAGCTTTTCTGAGGCGCCTCAAATTGCTTCTTTAGTAAAATTCACAACATTTTCTGAGTGCTTGTGAGGTTTTTAAAGAATTTTTTAAAGAATGTCCCTGCATTTCAGGCAGGTTCCCAGAAGAAAAACTAACGCCAGCTTGTAATCCATCAAATTCAGCCTGCACATACAAAGAAATCAAATATCAACTCTGAACAACAGAAGCTTGTGTTTACGTTGCAAAATGCATTTCAAAATAAAAAGGTGTGCCCGATTTCCCTGAATTTTTAAGTGACAGATATCTTTAGGTATTTGAAAAATTAAAGTTATCTCTGTTGGGATTTGCCTGAACTTGTCCTCAAGTGTATTTAATGTCATGAGAGAAAAGCTGTATTTAGGTGCGCCAGTTCCTCTATTGTGCAACCTGTTGCTATGGTTTACTGAAGGAGCACAGTCATTGTTCGTGTCATTAGCAGTACCTGTTTTTCACGTTTTGACAAGTCAATAATACACTTCAAAGCAAAATATATACACATATATATTATTTACTTATTTAATGAACATACATTTTGGGAGACCCTGTTTTTTTTGCACTAAACTGAGTGACCCACAGCAGCAGGACCCCAACTTGCAGAGTAGATTCCACACTTCTCAGGTTTCCCCTTCCCCTCTATGAGCTCCTCGCTCCCTCTTACTGTCACTCAGCAGCTGCTTCTGAAGCTTCAAAGCTGCTGCTGTTCCTCAGCTGTCACAGTGTGTGTGGATGAGAGCATGTCTGTTTTTCAGCAATCTCCTATTTCATACTCTGCTTCTCAGTGTTTTCACAATAATAGGTCCCAATTTCAGTGGTGGTCATGTCAAATTATTATGGAATCATGCGAAAGTTACAACCACTATCCTCACTATTTTAGTGTGATTTTTATGAGACATTTCTATATGAATAAGAATCTTAAAAGTGAGACATCAGTTAGTATTTCAACTAGAGTAAGTAAAGTCAAATGATAAACATTAACTCTGGAGGAGCTAGTGGTCCACAGCTCTCCAAATCTGCCATTTATGGAAAAGTGGGCATAGGAAAATCAATTTTGAAAGAAAGTCAAAAGTCTTTTACTTTTTGCCAGAAGTCAGTATAGGTGATCCAGCAAAAAAACTGTCATGTCAAATCCAGCTATGAATCTATGACAAGACATGTTCAAGGATCCCAAAGCTTAAACTGTGACTGAGTTTAAGCTATTTTGCAAATAGATGGGCAAATTTGTGCAAAGCTGATAGAAGCAGACCTCATAAGACTTAGTGATGTACTTCATCTGTAAAACCTTTTAACAAAACACATCATTTATCTTCATAATTATGCCCTACTTTGTCATATTCGAACATATAAAATCCTTACAAAACACATTGCTGTTTCTAATTACAGCAGGACAAAATCTAAAAAAATAAATAAATAAAAACAAGGGGTACGATTCATTCTGCAAGCATTGCACTGCTTCACACTTGGAGGTCCCTACACCCTGACTAACGACAGTCAGGGTGTAACTTCAAAGCTCAACATCAGTAACCACATACTCTTGTAATTTATATTTTCATAACCATGGCCGCCTGGGCTCACTGGAGCCTTGTCTGGAAGCTGACTAAACCAAATGCTTTCATACACACAAGTGTGCCTGAAGGAGATTAAGATTTTAAAGAGATTAGAATAATGAACTCATGATTATAATCTCGGGTTAATTCATTTTGCTGCTCTATGACCCTCCCCCTCCACCAGCCAAAACCTTCTGTGGACTCTGTGCTTGTTCCTCTATACAAGCATTGTGTAAGTGTTCATTAAATACTCAAAGAGAGGCCCGCCACTCATCAGACCCCCCACAATTATCCCCTAATACCCTGAGGGGTCTTCAGTTCACCACTGTCCGTTTGGAGAACAGTAACCGTTACGTTATTGTTGCCAAAGGGCTCACTGCACCACATGTTTGTTCACTCAAGGCAGGTGGTCTTCCCACTGAGGTCAACGTCTGAAACATAAGGCGAGGAGTCTTTATAGGGGTTGTCTTCCCTCCCAAGGTCTCAGCAATGAACAAATAAAAGGTTCCAATCATTAAACAATGTTGAATATTTAGAGAGTCTTCAATGAATTGTGGAAATATTGGTGTTTAATTGTCTTCCCAAATCAAAGATAAAGGATTTTTCCCCGTAGTTTTGGGCTTCCGCACCACCATGTTGCTGGCAGGTTCAGGATGTTTCCCCTTACAAGAAATACACAGAAAGATGTCAAACTAAAGAACAAATAAATGGATGAGTGAGCAATTTGTTAGGACATAATGGGACTGATTTGGCACAGTTTAGATTTTTACCCAATTAATTGATAGCAGTTGAGCCTGTTTTTTTTCCATTGCCTAATAAAAAAGAAATATTCCAAACAAACTATGAGAGAAATTATATTTGACACAAGTAATATTGAGATTACAACAAATTTTATATGGCAATTAAAAAATACAGGTGGGAAAGGAACGTAAATGGCAGTGCTACACAATCAAAGGAGGAATAAATTGTGTACATAAGTATAGTACTGTTATTTTAAGACCATATGTGTATGACAGTATATGCAATGTATATAATTTAGTATATCTAGTATATTTATATATCACATCCCATAGGACATAGTTCCACTCTTTTTTTCTTACCTGTGTTCTTGGTCTGTGCCATCTTTGTAAATCACTTGTGCAGGCCAGTGCAGCAGGAACAGTTGGCAGCTGGAGTTGGTAGTAGTGTGCAGTCTGCTAAAGAAGTGCAACTACATGATTGCAAAAACCAGTAATTCAGCCTTTTCTTTTCCAACACCCAGTGATATCTAAAATAGACAAATGTTTTAGTAACACATTTATACATATAGCATGTTTAGCTTTGAACAATAGATTCTAGTTTAAAGCTTCAACAACAGCAGAAAAAACACAGACTGATTCAACCGCAACAAAAACAGAAAATAAATAGTTCCCTCTGAACAGGAAGATGTTAGAAAAAAGCTCTGAGTTGTCCAGAAGTCGTACGTGGAAGTTCTTCATCTGTCACATATGATCAGGAACTCGAACTACAGAACAAGAGCCAACCGACTTTCAAATCTGCAGCTTCTGCCTTTCCTCATTTGTCTTCATGGATCTGAAGCATCTAGCTCTGACAACTACCTGTCCCTCGACAATATTGGACACTGCAGGCATGCAGGAGTAAAGCACAGTTTCAACATCAAGCATCATCTAGTATCTCATAACTAAGTCCTAGCATGCTGTTTTTCCACAAACTGTACTGGCAAATACATTTCAGAACGTAATCAGAATATAATAGAAAATTATGTTTAAACATAATTTGTTTAAACATAATTTAAACATAAGTTTAAATTATGTTTGTCTCCAACATTCCACGTAATTTAGCAAACTAAGTTAAGCTTCATTACGATGTTTGTGTAGTTCATATATTGTAGCTAGCGGTTAGCTCGCTAAGCTACGTCTTTTCTTACCTTGATAGCGGTGGATATATTTTTCGTGGAAGAACTTGTATCCTTTCATACGTTTGTTGGTGGATGAAATAGCCGCTGAGATTTCCTCCGCATCAGCGAAAGAAAGGGCTGGCAAATTAAGTAAGGACGATGAAAAGTACCGGAGAAGGAGAGCCAT